TAAAAACTGGAAAAATTGAAGTATCGAAAAATTGATAAATTGACAAATCGAAACATGAAAAAATCTAAAATTTGAAAAATCTAAAGTTTAAAGATCGAAAAACCGAGAAACCGAAAAATTCAAAATTTAAAAAATAGAAGGATTGAAAAATGGGAAAAATGAAGGATCGAAAAACTGAAAAATCGAGAAACTGTAAAATTTCGAAACTGAAATAACGAAAAATTGGGAAATTGAAAAATCGGATCTTCCAAAAAATGAAAATTGGAAAAATCGATAAATCGAAAAACCAAGAAATCGAAAAATTGAAAAACTGAAAAATTCAGAAACCGAAAAATCGAAAAATCAAAATAGCTCCTAATTTGAAAAATCGAGAAATACATTGAAAAATCGAAAAATTAACAATTATAAAAGCCTAAAAATTGAAAAATTGGCACATCGAAAAATTAAAAATATAAAACATCGAGAAATCGAAAAGTCGAGAGGTTGAAAAATCTAAAAATTGAAAAATTGAAATAGCTCAAAATCGTGAAATAGAAAAGTTAAAAACTGAAAAATTGAAAAATTTTAAGCCAAAGAAAAAAATCGATGGAAAATTAGAAAAATCGAAAAATCAAGAAATAAATTGAAAAATCGAAAAATCAAGAATTTTAATAATCGAAAAATTGGAAAACCAAAAAATCCACAACCAAGAAGTCGAAAAATCTAGAAATCGAAACATCAAAAAACTAAAAATTGTAAAACAACATATCGACGAACTGAAAAATCGAGAAATAGAAAAAACTAAAATTTAAGAAAAATTAAAGAATCGAAAAATTGAAAAAACCCAAAATTGAAACATCGAAAAATTGAAAAATCAAGGAATCGAAAAGCCTAAGAACCAAAGTCGAAAAATCGAAAATTTAAAAAATCGAAAAATTCAAAAATCAAAAACCTGAAATATCTAAAAATTGAAAATACGAAAAGTTGAATTGAAAACCTGAAATATCGAAAGATCAAAACTTTTAAAAATCGAAAAATTGAGAAGCCTAAAAATCTAAACCGAGAATCGAAAAATCAAAAAATTAAAAAATAGAATTAGCTCAAAATCGAAAAATCGAAAAAGTTAAAAACTGAAAAATTGAAAACTTTTAAATAAAGAAAAATCGATCGAAAACTTGAAAAATCGAGAAATAAATTGAAAAATCGAAAAATTAAGAATGTTAAAAATACAGCAATTCAAAAATCATAAACCTGAAAAATTCAAAAATTGAAAAATTGAAAAGTTGGATGGAAAACTTGTAATATCGAAAAATCAAAAATCTTAAAAATTGAAAAACTGAAAAACCAAAAAATCTAAAACCGAGAATCAAAAAATCGAAAAGTTAAAAAACCAAATTAGCCCAAATTCGAAAAATCGAAAAAGTTAAAAACTGAAAAATTGAAAACTTAAATTAAAAAAAATTGATCGAAAATTGAAAAATCTAGAAATAAATTGAAAAATCAAAAAATCAAGAAGTTTAAAAATCGAAAAATTCAAAAATCAAAAACTTGAAAAATTGAAAAATTGAAAAGTTGGATGGAAAACTGGAAATATGGAAAAATTAAAAATTTTAAAAATTGAAAAACTGAAAAATCGAAAAATCTAAAACCGAGAATCAAAAAATCAAAAAATTAAAAAACCAAATTAGGTCAAGATCGAAAAATCGAAAAAGTTAAAAACTGAAAAATTGAAAACTTTTAAAATAGAAAAAATCGATTGAAATTGAAAAATCGAGAAATAAATTGAAAAATAAAAAAATCAAGAATTTTAAAAATCGAAAAATTCAAAAATCAAAAACTTGAAAAATTGAAAAGTTGGCTGTAAAACTGGAAATATCGAAAAATCAAAAATTTTAAAAATCGAAAAACTGAAAAATCTAAAATTCTAAAATTCTAAAACCGAGAATCAAAAAATAAAAACGTTAAAAAAACCAAATTAGGTCAAGATCGAAAAATCGAAAAGTTAAAAACTGAAAAATTGAAAATTTTTAAATTAAAAAAATCAATCGAAAACTTGAAAAATTGAGAAATAAATTGAAAAATAAAAAATCAAGAATTTTAAAAATCAAAAAATTCAAAAATCAAAAACCTCAAAAATCCAAAAATTGAAAAATTGAAAAGTTGAATGGAAAACCTGAAATATCGAAACATCGAAAATTTTAAAATTCGAAAAATTAAAAAACCGAATTTGCTCAAAATCGAAAAAGTTAAAAAATGAAAAATAGAAAAATCAAGAATTTTAAAAATCGAAAAATTGGAAAGCCGAAAAATTTAAAATTAAGAAGTCGAAAACCGGGAAATGGAAACATCAAAATACCGAAAAACCTGAAATTTAAAAAATCGAAAAATTAAAATATCGAAAAATTGAAAAATCGAGGAATCGAAAAATCGAAAAGTTGAAAAATAGAAAAATGTTTTGGGATTTTTTCGTTTTAATTGAAATATCGAAAAAGTGAAAAATCAGGAAATGGAAAAATGTAAGAAATAAGACCCAAAATCGAAAAATCGAAAATTTAAAAAATCGAAAAAATCAAAAACGTGAAAAATTCAAAAATTAAAAATATCGAAAACAACATTGAATAACCGAAAAATTTCAAAGTCAAAAAATCGAAAGATTGAGAAATCAAAACTCAAAAAACTGAAAAATCAAAATTTTAATAATTGAAAAATTAAAATATGGAAAAATTGGAAAAACCCAAAACTGACATCGAAAAATTGAGAAATTGAACAATCGACAAATCGAAACATCCAAATTTCGATAAAACGAGAAATCGAAAAATTGAAACATCGAAAAACTAAAAAATTTAATAACTGAGATATTTTAAAAGTCGAAAAATTGAAAAATCGGGGAAAAATAGAGAAATCGAATAGTAGAAAATTAAAGAACCAGAAGGTTGAAAAATCTAAAACCTAAGAAAAATTGAAGATTCGAAAAATTGAAAAACCCAAAACTGAAACATCGAAAAATTGTGAAATCGAAAAATCGAAGTCGAAAATTAAAAAATCGGAAAATTGACAGTCTGAAAAGTGGAGCAGTCAAGAAATGGAAACACTGAAAAGTCGAGAAGTTGAGAAATGGGAAAATCAAATAATTGGTAAATAATAAAGCTGAAACACTGGAGAAAATGAAAAAATATAGAAATAAAAAATTTGATGAATCGAGGAACTGAAATTTCGAAAAATTGAGTAATAATTGTATGTAATTCGAGAAATTGAAAAATGGAAAAATGAAGAATACAAAAACTGAAAAATTCCTAAACTGAAATATGGAGCAATTGAGAAATCAAAAAGCCGAAAAATCGAAAAATTGAAGCCTTAAAATCGAAAAATCAAAAATCAAATACCTGAAAAATAAAAAAATTGACATCTAGGATATAAACCACAAGTTCTGAACTTTGTTACTTTTTTACATTTAAGTAACATTTATTTGCCAAAATTTAGTTTAGTTTCGGAAATTATCTGTCTAATAAAAATCTAGACAGACGGCAGACAGACAGACGGGACAGGCAAACGGAAACGGGAGACCTATTTTGTCGTACTCTACGGGTCTGAAACGTCGAGAACATATGAAAGTAGCCAATCGCCTGATAGATTCGATTAAAATGCTTTCTTAACTTACGATCGGGAAGTGAAAAATCACAAACATTAATAGTCACTCAGTATTATATACAGACTACTCGGAGAGTAGTAGTTTTCACGAAAAAATCAAAAAATAACAAAAACCCTATAACCTTGACATATTGTTCACTAAAGAAACTCGGATGATAGTTTTGGTCTACTTCGGGGACGACGACGTGGCGGGAAATTGAAATCCTTAAATTTGATTGGACAGCTTCGTTAAAGTTGACTACATTGACCAAAAATTTAAGTTTTGTGTCAAAAATTGGACCGCACTACATAATGTCAATCTACTGTGTCTCATTGTCATATATTCGGTACCTCAGACGATCTCCTTGGAAGTACCGTTTCATCAATCGAAAAAATGAGGTGCTTACAAGTTCTTTGCAGTGCAGCCAACACTCCCGCCCCTCCCCTTCACCCGCAAGTCAAGTCACCCGTCACGTCATCCCCGTCAAAATGAAGTAGTACCCATTTCATCCCCCCGCCGCAACCGCGCCCCCAAAATGGACGTTTTTTTGGACAGATCCCGCAGCATGCCGAACATCCGGCGGATGACAAGCGTCTTCACCGACAACGTCCACGAGGCCGTCTCCTCCGTCGCCCTCACCGCCCGCACCGCCGGCCATGAAACCCGCCAAGGCTGCATCGAATTCGTGCCCATCATCCGCGACGCCGCATCCTCGGGGATCGAGGCCGTCCACAGCGTCGCCTCCAGCGTCATCGAAAGAAGCCGCCACATCCCGGAGTACCTCTCCAGCCTGCAGCAGTTCCTACTGTCCTTGTTCTCCTCAGTGTCCCACTACATCGGCTCTTTTTGGCACAGACGCTCCGATCAAGCGAGTTCGCCTCAATGACATTTAGTGACATGAATAAATTTTGATGATCATTGACGTTTGTTTGAGTAAATATGTAGTGAGTAGTACTTTCGGGGAATTCAGAGGATGGTCGCTGGGTCGACCCGTGTCGGGATTTGAGTGGGTGAAGAGTTGGAGCGGGATGACGCAGCCGATGCCCAGGGGATCACACAGCAGAGTGAGACTGAGTCCGTCAAAGAATTTGGAGAGGGCTAGGAGCGAGAGTGAGCACAGATCCGAGGAAACCAGGAGGCCATCGGGATCAGTTTTCACCTCGATTGTGGATTTCATGGGCGGAATTGGGGCTGCTGTGGGGTTGTCGGACAACAGGAGAAGAGCCACCTCGAGGGAGAGCTTGTTCGAGTGGTTCATGGTACTACTGAACTTCGGCAAGGACTTCTGCCTGTACCTCCGCAACCTCCCCATCAACTTAAACACGCGCATGCTCATGGTACCGGAACCCGTCTATCACGAAATATAAACAATAAATTCTGACAAAGTACTCACGTGTAAACTTAATGTCGGGCTTGAGGGGCTGCGGACGTCGCTTATTCGGGGGCAACTTGTCATTCTCGATCTTCCACATCTTCAGACATTGAGGTTCGTGGATGTAGATTGAGTTCACGGTGAACAAGCGACCGCAGATGTAACAAGGGAACATGGGGGATTTTTTTCCCGACGAGGGACGATCTTGGGTACCACCTTTGGACGAAGTGGATTCCCGCTCCGGTCGTACCTTGGCTGGGTCTAAACACAACATTACACTTGTACCACAAGGGGTTAGAAAACTCACCCTTCCGAACAGGTTCTGGGCCACGGATATCCGGGGGGAGACAGTCGTTCTCTGCGTGCCACTTCTTCAGACACTGCTTCTCGTGGATTTTGAGGGAATGCGCAGTGAACATCTTACCACAGATGTAGCATTCCACGTTCGGAGGACCCATGGGTGAAGAAGGTACCGATTTGTCTACGGAGGATTTTGACTGAAAAGCGAAAATGCACGGTAGTGCGATTATAATTAAACGGGTAAATTTTCCAAAAAAAAAAAAAAACACACACAAACGGTAACAATAATTTATTATCATTAGAGGTTAGTTTTATTACAGTCTGAAATTGCGTCTTCTTCACGGTCGCGCTTGTGCTCGTTGTACAACCAACTAGAACAGAATTATTATTAAAGTCATACTATCAAAAATTAGTGGTACCAGAAGATGAAGAGCGACGGTACCGTGAGGGCCCCTCCCACCAGAAAGAACGTCCCCGGCAGACTACTAATGGTGTGCTTGTACACTATGCTATACAGCGGTCCGTACACAATCGGCACCAACGCCTCCGACAACCCAAACAGCGAATTAATCTTCCCTAGCTCGTCAGGTGGTACTAGTTTCGATATAATAGAACGCATAGCGATGAAAGTGGTACCGTTGAGAATCTCGATCAAAGCACCTGAAGAACACTGGTTTAGGTAACGTAAAAATAGATAGTGAGCGTACCAGCGTAAAAGACCCAGGCGTTGGGGGCGAAGGCGTACACCACGGACGCCACGATGCGGCTAGCGCTTGAAAGAAAACCCAAAGCGGCGTCGTCGATTTTTAAAATTTTCGAAAATAAAATTAGAGAGAAGAGGGTTCCTGAAACAAATGTTTTAGTTTTGTTTGGGGGATAAGGGACGTACCAAGCATGTGAGTGATCACGTAAAAAGTCGAGTATATGCTGTAGTCAACTTCGTTCCAGCCGAATCTGTAGCGGACGAATAAGTACAAGACGCTTACTTCGCCTGAAAGAGTACGGTCAATTGGGTACGAAACGGTACTTTTTTGGTTTCGTGTAAAACTGAGTTTTTGGCGCAGTCTCCGGAATTTTCAATAGCGGATTTATTTTTATTTTTATAAAATATTTTTGGAAAAAAGTCGAAATTGTATAACAACATAGTTTTTAGAATTAGTTATACAGGGTGACTCAAAAAATCAATGAATGAACTTGTAAGTGCTATCATAAAAAAAAACGCAAAATCAAATCTTAATATTTTTCGAAAAAATCTGGAGTTTTCGTAGTTCTTTTGTCTTCGATTTTACAATTTTTTGTTTTTTATTTTTTTTATTTTTTCAATTTTTCCATTTTTCAATTTCTCGACCTTCAAAATTTTCAGTTTTTCGTTTCTTCAATTTTTCGATATTACTGTCCTTCATTTTTCGATTTTCCTGTTTCCTCAGTTCTTGATTTCCAATTTTTAGATTTTTCCAAGTTTTCATTTTATCCTTTTTCGTTTTTCACTTTTGATTTTTCAATTTTACAATTTTGCAATTTTTCCTTTTTTCTTATTCGAAAAGTCGAAAAATTGAAAAATCGAAAAACTGAAAAAACCAAATATTTGAAAATCGAAAAAGTGGAAAATCGAAAAATTAAAAAACCCAAAATTGAACAATCGAAATATTGAAAAATTGAAAAATCCGGAAAAACAAACATTGAAAAATTATAAATTTTAAAAATCTAAAATTCAAAAACCGAAAAATCTAAAAGCGAGAAGTCAAAAGGTCGAAATATCCGAGAATTGAAACATCAAAAACTGAAAAATCTAAAATCAAAAAATTCAATTGGAAAAATCGGGAAATTGAAAAATCTAAAATTTTAATAATGAACACACCAAAGAATCGAAATATTGAAAAATCCCAAAACTGAAATATCGAAATATTGAAAAAACACAAAACTGACATCGAAATATTGAGAAACTGAAAAACTGAAAAATTAAGAAAGCGAAAAGTCTAAAAGCATCGAAGTCTTAAAAGCAAAATTAAAAAAAAACGAAAAATTAAAAATCAAATACCTGAAAAATCCAAAAATCGAAAAGTCGAAATGTCGAAAAATCGAGTTCTCGAAAAGTCGACTAATTAAGATGAAAAATATATTAATGGCGAAATCGAGGAATCGAAAATTTAGAAACGTCGAAGATTGAAAAATCTAAAAATTGAATCGATATCTAGGATAAAAATGCAACCCGGATTCATAAACCACAAGTTCAGGACTCTGTTACTTTCTGACATGACAATTGTAAAGTCGAAAAATCGAAAAATTCTTCGGATTTTTCAGTTTTGACTGAAATATCGAAGAATTGAAAAATAGAAGAAAAATTGAAGAATCGAAAAACTGAAAAACCCAAAGCTGACCAAACCAAAAATTAAGAAATCGAAAAATATGAGAACCGAAGTCGAAAAATCTAAAATCTGAAAAATAAAAACCCTCAAAAATCTTAAATTGAAAAATCGAGAAACTGATTTGAAAAATCGAAAAATTAGAAAAATTTTAAAATCGAAAAATCGAAAGATCCAAGAATCGAAACATCAAAAACTGAAAAATCTAAAATCAAAAATTCCAAAAATTGAAACAGAAATATCGAAGGACTGAAAAATCGAGAAACTGGAAAATATAAAATTTTAATAATGGAAAAATTAAAATATCGAAAATTAAAGAATCGAAATATTGAAAAAATTCAAAACTCACCTCGAAAAATTGAGAAATTGAAAAACTGAAAAATCAAGAAATCAAAAGTAAAAAAATCAAAGCCTTAAAATCGAAAATTAAAAATCAAATAAGTACCTGAAAAATCTAAAAATTGAATTGAAATTTTCGAACATCAAAAATGAAGAAATCGAGAAATGGAAAAATCAAAAAATCGAAAAATCAAAAAATCGATCTATCCAGAAATTGAGGAATTGAAAATCAAAAATTTAGAAATGTCAAAGATTGAAAAATCTAAGAACTGAAAAATCGAAAAGTTGAAAAATAATTGTAAAATTGAAAAAAAAAATCGAGAAGTCGAAAAGTGAAAAATCGAAAACCCGATAATTTGAAAAACCGAGAAATCGAAAAATTGTTATATCTACAATTTTGGCTTTTTTACAAGAAATTCAACACGGATTCATAAACCACAATTCAGGACTTTGTTACTTTCTAACATGAAAATCATAAAGTCCAAAAATCGAAAAACCTGGGAATTTTTCAGTTTTGACTGGAATATTGAAAAATTGAAAAAGCGAAGAAAAATTGAAGAATCGAAAAATTGAAAACACGCAAAACTGAAAAAGGAAAAATTGAGAAATTGAAAAACTAGGAAATTGAAAAATATAAGAACCGAAGTAGAAAAATCGAAAATTTAAAAAATGGAAAAATTGAAAAACAAAAACCTTCAAAATTCGAAGCACTGAAAAATGAAGAATCTCAATCTAAAATTTTAATAATGGAAAAATTAAAATATCTGAAAGTAAGTTAATCTGAGAATTGAATCGAAAAACTGAAAAATTGTAAAACTGAAAAATCGGAAAATCGAGAATTCGAAAAGTGAAAAAATCGAAAAATCGAAAATTTGAAGGATCGAAAGATTGAAGAATCGAAAAATGAAGAATAAAAACAATGAAAAAATCCAACACTGAAATATCGAAAAACTGAAAAATGGAAGTTGAAAAATCGAGAAACCGAAAATTCGAAAAACTGAGAAATCGAAAAATTGTTATCTACAATTTTGATTTTTTTACAACAACTATATCTAGAATAAAAATTCAACACAAGTTCGGGACTTTATTACCTTCTAACATAAAAATCGTAAAATTGAAAAATCGAAAAACTAAAAATCCGAAAAAATAAAAAAATCCAAAAACTGATAAAACTAAATATTGTAAAATCGAAAAAGTGAAAAAGCGAAAAACTGCAAATCGAAGAACTGAAGAAACGAAAAATCGGAACCTTGAAAAATTAAAAATCGAGAAACTTAAAAATTGAAAAAATTGTAAAATCGAAAAATTATAGAATCGTAAAACTGTAACACTGGAAGATCGAAAAATTGAATTTTGCAATTTTTCCTTTTTTCATACGAAAACTTGAAATCGAAAAACTGAAAAATCAAAAATCAAAAAAGTGAAAAATTAAAAATTGAAAAATCGAAAAGACAAAAATTCCAAAAATCTAAACATCGAAAATTCCAGAAGTCGAAAAGTTAATTGAAAAAATGAGAAATTGAGACAGACCAAAATTGAAAAGCTAAAAATTGAAAAACTGATAAACATGGAATTAAAAAAATCGAAAATTGAAAAATCGAAAATTCAAGAAATTGAACAATCGAAAACAACAATCGAGGAATTGAAAAATCGAAAAATTTAAAAAATAAAAAACTGAAAAATCGAAAAATCAAACATTTTAAAATTCGAAACTTTGAAAAACCAAGAAGTTGCAAAACCGAGAAATCGAAACATCAACAAATTGAAATATTGAAAAAATTAAAAATCGAAAAATGCTAAATCGAAGAACTGAAGATACGAAAAATTCAAACACTGAAAAACTAAAAATCAGTAAACTTAAGATTAAAAAAAAATTAATGAATCAAAAAATTGGAAAGAGAAAAACGAATCGTATCGAAAAATTGGAAATGCCAAAAATTGTACAATTGAAAAATTAAAATCGAGAAATTGAAAAATTAAAAAACGAAAAATTGAAAAATCGAATAAAGGAAAAAGTTTTAAAATTCAATAATAGAAAAATGGAAAAATTCTAAAATCGTGAAATTGAAAAAGTGATTTTTTTTTAATTATAATTATTATTAGATGCATCTTTAAAATGAAAACTAGAAAAATTGCAAATCAAAAATTGAAGAAACGAAAAATTAAAAAATCAATAAACTGAAAAATCTAAAACTGGAACTGAAAAATGATAAAAATCAAAAACTGAAAAACGAAAAACGGCAAAATCGAAAAATTGGAAAATCGACAAGTTGCAAAGAAAAGTTCGAAAGAAAAAACGAAACTAATCGAAAATTTTAAAATCCCAAAAATTTTAAAATCGAAAAATTATCGTCAAAATTGTTAAGTCGAAAAATGCAACAGTGAAAGATGGCAGAATTAAAAAATTAAAAATCGAAAAATTGAAAAATCGAATAAATGAAAAAGTTTTAAAATCCAATAATTGAAAAATGGAAAAATTCTAAAATCGTAAAATTGAAAAATTTTTAAAATCGTAATTATAATGACATATATAGACACAAATTTAAAATGAAAAGTAGAAAAATTGCAAATAAAAAATAATTGAAAGAACGAAAAACTAAATATTTGAGAGACTGAAATCTAAAATTGAAGAAACGAAAAATTAAAATTTCTGAATTTTGAAAAATTTAATATGGAAATCTCGTGAAATTTCAAATCGAAAATTTGCAGAATCTAAAAATTGAAATGTCCAAAATTTGAAAATCGGAAAATTGAAAAATTAAAAATAAATGTAAAATTGAAAATTTGAAGAAACGATAAATTGAAAATATTGATATTGGAAAAAAAAATTATAAAACCGGCATTGAACAATCGAAAAATTGAAGAAACACGAAAAATGAAAAACTGAAAAATCGCAAATCGGAAAACCACAGAAACGAAAAATTGCAAAATTTAAGAATTCAAAAATTTAAGTTGGAAAATTGGAAAACTGAAAAATTTAGACTTCAAAAATCGAAAAACTGAAAAAAAAGAAATTCTGCCAAAATAATCTTCGACCAATTTTGGCTCAATCCTGAAAACTCAGTTTTACACTCACCACAATGGACCATAAGTAGAGGCTAAGTTTGACTGTGGAAGTACCGTACCGTGCATGGGTCCCACAATCACCATACACAGAACCATCATGGTGCAAATCCTCGCCTTCCTGTTGCGTTTGCCTTTCTTAAAAGCCACCCGAAAGGTCTCCGCTACGTGTTTCACGTTGAAGAAATCCTTCAAGAAGTTGGTACCAATCGTGGTACCTTCACTTGGAATTTCCTTCACGACGAACACACCGTAGCAGAACCCGACCAGATAGAATAGCAACGCCAGGGAGAAAATCCCGTAGAACCCAATATGCTTGTACAGAATCCCACTCAAAGCATTCCCAACCGTGAAACTAATATTGACGAAGATGTTCACCGCTCCTATTCGCAGTGTCCTGGTTTGCACACTCGTTATTCCCCCGATGTAGCTGAAGATGGCCATGAACATCGCGAACCAACCCCCAGTCAGTGACGGTGGTACCGCTTCGAAGAACACGTTGTACTCCACTGGTAGTTCGTAGTAGAAAAAGGTGCAAAAGAGAAGTCCCATACAAGTAACCATCTCCCCTATGATGGGTCCTAAGAAACACGGCTTCCTTCTTCTGTGTCTGTCGCTCCACGAACCCAAGAACATCAACAGTAGCGATGGTACGAAGCTCTGGATCACGTTCTTCCAGGCGTTCATCGTCGCTACCAGCTTCTGGACGGCCACTTCGTCGCTCTGGTTGTACCTTTCGGTATCCCGCAGTACCATCGCATCACAGGTCCCGTCATCCAGTTTCAAATTCACCCGGCACGCTTTGTCCATGTTCAGGTTCTGGGTGGCGAGGTTGGCCATGATGCAGGGCAGGACGAAGCACATGAGGATGGGCTCCACGGTGATGTTGCTCAAGACGGTGCGGATTTTCGCCACCCATTCCTGGCAGTACCGGCGTACTTTTTTGGATTCGCTATCCATTGTTGCGTTTGAAGCGAACCATTCTCACCATTATCGGTGGGAACACAACGCGTCGTCACTCAGTCAAACGGACAAGAATGAAGAGTTTTTTTATTTGATTAAGTAATTGCCGACTGTGTGTGTTAAAATACGACCGGAAACGTGTGACGAGAGGAATGAATACGGATCAATGTGTCTTCATAACGGTGACAGTTGTTTTGTTTGGGTACTTACGGCGTCTTGGGGGGGTTTGCAGCTTCTCTGGTGCACCAGGAGGCGGTCGGGGTAGAAGGTGCGGCCGCAGTTGGGGCACGGGGTGAGGGTGGCCTGCAAGAGTACTTGGGTTAGTAAGGGTAGTACTACTTTGGTGTCTTCAATTAACTATTAAGAAAGTGAAGACATAACCCTAAACGGGATAAATAAGCGTTTTTATTTATTCAATAAAGAGGCATTTCATTACTCTGCACGAAACAATTTGTTTAAATGGAGAAATCAACTTGACGTAAATACCGGAAATCGATGTGCCGGAAGTTCAGGGAGCAATGTTAAGGACAGTCGCCGGAGGTAATGGGAAATCGAAATGTTTTTATGAATTATTTAGACGCTCTAATGGAAGACACGGAAACGTTTCCGATTTTAGCTCGTCGAGTACTATTCCACTGAAAAATGAAATACTTACTTTATCACAATAATCAGCTGTAAACCGAAAGTCCCTAAAGACTGCTTTACACCGGCATGAACCTAAAAATGTTTGAATATTCACGCAAGAAGTTCGTAGAAGGGTATTTCGCCAGAACTTCCCTCGCCCTTGAAAAGCAACCCAATAAACTTTTCTAATTTTTCAAACAAGCAGTTTTTTACCTTCTTTATTCTTTTAATTATTCGGTTTTTCAATGTTTCGACTTAATAATTTTTGTTTTTTCAGTTTTTTGATTTGCAATTTTTCATTTTTCTTGTTTCTTCAGTTTTTCGATTTTGCCATTTGTCGATTTAAAATTTTTAAGTTTTCAATTTTCGATTCACTAATTTTTCATTTTTTGAAATTTTTCGTTCCGGTTTTTTATTTTTTTTTATTTTTACAATCTTTCGACTTTTCAGTGTTCCGATTTTTTAATTTTTATTGCTTTTTCAGTTTCAATTTCGTTTCTTCAATTTATCGATCTGCAATTTCCGGAGTTTTCAATTTTTAATTTTTCGATTTTTCCTTCCTTCAATTCTTCGATTTGCGGTTTTTCCTTTTGGTTTTTTGTTTTCTTTAGTTTTTGAATTTTTCGATTTTTCAGTGTTCCGACTTTCTATTTTTTTTTCAATATGAAAATTTTAAATTTGTGGATCTTTCAATTTTTCGATTTTTCAACTTTGGATTTTATGGTTTTTCGTTTATTCAATTCTTCGAGAGAAACAATGAAATTGGTGTTTTGAGGATCTGAGGGTTTTGTTTTTCTGAGGATTTGAGGATTTTGATGTTCTGAGGATTTGAGGATTTTAATGTTCTGAGGATTTGAGGATTTTAGGATTTTCGAGTTTTGAGGATTTCAGAATTTTTATGTTTTGAAGATTAAAGAAGTTTTGCGTTCTGAGGACATGAGGAATTTGGTGTTCTGAGGATTTGAGGATATCGGCATTTTGAGGATTTCAGGATTTTGGTGTTTTGAGGATAATGAGGAACTTGGTGTTCCGAGGATGAGGAACTTGGTGTTTTGAGGAATTGAGAATTTCGATGTTTCGACGATCTGAGAATTTGAAGATTTTGGTGTTCCGAGGATTTGAGGATTTTGGTGTTTTGAGGATCTGAGGATTTTGGTGTTTTGAGGATTTGAGGATTTCGGTGTTTCGACGATATGAGAATTTGAGGATTTGAGGATTTTGGTATTTTGAGGATGTGATGAGGATTTTGTTTTTCTGAGGATTTGAGGATTTTGTTTTTCTGAGGATTTGAGGATTTTATTGTTCTGAGGATTTGAGGATTTTCGTGTTTGGAGAATTTGACAATTTTGGTGTTTTGAAGATTTGAGAATTTTGGCGTTTTGATGACATGAGGATTTTGGTGTTTTGAGGATCTGAGGATTTGAGGATCTAAGGATTTTGGTTTTTTGAGTAATTGAGAATTTTAATGTTCTGAGGATTTGAGGATTTTTGAGTTTTGAGGATCTGAGGAATTTGGTGTTCTGAGGATATGAGGAATTTGATGTTATGAGGATCTGAGGATTTTGGTATTTTGGGGATATGAGGAATTTGGTGTTCTGAGGATATGAGGAATTGATGTTATGAGGATCTGAAGATTTTGGTATTTTGAGGATATGAGAATTTGAGAATTTTTCAATTTTTCAACTTTGGATTTTATAGTTTTTCGTTTATCAATTCTTCTAGAGAAACAATGAAATTGGTGTTTTGAGGATCTGAGGATTTTGGTGTTTTGAGGATTTGAGGATTTCGGTGTTTCGACGATCTGAGAATTTGAGGATTTGAGGATATTGGTATTTTGAGGATGTGATGAGGATTTTGTTTTACTGAGGATCTGAAGGTTTTAATGTTCTGAGGATTTGAGGATTTTCGTGTTTTGAGAATTTGACAATTTTGATGTTTTGAAGATTTGAGAATTTTGGCGTTTTGATGACATGAGGATTTTGACGTTCAGAGGATTTGAGGATTTTGGTGTTTTGAGGATCTGATGAGTTTGATGTTTTGGGATCTAAGGATTTTGGTTTTTGAGTAATTGAGAATTTTAATGTTCTGAGGATTTGAGGATTTTTGAGTTTTGAGGATCTGAGGAATTTGGTGTTCTGAGGATATGAAGAATTTGATGTTATGAGGATCTGAGGATTTTGGTATTTTGGGGATATGAGGAATTTGGTGTTCTGAGGATTTGAGGATTTTCGTGTTTTGAGGATTTCAGAATTTTTATGTTTTGAAGATTAGAGGATTTTTGTGTTCTGATGATATGAGGAATTTGGTGTTCTGAGGATTTGAGGATGTTGGTATTTTGAGGATTTCAGGATTTTGGTGTTTTAAGGATATGAGGAATTTGGTGTTTTGAGGATATGAGGATTCTAATCTTTTGAAGATTTGAGGATTTTTGTGTTTTCAGGATAGGAGGATTTGGTGTTCTGAGGATTTGAGGATTCTGATATTATGAGGATTTTAGGATTTTCGTGTTCTGAGGGTTTAAGAATTTTGATGTTTTGAAGGTTAAAGGATTTTTGTGCTCTAAGGATATGATCAATTTGGTATTCTGAGGATATGAGGATTTTAGTGTTTTGAGGATCTGAGGATTTTGGTGTTTGAGGATGCGAAGATTTTGGTGATCTGAGGATTTGAGGACTTTAAAATTTTGAGGATTTGAAAATGTTCGTGTTATGAGAATTTAAGAATTTTGATGTTTGAAGATTTGAGGATTTTCGTGTTTTGAGGATATGAGTAATGTGGGGTCTGAAGATTTGAGGATTTTGGTGTTTCGAGGATATGAGTGTCCTGAGAATTTGAGGACTTTTTTGAGGATTTGAAAATTTTTATGTTTTGAAGATTTGAGGATTTTGGCGTTTTGATAATGTGAGAATTTTGGTGTTGAGGATTTGAGGATGTTGATGTTTTGAGGTTTTGAGGATTTTGGTGTTTTGAGGTTATGAAGAATTTAGCGTTCTGAGAATATGATAAATTTGGTGTTTTGAGGAAATAAGGAATTTGATGTTCTGAGGATATGAAGAATTTGGTGTTCTGAGGATTTGAGGGTTTTGGTGTTTTGAAGATTTGATGTCCTGAGGATTCAAGGATTTGGATGATCTGAAGATTTGAGGAATTTGGTGTTTTGTGGATATGAGGAACTTGATGTTCTGAGAATTTGAGGATTGTGGTGTTTTGAGTATAGGAGGAATTTGGTGTCCTGAAATTTGAGGATTTTGGTGTTTTGAGTATTTTGGTGTTTTAAGGATCTGAGGATTTTGTTGTTCTGAGTATTTGAGGAACTGATGTTCTGAGGATTTTAGGATTTTGGTATTTTGAAGATATGAGAGGACGTTGGTGGTCTGAGGATTTGAGGATTTTGTTGTTTTGAGGATCTGAGGATTTTAATGTTTTAAAGATTAGAGGATTTTGGTGTTCTGAGAATATGACGATTTTGGTGATTTGAGGATCCGAGGATTTTGTTTTTCTGAGGATATCAGGATTTTGATGTTCTGAGGATTTGAGGATTTTCGTGTTTTGAGAATTTGATAATTTTGATGTTTTGAAGCTTTGAGGATTTTGACGTTCAGAGGATTTAAGGAATTTGGTGTTTTGAGGATCTGAGGATTTTGGTGCTTCGAGAATTTGATGATTTTAATGTTTTTGGATCTAAGGATTTTGGTGTTTTGAGTATTTGAAAATTTTAATGTTCTGAGGATTTGAGTGTTTTCTTGTTTTAAGGATCTGAGGAATTTGGTGTTCTGAGGATATGAGGAATTTGATGTTATGAGGATCTGAGGATTTTCGTATTTTGAGGATATGAGGAATTTGGTGTTCTGAGGATTTGAGGATTTTGGTGTTTTGAGGATTTTGGTGTTTCCACGAACTGAGGATCTGAGGATTTTGATGTTCTGAGGATTTGAGGATTTTTGTGTTTTGAGGATTTCAGAATTTTTATGTTTTGAAGGTTAGAGAATTTTTGTGTTTTGAGGATGTTGGTGTTTCCACGAACTGAGGATTTGAGGATTTTGGTGTTTTGAGGATTTTGGTGTTTCCACGAACTGAGGATCTGAGGATTTTGATGTTCTGAGGATTTGAGGATTTTTGTGTTTTGAGGATTTCAGAATTTTTATGTTTTGAAGGTTAGAGAATTTTTGTGTTTTGAGGATGTTGGTGTTTGGAGGATCTGAGAATTTTGGTATTTTGAGGATTTGAGGATTTGAGAGTTTTGGTGTTTTGAGGATATGAGAACTTTGGTGTTTTCAGGATTTTAGTGTTCTGAAGATTTGAGAATTTTGGTGTTTTAAGGACTTGAGAATTATGGTCTTTTGAGGATATCGGAATTTTGGTGTTTTGAGGATCTGAGGATTTTGGTGTTTTGAAGGCTTGAGTATTTTGGTGTTTTAAAGATTTGAGGATTTTGGTGTTTTGAGGTACGATGATTTGGGTGTTCTGAGGATAAGGATTTTGATATTTTGAAGATCTGAGGATTTTGTTATTTTGAGGATTTGAAGATTTTGGTGTTTTGAAGATCTGAACATATGAGGATTTTGGTGTTTTCAAGATCTGAAGATTTGAGTATTTTGGTGTTTTGAACATCTAAAGATTTGAGTATTTTGGTGTTCTGAGGATTTGAGAATTTTGGTGTTTTGAGGATATGAGGAATTTGGTGTTTTGAGGATATGAGGAATTTGGTGTTTTGACGACTTGGGGATTTTGGTGTTTTGAAGATTTGAGGATTTTGGTGTTTTGAAGATTTGAGGGTTTCGGTGCTTTCAGAATTTGAATTTTGGTGTTTTGAGGATTTGATTATAAAGAAAATGAAAATAAAATTACGAATTAGAAAAATTCAAGAAACGAAAAATTGTTGAAACGAAAAGTTGAAAATTTAAAAATTAAGACAGTGAAAAATCGAAGAATGAAAAATCGTAATATCAAAAAATTGAAGAAACGAAAAATTGAAAAATTTGGAAATGGAGAAATTGAAAAATAAAAAAAATTAAAGTTGCAAAAACGAAAAATTATAAAACCGACACACTGAAAAGTGGAAAAATTGAAAAATTAAAGAAAATTAGTGATTTCAAAAATTGACGTTATCATCATTTTTAGAAGGTCACATATAACAATTTGGATAGATGCAGTGTAGTACTAGTAATAACAGGACTGAATTTCCAAATTTTCGGGAAAATGGAGTGACTTTCTTGATTTAATCAATACAATAAACTGCCTCATTCATTAATTTTTTGTCACCCTGTATAAATAATTCTAAAAACCATGAGTGCTCAGACTCACAAGAGGAAACTTGTAAATTCTGAAGATGACATCATCAAAAAAAAAATCAAAAGACAGACAGACAGACGGAAACGGGGACCTATTTCTTCATACTCTGGGAGCATGAAAGGCCGAGCTTACGCTCAGAAAGTAAAAATATCTACTAATAATATGTTTTAAAACTAAATTAAGGAGACTACCACTTTCAGATGACGACATCGAGTTTCTAGTTGAGGCAAAAACAGTAACAAATTACATCGTGATCAATAACTCCAACTATATCCGTTATTCTTGGAACGACTTACAACAATCGCCCGTAATTACCCCAAAAAATAATAACCCCAAAAGTCGCACCCCCCAATTACCAAAACCCGCCGAGATTGATGTTTTTCGACCATTAGAATTCAACATCATTAGCGTGCCCCACGACCACGGCTAGATTTTACGATAATTGCCCCAGAGTGATGGGCGCTTAAAAACACCAAGTGGATCGATCTGACCAACATTTACATTATGTGTGGATTTTTGTTTGCCGCATGCCATGTTCTAATCACAGAGGTGAAGGACAACTGGGGCTCACCTGCGAAGACTCCCAGGCGAATTTGTTCCATTCTTCTGGGGTCAGGTCGTGGTCGGGCTTCACCGGGGGCTTCCTCTGCAGGTGCTGCGGCAAGCTCGCGTTCTCTCTTTCCCATTTCTGCAAAATGGGGTCGGTTGAGGTCGATGTACAAATTGCAGGGTAGAAGGTAAAGTGTGATCGGCGCGACTGACGCATGGTCTTATAAAATATGGGTTAATATATTCGGAGTTGTAGGTCAGTTTTTCAGCTGCATTTTAGCCATTAGATTGATGGATTATGTTGTGGTTGTAGTGGTATTTAATTACGTGGTTATTTTCAGCGCGGTGAAATTGATTGGGAGAATGAATGGGTGTTTATTAATAGTGGATTCAAAAGAAAAAGTGGGAATTTTTAATTTTAATCTTGATGGAGTGGACGCAGCATGCAACTGTTAATGATGCAGATTTGCTCTAGTTAAGGATTTTTACGATGGGTTTCAAGGTGGTGGTTCTTGACAGGTGGGGGAAAAGAGTACGAGGTGAAATATTTCACGATTTTTAGGGTGTTTCAAGGTTGGAGTTTTTAAATTTTAGAGTAATGGACGGTGACATATTGCTGTAGTGCGTGAAGAGGGAAGATATTTGTTTAGGGTTTTTAGGTTCTTGTTTACATTAAGTGGAAAATATTATATTAAATCTTGTTTAACTGGCTTTCTAAACATCTAGAATTTAAGTTAAAAAATAATAGCGAAATAGACATATGGCATCTTTAAGATTTTTTATTCTTTCACAAATATTGCGATATAGGCAACCAAATAAACACGAATTTCGGAAAAAATTACAAAACTGACTAAATTCTCACTAATTGATTGTCAACAAACCCAGATCTGTCACTAAGAAAGTGAAAGCGAGTTTATCGATTAAAATGACGCCATTTTGACGAAATAAAAAATCGAAAAATCGAGAAATCGAGAAATAGGAAAATCGAAAAATCCACAGTTGACAAAATCAGACAATTAAAGAACCGAAAAACTGAAATGACGAAAAATTGGGAAAACGGAAATCGGAAAATCAAAAACTGAGTGTCGAAAAATCTAAAAACCGGGAAATCGAAAACTCGAAACATCGAAAAATTGAAATTTTGAAACATTGAAATACCCAAATAGCCCAAAATGGAAAAATTAAAAATTTGCAAAATTGCAAAACTTTAAAATTGAAATTTTTTAATGGTCCCCCTTCTTCAAATTTCGCAAAAATTTTGACATTTTCGAAACTCAACTAAATAAAACTTCTTGTAGATTTCGATATCTAGAACGCAAATCCGGCTTCGATTTTTTCATACCAGCAACCGTTTTTCCACAATCGACCGTTGAAATTTCGAAATTTTTGAAATTTTCAAAAATTCGCATTTCGCAACGATCTTTTCGAAAATCTTGCTTCGTGACCATCAACATGCTATATTTTTGGAATCAGCGTGTCGAGATCTACGTCCTTGAATTTTTTCATAATTTTTAGACAACTTTTTTAAAATTGAAATTTTTTAACGGTCCCCCCCTTCTTCAAATTTCGCAAAAATTTTGACATTTTCGAAACTCAACTAAATACATTTTCTTGTAGATTTCGAGCCGTAGAACTCAAATCCGGCTTCGGTTTTTTGATACATGCAACCGTTTTTCCAGAGTCGACCGCTGAAATTTCGAAATTTTTGAAATTTTCAAAAATTCGCATTTCGCAACGATTGTTTTGAAAATCCTGCTTCGTGGCTATCAACATGCTATATTTTTGGAATCACCGTTTCGAGATCTACGTCCTTGAATTTTTTCATAATTTTTAGACAACTTTTTTAAAATTGAAATTTTTTAACGGTCCCCCTTTCTTCAAATTTCGCAAAAAATTTTGACATTTTCGAAACTCAACTAAATACATTTTCTTGTAGATTTCGAGACGTAGAACTCAAATCCGGCTTCGGTTTTTTGATCCATGCAACCGTTTTTCCAGAATCGACCGTTGAATTTCGAACTTTTTGAAGTTTTCAAAAATTCGCATTTCGCAAAGATTGTTTTGAAAATCTTGCTTCGTGGCCATCAACATGCCATATATTTGGAATCAGCGTGTCGAGATCTACGTCCTTGAATTTTTTCATAATTTTTAGACAACTTTTTTAAAATTGAAATTTTTTAACGGTCCCCCCTTCTTCAAATTTCGCAAAAATTTTGAGCTTTTCGAAACTCAACTAAATATATTTTCTTGTAGATTTCGAGCAGTAGAACTCGAATCCGGCTTCGGTTTTTTGATCCATGCAACCGTTTTTTCAGAATCGACCGTTGAAATTTCGAAATTTTTGAAATTTTCAAAAATTCGCATTTCGCAACGATTTTTCCGAAAATCTTGCTTCGTGACCATCAACATGCTATATTTTTGGAATCAGTGTGTCGAGATCGACGTCCTTGAATTTTTTCATAATTTTTAGACAACTTTTTTAAAATTGAAATTTTTTAACGGTCCCCCCTTCTTCAAATTTTGCAAAAATTTTGACATTTTCCAAACTCAACTAAATATATTTTCTTGTAGATTTCGAGCAGTAGAACTCGAATCCGGCTTCGGTTTTTTGATCCATGCAACCGTTTTTTCAGAATCGACCGTTGAAATTTCGAAATTTTTGAAATTTTCAAAAATTCGCATTTCGCAACGATTTTTCCGAAAATCTTGCTTCGTGACCATCAACATGCTATATTTTTGGAATCAGTGTGTCGAGATCGACGTCCTTGAATTTTTTCATAATTTTTAGACAACTTTTTTAAAATTGAAATTTTTTAACGGTCCCCCCTTCTTCAAATTTTGCAAAAATTTTGACATTTTCCAAACTCAACTAAATACATTTTCTTGTAGATTTCGAGCCGTAGAACTCAAATCCGGCTTCGGTTTTTTGATACATGCAACCGTTTTTCCAGAATCGACCGTTGAAATTTCGAAATATTTGAAATTTTCAAAAATTCGCATTTCGCAACGATCTTTTCGAAAATCTTGCTTCGTGACCATCAACATGCTATATTTGTGGAATCAGCGTGTCGAGATCTACGTCCTTGAATTTTTTCATTAGTTTTAGACAACTTTTTTAACATTGAAATTTTTTAACGGTCCCCCTTCTTCAAAATTCGCAAAAATTTTGACATTTTCGAAACTCAACTAAATATATTTTCTTGTAGATTTCGAGCCGTAGAACTCAAATCCGGCTTCGGTTTTTTGATACATGCAACCGTTTTTCCAGAATCGACCGTTGAAATTTCGAAAATATTGAAATTTTCAAAAATTCGCATTTCGCAACGATTGTTTTGAAAATCTTGCTTCGTGGCTATCAACATGCTATATTTTTGGAATCAGCGTTTCGAGATCTACGTCCTTGAATTTTTTCATAATTTTTAGACAACTTTTTTACAATAGAAATTTTTTAACGGTCCCCCCTTCTTCAAATTTCACAAAAATTTTGACATTTTCGAAACACAACTAAATACATTTTCTTGTAGATTTCGAGCCGTACAACTCGAATCCGGCTTCGGTTTTTTGATCCATGCAACCGTTTTTTCAGAATCGACCGTTGAAATTTCGAAATTTTTGTAGATTTCGAGCCGTAGAACTAAAATCCGGCTTCGGTTTTTTGATCCATGCAACCGTGTTTTCAGAATCGACCGTTGAAATTTCGAAATTTTTGAAATTTTCAAAAATTCGCATTTCGCAACGATTTTTTTGAAAATCTTGCTTCGTGACCATCAAGATCATATATTTTTGGAATCAGCGTGTCGAGATCTACGTCCTTGAATTTTTTCATAATTTTTAGACAACTTTTTAAAAATTGAAATTTTTTAACGGTCCCCCCTTCATCAAATTTCGCAAAAATTTTGACATTTTCGAAACTCAACTAAATACATTTTCTTGTAGATTTCGAGCCGTAGAACTCAAATCAGGTTTTTTGATACATGCAACCATTTTTCCAGAATCGACAGCTGAAATTTCGAAATTTTTGAAATTTTCAAAAATTCGCATTTCGCAACGATTTTTTCGAAAATCTTGCTTCGTGACTATCAACATGCTACATTTTTGGAATCAGCGTGTCGAGATCTACGTCCTTGAATTTTTTCATAATTTTTAGACAACTTTTTTAAAATTGAAATTTTTTAACGGTCCCCCCTTCTTCAAATTTCGCAAAAATTTTGACATTTTCGACAACTCAACTAAATACATTTTCTTGTAGATTTCGAGTCGTAGAACTCAAATCCGGCTTCGGTTTTTTGATACATGCAACCGTTTTTCCAGAATCGACCATTGAAATTTCGAAATTTTTGAAATTTTCAAAAATTCGCATTTCGCAACGATCTTTTCGAAAATCTTGCTTCGTGACAATCAACATGCTATATTTTTGGAATCAGCATGTCGAGATCTACGTCCTTGAATTTTTTCATAATTTTTAGACAACTGTTTTAAAATTGAAATTTTTTAACGGTCCCCCCCTTCTTCAAATTTCGCAAAAATTTTGACATTTTCGAAACTCAACAAAATATATTTTCTTGTAGATTTCGAGACGTAGAACTCAAATCCGGCTTCGGTTTTTTGATACATGCAACCGTTTTTCCAGAATCGACCGTTGAAATTTCGAAATTTTTGAAATTTTAAAAAATTCGCATTTCGCAACGATTGTTTTGAAAATCTTGTTTCGTGGCTATCAACATGCTATATTTTTGGAATCAGCGTGTCGAGATCTACGTCCTTGAATTTTTTCATAATTTTTAGACAACTTTTTTAAAATTGAAATTTTTTAACGGTCCCCCCTTCTTCAAAATTCGCAAAAATTTTGACATTTTCGAAACTCAACTAAATACATTTTCTTGTGGATTTCGAGCCGTAGAACTCAAATCCGGCTTCGGTTTTTTGATCCATGCATCCCTTTTTCCAGAATCGACCGTTGAAATTTCGAAATTTTTGAAATTTTCAAAAATTCGCATTTCGCAACGATTGTTTTGAAAATCTTGTTTCGTGGCTATCAACATGCTATATTTTTGGAATCAGCGTGTCGAGATCTACGTCCTTGAATTTTTTCATAATTTTTAGACAACTTTTTTAAAATTGAAATTTTTTAACGGTCACCCCTTCTTCAAATTTCGCAAAAATTTTGACATTTTCGAAATTCAACTAAATACATTTTCTTGTAGATTTCGAGCCGTAAAACTCAAATCAGGCTTCGGTTTTTTGATACATGCAACCGCTTTTCCAGAATCGATCGTTGAAATTTCGAAATTTTTGAAATTTTCAAAAATTCGCATTTCGCAACGATTGTTTTGAAAATCTTGCTTCGTGGCTATCAACATGCTATATTTTTGGAATCAGCGTTTCGAGACCTACGTCCTTGAATTTTTTCATAATTTTTAGACAACTTTTTTACAATAGAAATTTTTTAACGGTCCCCTCTTCTTCAAATTTCACAAAAATTTTGACATTTTCGAAACACAACAAAATACATTTTCTTGTAGATTTCGAGCCGTACAACTCGCATCCGGCTTCGGTTTTTTGATCCATGCAACCGTTTTTTCAGAATCGACCGTTGAAATTTCGAAATTTTTGTAGATTTCGAGCCGTAGAACTAAAATCCGGCTTCGGTTTTTTGATCCATGCAACCGTGTTTTCAGAATCGACCGTTGAAATTTCGAAATTTTTGAAATTTTCAAAAATTCGCATTTCGCAACGATTTTTTTGAAAATCTTGCTTCGTGATCATCAAGATCATATATTTTTGGAATCAGCGTGTCGAGATCTACGTCCTTGAATTTTTTCATAATTTTTAGACAACTTTTTTAAAATTGAAATTTTTTAACGGTCCCCCCTTCTTCAAAATTCGCAAAAATTTTGACATTTTCGAAACTCAACTAAATACATTTTCTTGTGGATTTCGAGCCGTAGAACTCAAATCCGGCTTCGGTTTTTTGATACATGCAACCGTTTTTCTGGAATAGACCGTTGAAATTTCGAAATTTTTGGAATTTACAGAAATTCGCATTTCGCAACGATTTTTTCGAAAAATCTTGCTTCGTGACCATCAACATGCTATATTTTTGGAATCAGCGTGTCGAGATCTACGTCCTTGAATTTTTTCATAATTTTTAGACAACTTTTTTAAAATTGAAATTTTTTAACGGTCCCCCCTTCTTCAAATTTCGCAAAAATTTTGACATTTTCGAAACTCAACCAAATACATTTTCTTGTAGATTTCGAGCCGTAGAACTCAAATCCGGCTTCGGTTTTTTGATACATGCAACCGTTTTTCCGGAATAGACCGTTGAAATTTCGAAATTTTTGAAATTTTCAAAAATTCGCATTTCGCCACGATTGTTTTGAAAATCTTGTTTCGTGGCTATCAACATGCTATATTTTTGGAATCAGCGTTTCGCGATCTACGTCCTTGAATTTTTTCATAATTTTTAGACAACTTTTTTAAAATTGAAATTTTTTAACGGTCCCCCCTTCTTCAAATTTCCCAAAAATTTTGACATTTTCGAAACTCAACTAAATACATTTTCTTGTAGATTTCGAGCCGTAGAACTCAAATTCGGCTTCGGATTTTTGATACATGCAACCGTTTTTCCAGAATCGACCGTTGAAATTTCGAAATTTTTGAAATTTTAAAAAATTCGCATTTCGCAACGATTTTTCGAAAATCTTGCTTCGTGACCATCAAAATGCTATATTTTTGGAATCAGCGTGTCGAGATCTACGTCCTTGAATTTTTTCATAATTTTTAGACAACTTTTTTAAAATTTAAATTTTTTAACGGTCCCCTCTTCTTCAAATTTCGCAAAAATTTTGACATTTTCGAAACTCAACTAAATACATTTTCTTGTAGATTTCGAGCCGTAGAACTCAAATCCGGCTTCGGTTTTTTGAAACATGCAACCGTTTTTTCAGAATCGACCGTTGAAATTTCGAAATTTTTGAAATTTTAAAAAATTCGCATTTCGCAACGATGTTTTCGAAAATCTTGCTTCGTGACCATCAACATGCTATATTTTTGGAATCAGCGTGTCGAGATCTACGTCCTTGAATTTTTTCATAATTTTTAGACAACTTTTTTAAAATTGAAATTTTTTAACGGTCCCCCCTTCAAATTTCGCAAAAATTTTGACATTTTCGGAACTCAACTAAATACATTTTCTTGTAGATTTCGAGCCGTAGAACACAAATCCGGCTTCGGTTTTTTGATCCATGCAACCGTTTTTCCAGAATCGACCGTTGAAATTTCGAAATTTTTGAAATTTTCAAAAATTCGCATTTCGCAACGATTGTTTCGAAAATCTTGCTTCGTGACCATCAACATGCTATATTTTTGGAATCAGCGTGTCGAGATCTACGTCCTTGAATTTTTTCATAATTTTTAGACAACTTTTTCAAAATTGAAATTTTTTAACGGTCCCCCCTTCTTCAAATTTCGCAAAAATTTTGACATTTTCGAAACTCAACTAAACACATTTTCTTGTAGATTTCGAGCCGTAGAACTCAAATCCGGCTTCGGTTTTTTGATTCATGCATCCGTTTTTCCAGAATCGACCGTTGAAAGTTCGAAATTTTTCAAATTTTCAAAAATTCGCATTTCGCAACGATTTTTTTGAAAATCTTACTTCGTGGCCATCAACATGCTATATTTTTGGAATCAGCGTGTCGAGATCTACGTCCTTGAATTTTTTCATAATTTTTAGACAACTTTTTTAAAATTGAAATTTTTGGAATTGGAATTGGAAAGTCGAACAATAAAAAAATCTGTTAATTCGGAAACTCTGAAAACGAAAAATCAAAAATTTAGAAACGTCAAAAATTCATAAAATTGAAAAATCGTAAAACTGAAACATCAGAAAACTGAGAAATCAAAGAGTAGAAGAATTGAGAAATCGTAACATTGAAAACTCGAGGAATCGAGAAATGGGAAAATTAAAAAATCGATAGCACGAAAAATCGCAAAACCGAAAATTCTAAAAAGTTGAATTTGCCAGCTCTAAATGAGTCGACATTTGCATGCGTCGTGGGTGCTAGTGAAAAAAATCGACTAATTGAGAAATTGAGAGATCAAATAATCGAAAATTCAGAAACGTTAACGAGTAATTTTTTAAATTTTTTGCTCAAAAAAGTCAGAAAATGAAACACCTCGCACGGGAATTTTGTTGGAAAATTCCGCCACAAATCATTTCTATTTCAATTCAGACCATTTTAACGTTAGCAGCACTTCAGCCATTTTAATCAACCTCTGTAATCATTCACACCGTGACACTTCACATTTCGCCCGAAAACCAGGTTAACAGTGAAAACATTCTAATTAAACCCATTTCATACATCCCATCCTTCGTGTCCGTCCATTGTGTACCCAATCGATTCTTTGTGTGAAAACACAACCAAATCAATCAATACTTTACAAGTCCCGGACTGTCACGCCACGAAAGCCACAAAAAAATTCTCCGTGGCAACCAGACACCCACCCATGATTTTTCCCATTTTCGACCATTTATCAAATTGGGCCGATTGCTCAATTAGCCCAATTGTCGAATCGACAAGCGAATTTCGTGACCCGCCTCTAATTCGATCATTGATGGCCATAAATTAACCAAAATGGTCTATTTCGGGCGTTCACACATAATTTAGACCGTTTTAAAAGGTTTTTTCGGTGGAAAGAGGGACGAAAGTTCAAGGATTTTAACCTCGGAGGAATTCCATCCACCCCTCATCGGTTATTATTGTTACGTCATCGATTTTACAATTTTCCATACATTTGCATTTATTACCATGTGATGAGAGGCAGACTTGAACTTGGACATCGGTTTTGATTCATGGGTTCGGATGGGTCGTGGGAAGGCGTAAGGGTGGGTGGGTGGGTTTTAAGAGGGGCGATTAGTGGCACGAAGAGGAAAATCGGACACGCTATAGTCCGAACGGTTCAGAATTGGCCCATCTTCATTATCGTTGTTTTTTCATTTTTTTGGATTGGATAATTTAATTTGATGTTAGTTCCGATAAAACTTGATATCTAGTAAAAGCCACGAGGTCAGAAGCGGTCAATTTTGTTCCTTCGTGAATTAAATAACCACATAAGTGTCAAGGTGTTTGTTTAAAAAAAGAAATTAAAAAATGCATTACTCATTTATCTTTGTTTACACTGCCAGCCCAGATATTTCCCTCATTTTCCACCGCTTTTTTGACCAACATACCCACATTTTTTTTTCTACGCTATCAACGACCTTGACAAACAAAAAACAATCGATACTTCCGCTACTTTGACCCACCTGGAGGCACTTCGGCTCGTGTAAATGCAGCGAGGCGGTCCCGAATTCCCTGCCGCAGATGTAGCAGGTGAGGGTCCGTTTGGCCGACTTTACCCTGGGGGTGGTGCTTTGGACTTCGGCGGCGGTGCCAACGTTGGGCGGACTGTGGACGATTTTCTGTGCTGGTAAAGAGGGCTTTCTCTGGGAGGGCGGGGGCGGCGGCGTCTTCTTTTCGACGTTTTGCTTCGACTTGTATTTCATGGCGACGGGCTTCTGGACGGTGCTCTTCACTGGAAAATATAAATAAATTGTGATTTGTTGGGATTGAGGGAAAGTAGGTACTTTTTGATGTGTTGTACATGTAAATTTGAGCACCCACTCGATTAAGCAGTCGTTGGGTAAGTGTACAATGTCATGTTTGTGCTAAATTTAGCGCTGATGAGAGACGTATGTAATCAAGGTGTAGCTTTAATTGGATGATACAGTCGGGGTTTACGTGAAATTGATTTACGTTGTTGGTGTTTATATACACTAAATATGATGTAAATACATATGTGTTTATATGAAACTAGTAAGGACAATCCTATCACTTTCTACCAGTTGGACTGGCTATATTTTAATTACGGCAACCGACTGAGGTCATCTTCTACGTCTGGAACGACGTTTTTCTTTCCTGAATTTAAAGCTCGCGGTCTGTCGACGTATTGACTTTGAAAATCAAGTCAAAGTTCTTAAAATTATTCTAAAATACACCCTGTATGTAAAATTATTGATCGTGTTTAAGCCACTTTATTATATTTTAAGCACAATATTTGTCATAAAAAATTACCGATTTAGAAAAGCAAATTTCTGAAATTCAAAACTTTTGCAGAAAACATCGACCATTTTAATTTCGAACAAAACTGGCACAGATGAAGTTTAGAGGTGTAAAATTTGCTCGTTTTATGCGTGGTGAGATACACGAAAAACGCCGTGGACATTTATCACATTTGAACCATTAAATTTGAAAAACCCGATTTGAATCTTATTTTGATGACTGATTTAAATTCCTAATATCGAACTGAAATTTTATATGATAATTTTTCGAGATGACACCATTTCTTCAATTTTTAGATATGTAGACGCTTTAAAAATGACGCATTAACTCTATGACCTAGAACTTCAAAGTTTAATTTTTGTTGTAAATATTTGACCGTATTTTTAGTTTAGTTTTTTCGATTTAACATTTTTTTGAATTTTCAGTTTGCCGATTTTTGAATTTTTCATGTTTCAATTTTTGAATTTTGAATTTGTCTATTTTACGAGGGAACATATCCAAAATTTCAGTTTGAAAAATTATGTCCATTTTGTTGAAAAATTGAGAAATTAAACATCGACAAAGAGGAGAAACTAAGAATTTTATTAATTTTTCGATTTTTGGATTTTACAGTTTCGCGATTTTTAATTTATCGGTTTTTCACTTTTACATTTCCTCAGTTTTTGGATTTTAGAATTTTACAATTTTTCAACTTTTGAATTTTCGATTTGTCAATTTTTCATGTTTTGGAATTTTTAATTGTCGATTTTACGAGGGAAAATAATCCAAGATTTCAGTTCGAAACTTTTGTCTGTTTGTTGAAAAATTAGGAAATTAAACATCGAGAAAACGAAAAAGTAAAAATCTTATTAATTTTTAAGTTTTCCAATTTTTGGATTATTCGATTTCGCGATTTTAAATTTTTCGATTTTTCAGTTTTTCTTTGCTTCAATTTTTTGACTAACAGATTTTTCGATTTGTCGATGTTTTAATGTTTCAATTTTGAATTTCAGTTTTCAATTTTTGATTTTTTAATGTGTTGTTTTTACGAGAATTTTCGATTCGTCGATTTTTTAATTTTTGGATTTATGAATTTAAAATTTTTTTGTGGGTTTTATGAGGGAAAACAATCCGAAATTTTAATTTGAAGATTTTTTAATTTTTGTTGAAAAAAAGAGAAATTAAAGGTCGAGAAAATGAAAAACCAAAAAGCTGTATCTTAATACGGAAAATTATTCCGGTTTTCCCATTTTTGGATTTTTAGTTTCGCGATTTTTGATTTTTCAATTTTTCACTTTTTCGATTTTTCAACTTCTGAATTTTTGACTTTTGAATTATTCTATTTTTGAATTCTTAATTTATTCATTTTACGAGGGAAAATAATCCAAAATTTCTGTTTGAAAATGTTGTTTCTTTTGCTGAAAAATTCGCAAATTAGAAATTGAGAAATTGAAAAACTAAAAATCGGTTTTAACTTTTCATTTTTCCAATTTTTGGAATTTTCGGTTTCACGATTTTTAATTTTTCCATTTTAAAGTTTCAGTTTGAAAAATTTTGTTCTTTTTTTTTGGAAAATTGAGAACTTAAACATCGAAAACCGAAAACTAAAAATCTTATTCATTTTTCGTTTTTCCAATTTGTGGATTTTTCGGTTCCCCGATTTTTAATTTTTCTATTTTTCAGTTTTTCATTCCTTCAGTTTTTTGACTTCCAGTTTTTTTGATTTCACTTGTTTTTTTCGATTTTACAACTTTCGAATTCTCGATTGGTCGATTTTTTAATTTTTGATTTTTAAATTTTTCAATTTTTGAATTTTTAATTTGTCGATTTTATGAGGGAAAATAATGCAAATTCGATTTGAAAATGTTGTTCTTTTGTTGAAAAAATGAGAAATTAAAAGTCGAGAAAATGAAAAACTAAAAATCCGTTTTAATTTTCCAATTTTTGGATTTTTCGGTGTCGTGATTTTTAATTTTTCGATTTTTCACTTTTCTTCAATTTTTCGATCTGCAGTTTCTCGATTTTTCAACTTCTGAATTTTCGACTTATCGATTTTTGAATTTTGAATTTGTTGATTTTATGACGGAAAATAATCCAAAATTTCAGTTTGAAAATTTTGTTCTTTTTCAAAAATCGCGAAATTAAACATCGAGAAAAATCCGTTTTAATTTTCCAATTTTTGGATTTTCCGGTTTCGCGATTTTCGATTTTTCAGGTTTTCATTTCTTCAATATTTTGATGCAGTTCTTTCGATTTCACAATCTTTCGATTTTACAACGTTCGAATTTTTCATTTGTCGATTTTTAATTTTTCAATTTTTAATTTGTCAATTTTACGAGGCAAAATAATCCAAAATTTTAATTTGAAAATTTTGTCCTTTTTGTTGAAAAAATGAGAAATTAAACGTTGAGAAAATGAAAAATTAAAAATCTGTATTACATAATTACTCGTTTTTCCAATTTTTGTATTTTTTGGTTTCGCGATTTTTCACTTTTCTATTTCTCCAGCTTTTCAGTCTGCAGTTTTTCGATTTTACAATTTTTCGGTTTTTCAACTTTTGAATTTTCGACTAGTTGTTTTTGGAATTTTTAATTTTTCAATTTTTGAATTTACAATTTGTTGATTTTATGAAGGAAAATAATCCAAAATTTCAGTTTGAAAATTTTGTTCTTTTTCAAAAATCGCGAAATTAAACATCGAGAAAAATCCGTTTTAATTTTCCAATTTTTGGATTTTCCGGTTTCGCGATTTTTGATTTTTCGGTTTTCTATTTTTCATTTCTTCAGTTTTTCGACTTGCAGTTTTTTGATTTTCCAACTGTCGAATTTTCGATTTTTCAATTTTCGAATTCTTCAGTTTTTGAATTTTTAATTTCTCAATTTTTGAGTTTTCCAATTTGTCTTTTACCAGGAAAACAATCCAAAATTTCTGTTTGAAAATTTTATTTTTTTTGTTGAAAAATTGAAGAACTGGATTTCAAGAAAATGAAAAACAAAATCCGTTTTAATTTTCCAATTTTTGGATTTTCCGGTTTCGCGATTTTTGATTTTTCGGTTTTCTAGTTTTTCATTTCTTCAGTTTTTCGACTTGCAGTTTTTCGATTTTCCAGCTGTCGAATTTTCGATTTTTCAATTTTTGAATTCTTCAGTTTTTGAATTTTTAATTTCTCAATTTTTGAGTTTTCTAATTCGTCTTTTACCAGGAAAACAATCTAAAATTTCTGTTTGAAAATTTTATTTTTTTTGTTGAAAAATTGAAAAACTGGATTTCAAGAAAATGAAAAACAAAATCCGTATTGATTTTTCGTTTTTCCAATTTGTGGACTTTTAGGATTTTCAATTTTCCGCTTTTTCATTTCTTGAGTTTTTCGACTTGTAGATTTTTGATGTTATAATTTCTCAATTTTTTCAATTTGAGAATTTTTAATTTTTCAATTTTTAATTTGTTGATTTTACGAGGAAAATAATCCAAAATTTCAGTTTGAAAATTGTGTATTTTTTGTTGAAAAATTGAGAAATTAAACATCAAGAAAATGAAAAAGTAAAAACCCGTTTTATTAACTTATCATTTTTCTACTTTTTGGATTTTCGGGTTTTGCAATTGTCAATTTTTCAATTTTTCAAATTTTAATTTCTTCAATGTTTCGAATTTTTCAGTTTTTGAATTTAGAATTTTTCAGTTTTTGGATTTTTAATTTGTCTTTCACGAGGAAAAACAATGCAAAATTTCTATTTGAAAATTTCGTTCTTTTTGTTGAAAAACTGAGAAATTAAACATCGGGAAAATGAAAAAGAAAAAATCTGTATTAAATTTTCGTTTTTCCAATTTTTGAATTTTTCGGTTTCGAGATTTTTAATTTTTCGATTTTCCAGTTTTTCATTTCTTCAGTTTTTCGACTTACAGTTTTTCCATTTTTCAACTTTTGAATTTTTGATTTGTCGATTTTTGAATGGTTCAGTTTTCGAATTTTGAATCTTTCAGTTTTTGAATTTTTAATTTGTCTTTTGCGAGGGAAAACAATCAAAAATTTCAGTGTGAATATTTAGTTCTTTTTGTTGAAAAATGGAGAACTTTTAACATCGAGAAAATGAAAAAATAAAAATCAGTTTTAACTTTTCATTTTTCCAATTTTTGGATTTTCCGGTTTTGCGATTTTCAATTTCTCGATTTTTCAACTTTTCATTTCTTCAATTTTTCGACTTCCAATTTTTCAAATTTTAAGTTTTCGACTTGTCGATTTTTGAATTTCTCAGTTTTTGAACTTTTAAATTTTCAATATTTGGATTTTTAATTTGCCTTTTATGAGACAAAAAATCCAAAATTTCAGTTTGAAAATTTTGTTTTTTTTTTTTTTGAAAAATTGAGATATTAAACATCCAGACAACGAAAAACTAAAAATCTATATCAATTTTTCCTTTCTCAAATTATTGGATTTTCCGGTTTTTTTCAATTTTCCAGTTTTTCATTTTTTCAATTTTTCGACTTGCAGCTTTTTGATTTTCCAATTTTTCGATTTTTTTCCTTTTTCAATTTTCGAATTTTTAATTTTTCAATTTTTAATTTGTCGATTTTACGAGGGGTATAATAAAAAAAATTCAACTTGAACATTTTGTTTTCTTTGTTGAAAAATTGAGAAATTAAATATGGAGGAAATGAAAAACTAAAAATTTAAAGTCTTAAAATTAAAATTTTTAATTTGAATTTAAAATTAAAGCAACAACTAATGAAATATCAAAAAATTAAAGTTCAAGAAACTGAACTGTTATGACGTCATCAAGTTGTTGAAGGAGTTAAACAAATAAACTTTGATTGCTGATTTACTTGTCAGTTTTGTGGTGAAATTGTGAAATAACATAGAAGCATATTATTTTATGATATTTAAATATTCACCTAGCAAAATTTTGAGATCACGTCACCAAAATTTTGATGGAGATGATCACAAAGGACTCAAATTACATTACCTATGCTGGTAATACATTTATCAACGATAACTTTTTCAAAATAATAAAAATACATTGTTGAAGCGCAAATAATATCCCATATTTGATTAATTTTTTGAGATGACGTCATCAATTTTATACAGGGGATGCACAAATAAATTTGTTAGTTAATGTTTCGTAATTTTGGTATGTGGTCACATATTTTAAAAATACAGATATCTAGGCTATTTCACCATCAGCACCGGGAAAGGAGCATTATTTTTTTCTGTTCTTTTTATGTTGTAATACTGAAAACTGGTGTAATAAAATTTCTTGTATTGCCGTAATTGTTTCCCCTAAGTGTAAATGTCACATCTGCGTCTGTGGGAGTTTTATGATCATAAATACATGTATGACTTTATATGACGTAAAGGTGACGTCTACACTTAGGGGAATCTGGTTACATCAGTAAAGGACAAAGTACCATAAGATACAAAAATGTACAAAAGTTTATATAAAAAAACAGTGCTATTTCAAGAGTCAATTTCATGGTTTTTCGAACCAGGTGCAAAGTACGTTTCTGGTCCGAAAAGTCCTTTCTGCGCATCAAGCGCTTAAGTCACTAAATCTAGATCTGACTTACTTTTCGGCGGTTCCTCCGGCTTTTTGGCCACCTTCAACGGCGTCGCAGGATGACTATGGAACCTCTCGGGCTGATCCGGCCTACCGCAAGTCTTGCACGGTTCCGGTAGTTTGGTCGATTTCCCCAACTCACTCTTATTACCCTCCAACACCTTAACAACATTCCCCGCACGCTTGCGTGGGATTTTGAACGTCTTATTATTATTATTCGCGTCGCTCAGACTCTTCTTCTTCGCCAGCGGCTCCACCTTCTTCGCCTTCGTGCTCTTCATCCCCTTCATCTTCGCGCTCTGCACGCTCACGCAGCTCTCCTCGTCCTCGCTCTCCGTCCTGTTCTTGCTCTTCCTTCCTTTGTGCTTCTCCGGAGACGGAAGGCTCAGCGGGCGGTTGATCACAGCCGTTTTCTTCCTACTGCTAATCGCCAACGAGAGCGGGAACTTGCACAGGTTGGAGATGTTGAGGAATTCTTTGCGCATCGTGCTCATGTCGATGATGCCGATGAGGCTGATGTTGAGCACCGTGGGCTTGTCGAGGGTGGCGGTGAGGGGCCGGTCCTCGGGCTTGCCCTCGCGCTTCGGGGGCCAGGTCTTGGTGAAGAGCTTGAGGTTGGGGTTCTTGGGCATGGTGAGCTTCTCGAGGAGGGGAAGGACGAGGAAAGGGCGCGATTTACGTTTCGTTTTTTCGTCAGTCTTCAGCGTCATAAGTTCACTTGGTAAATAAATAAAAGAAATGAGAGGTGAGCGCGCGGGAAAAGAGCGCGCTCGATGCGGACGAGGGAGAGGTTCGAACGATACTGTGTATGCAACTTGTTAGGTACCGGTTTGTTCTTTTGCCTACCTACGCGCAAAATCGGCCAGACGACTGCAAACATGACTAACAACAAATCTATATAAGGGGATCCGTGGTTACTTGCTGCCCACGAGGAGGATATTTAAGGATTTAAGCGCAGAAAGGGGTTATGGAGGAAGGACGTTGCCCCAGTGACGCTGCATAATTTTTAAGTTGAGAGGCGCAAGTTCAAAAACACGAAAATGAAGGTTTCTGACGAGCTGCATAATAAGCGTGCCATAATTAGTAATACATGTTACTTAAGTAAATTGCGAAGCTGTCACACACTGGTTCTTTAATTTAAAGTCTTTAATTAAGTAAAGTGTGCCATCTATGTTGTTCACTTGGTACTTCAAAAAATACTATGAAAAAACATAGATGAATTTGCGATTTTCTCAGTTATTTCAAGATATACCTCAAAAATAGCCACAGAATTGTAATCCTGAGAAAATTCCGCATCAGATAGAGACCTCGTTCAGTTGATTCGGATGAATTTAAATTTTGGAAAAAATATCTCATCGGGACTTTTCTCAGGATTATGTTTCCGTGGTTATTTTTGGAGGATTTCTTCAAATAACTGAGAAAATGTCAATTAATAACAGTTACTTAGAGAGTCCAAACGTGCTAAACAAAATAAAAAAGAATGTTTGTGTTTTTTTGCGATTTTTAATGAAGGATATGAAGTCAAAATATTTAAACATTTATTTCACAGAAACAAGATTAACGGGTGTACAGTTAAGAAAATCATCAAGTTGGCGTTGCTTTTTTGACAGACGCCAATGTTTACAAAAAATCAAAGCCAACTTGATGATTTTTTTTTTCAATCGAACACCCAGTGTATAAATGGATATTTGTCAATATAGACATATACAAATGTACGAGGTTGAATCCATTTAAAATGAGACGATTTCAATAAAACAGGTCATTCGATTGGATATCAATCGAGTCCATCGGACGATTGGTCACTTTTATGTTTTCTTGACGTTTCGTACTAGAGTACGAAAAAAGTAATCTCCCGTTTCCGTCGGTCGATCTGTCTGGTGTCTGCATGCATTTTTATTACACACGTAATCTTCGAAACTGCTGGACCGATTGTTATCAAATTTTATATGTATATTAGAAATATTATGAAGATGGTTAAATGCTAACCAAAATTTTGCTAATGATAGAGTTTTTAAATCTACACTGTTTTCAGGAATTACCTTTTTTAGATTTTCAAAAATTTTTTCCACAGTTGAAAACAAAGTTAGTGAATAAACTTTAAATTCTCTTAAATAAAAATTTCGTATAATGGTTAGACAATTTTTTGGTAATAATTCCAATTCTTGTCAAAATATAGCCCCCAACATTACATAAATAATTCTAGAGACTACTTCTTAATTCCAGTGACTACTCTAAATATTGTTCACTTCTACCTTCGCAAGTTTGAGCCCCGCCCACTCACCCTTTATATGCCATTTACCAAAATCAGTCTTATTCTTATCAGGTACTAGTCCCGCCCACCCGCCCTCTCTTTTATTAGAAGGTAGTCATTTGCTACAATCAGTCTTATCTTAGCAAGTACTAGTCCCGCCCACCCACCCTTTATTGTCTTAGAAGATGTATCATTTACCAAAATCAGTCTTACCTTAGCAGGTGGGGCTAGTACGGGTGGGTGGGCAGGGCTAAGTTTGACTATTTCTACAGTGTTTTGTAAGCAAACAATAGCCCGCCTACTCATCCCCTCTTTATTTCAGTGATTACTCTAAATATTGTTCAGTTCTATCTTAGCAAGTACTAGCCCCGCCCACCCACCCGTTATTTTCTTGGAAGATATGTTATTTGCCAAAATCAGTGTTATCTTAGCAGATATTAGCCCCGCCCACACACGCTGCTCTCAGTCTAACGATTTTATCTCTGTTTAGTTGAGAACCACTTTTCATTAGGACTGGATAAAATGAATCACTGAAATAGAGGCGGGGTGGGTGGGCGGGGTTAATTGTATTTTCTTTGGTAGAGTGCGAATGGGAACTAATAGAAGAAGTTCTGCCGAAACAACTTTCGAGCAATTTTTCAGTTTCAGGTCTTCTGTTTTCGAAATATTTTAAAAGAATTCAATAAACTTCTTACAATTCATTTTTTTAACATCAATTTTAAACCTGGCTGTTGGATTTTTTTCGAAATTATCGTTTTTTTTTGTTTCTCTTCATTATTGTCCTTTTTCGTCGTCGTTTTTTTCGCATTTCTTTGGAGCGCGTTTTTTTGTCCTTTTAATGACCCTTTTTTGTCGCCAGTTTGACCGCTTTTTTGTTGCTCTTTTGGTTCCCATTTTTATCGCCAATTTTTTTTGTGACCTTTTTTGGCACCCATTTTGTGTTTTTTTTGCCGCTTTTCCCCGCCTTGCTTTAGACGCTTTTCTTGTCTAAGTTTTTGTCCTTTTTTTGGCGTATTTTTCTTGTTTTTTTTCCTTTTCTTTTTCAAAAATTTTTTTAATCCCGTTTTTTTGTTTTTGTCTCTTGTTGCTCTTTTTTGTTGCCTTATTTTGTCGCAATTTTTTGCCAGTTTTTTTCGTTTATTTTTTGTCGTTTTTGCCCTTTTTGCCTTTTTTTGATTTTTCATCGGTGTTCAGTGGTCCTTTTTTTTGTAATTTGTTGGTACAATTTTTGTTTTCTTTTATTACTGCGTTCTTTGACCTTTTTTGTCGACCTTTTTGAACGCCTTTTTTTAATTTTTTTGTCATCTTTTTTGTATATACTTTATTTAACTTATTTTATTTGTTGCCCTTTTTTATACCTTTTCTGCTGCCCCTAATTGTTACGTTCCTTTTTGTCGCATTTTGTGTTGCCCTTTTTTGCTCTTTTTTTTTACACCTTTTTTTCTCTATTTTCGGCGTCTTTTTTCGTTTCTTTTTAACGTTCTCTTGTTCTATTTTTTTGTTTTTTTTTCTCATACTTTTTTCGTCTGTTTTATCGCCCATTTTCTAATCTTTTTTCACTTTTTTCCGCCATTTTTTTCGCTTTGTGTTTTAATCGCCTTTTTTTGTCTCATTTTTTGTTCTCTATTTAGTTATATTTGTCGTCACTTACTTTTTTTATGCCTTTTTTTATCCTTTTTTCCCATTTTTTGTTGACTTTATTTTTACACACTTTTTGTTTTTGTAGCCCTATTTTTTGCTTTTTTTATGGCTCTTTTTGTGACTTTTTTGGTCTTTTTTCCCACCATTTTTTTTTAGTTATCCTTTTTGTCGGGTTTTATTGGTCCCCCTTTTTAATTGCCTTTTTTTTCCTTTTTTGTCGCCTTCATTTTGACACGTGTTTTTGCTCCCTTTTTATTTGTTGACCTATTTTTGCCTTTTTTTCGTGCCATTTTTAGGTCACCTTTTTATTGGTGTTTTTTTTAATTTTTAGCCCCATTTTTGTTTTCCGTTATTATATCGTTTTTTTGTTGCCTCCTTTGTCGTCTTTTTTTGGTTCCTTTTCTTAGTTGGCCTTTTTTGTACCTATTTTGGATAATTTCACTATTTTTTGTCTCTTTTTGGCTAATTTTTCTTAGTCCCCCTTTATGATAACATTTTTTCTTTTTTATCACCTTTTTTCCTTAAATATATTTTGGCGTCTTTTTTGATTTTTTTTATCCCTTTTTTGTCGCCCTTTTCGTTACCTTTTTTGTCCCTTTTTTATCGCCCTTTTTGTTACCTTTTTTTTTGTCCCCTTTTTCGCATTTTTTTGTCGGCTTTTTCTAATCGTCTATTTTGTGCCTTTTTTGTTGTCTTGCTTTTCTTTGTAGCTATTGTTCACCCGTTTTTTGTTTTTTCTTTTCTTTTCTTCTTGTTATTTCTCGTCTGTTTTTGTATTTTGGTTCCTTTTTTATTGCCTTTTTTCTCTTCATATTTTATTGTTTTTTTTTCACAGTTTTTTGGTCCCCATTTTTTTATTGCCCTTTTTGCATTTTTTGTGACTTCTTTTTAGTGATTGTTTTTTTTTGTCATTTTTTGTCCTTTTTTTTATTGTCATTTTTGGTCCCTTTTATTGCCAGCGCTGTTTTTAATAGATAGAACAAATACTAAAATTGAAAAAACGAAAAATTAAAAAAAGTAAAAGTTGAAAAACCTAAAAATTGAATAATCCAAAAATTAAAAATTTTCACAATGAAAGAAACAAAAGTGATTAAGAAACCGAAAAATTTAAAAAATAAAGAAAATAAAAATCCCAAACAAAAAAGTGCAAACAGATTAAAAATTTAAGAATCGAAAAATTGAAGAATTAAAAATTGAAAACTCGAGAAATTTTTAATCGAGAATTGGCTAGATCGAAAAACTGAAAAAAAAAGAAAAAAATCAGAAAATGAAAATAAAAAAAATGTTATAATTTTTCAAAAAAGCTTGATTTGTTGGGCTGGGAAGGGACGAGGGAAGTTCTGTCAAGTTAACCTTCGACCAATTTTTTTTAAGAATGTGAAACCTTCTCGGCGGTACCAACTGTCTTTTTCTAAGAAGGTGAAAAAAGAGGTTATCACGAAAAAGTAAAATACGCAAAATCAAATTTTATAATTTTTCAGAGAAGCAGTATTTGTTCGAGTGTACTTCAGAAGCGAGGGAAATTCTGTCGAAATAACTTTTAAAATTTCCAACAGATGGCGGTATCCGAATTGGACCTCTACGAACGTCCTTGTTTTGTACTGGTTTTGGATACGTCTGAAACGGCCAGAAACGAAAGAAACCCCAGAGATTTTTTCATGATTATCGATATCAGTTGGTACTAGAGGGATTCATAGACGCGAATTTTAATTCACTTTATATTAAATATTACATTATTTAAGAGTATTGAATCGAAATTATGTAAGTAGTAAAGAAGCTATGTTAATAATAAGAAGCCAAGATTAAAAATATTCAATAATTAGTCTCTAGAAATAAATAAACGTTTATTTCTTGATAAATATTTACAAAATGAGTTTTGTACAAATTGGACAATACACCATCAGCACATTAATTAAAAAAAAATTAAACCCTATCAAAAATACAAAATAAAAATAAACACACCCCAAACTTTGTTACCTCCTATACCTATACCTCTTAAAATGAAACCACAACTGAAAAATATTATTATGAAACTGACACCTAAACCCCCTTTTATACGAATACTCCCACTCCCTATTCACAATCTTGAACGCAATATCCTCATACGGTGGCCCCGCATGGAACCTCAAAATCGCAAACTCCCGATTTTCCGGACACGGCGTCTGCAAAACCAAAAATCAACCCACTTCCAACAACCCACCCTCCAACTCACCAAAAAGTACTCCGGCGTGCTATTCTTGTCAATCAAATCCGGATAAAAAATATTAAACTTGTACCCCTGCACGATTTTCGGCGGCGGATTGTCCATATCGTAGTGAGTCTGGTTATACTTGTTCCACTCGAAGCCCGTGTGCACCCTGTTGAAGTACCTCGGCTTCCTCGGCCTGTACTTATCCGACCACAAATAGACCTGATTATCGAGCGCGGCCTCCACCGAAAACTGCGCCTCGTCGTCCGCCATTCCTTTGCGAGCCTCACGTTGCAGGAGAATTTCCTCCTTGGTCATCACGGTTTCGACCTTCTTGCCGCTGCCGGAGACGTGCATTCGGGCGAACTCCAGCCGCTTGTGGTCGTCTTCTTCGGTTACGACGATGGTGCCGGGTTCTATGTCCTCGGGGGAGAGGAACTTGGGGCTGTAGCCGCCGGCTTCGTACGCGTCGAAGAATTCGTTGAGAATATCAGTGGCGTGGTCTTCGGCGCTCCTGAAACAATATTAGTTGATAAAAATCGACATAACCTCACTTTTTTAAAGTTACAAAAAACGACAAATCTGGATGCGAAGTTTCCAGTTGTGTAATTAAACATAGAAATTAGTCATTTGTGATTAATAAAAGCGCATTAAATACGAATTAATAGTAACAGTTTTTGGTTTTTAATGACATAACCTCACTTTTTTTTTACCGAAAATTCAAATTTAATTTTTTTGTTTATAGTTGTTGGGTTTCACCCATTATGTCGTTAAATACATACAACTGAATAGGATGGGGGCTTTCAAACATTTCAAGGCGCAGATAAGGCGAGTTAATGTTAATTTTAGCGACATAACCTCACTTTTTGTACCGAAAATTTAACTAATGTTTTTGTTTATAGTCGTTGAGTTGCAGCCACTACGTCGTTAACTACATACAACTGAATAGTGATAGGGGCCCTCAAACGTTTTTTCATTAAAAAAGTAAGGTTAGGTCTGACATACTTGTCATTATCACTGGTTTGTTCCTCTTCATTTGAAGGCCCAGGCTTTGGTTCAGGGTCACTAGGGGGGTGTGATTCGGCCGCTGCATTGCTTTCTTCGGGTGCTGGCGTAGTCACCGCTTGTTCGGCTTTGAGGACTTGCAATTTTCGCCTTAAACTGTCTTGGTGTCTATCTCTCAGACGTGCCCTCGCCATATGAGCTACAAATGGATAAATATCATACTAAAAACACAACGGAATGTTTTACCTTTAAGTTGGGATAAAAGTGACTCCCAATATCCAATATCAATCCCGTCTGCTTTTCCATTTATTTTACTTTCAATCTGTTTTTGTAGAGCGGCTAATTGGGACGACGTTTTCCCTTTAAAAACACTTGTAACGTCGGCAGCGACAGCTTGATTGATACCTTCTCTTCTACTAATCCCCATATCAAACTCATTCTGTTTTTCCAGCTTTCTAAGTTTTTGTAACTCATCTTCAACAATAACTGTAATATCAGTCCAGTAGTCTAAATTTTTTCCTCTTTCTAATTCTTCATAGACTTTAATATCTTCCACCAGATCTTCCAAATCTTTAATTTGAAGACCATTTAAGTACGTGTATGGCTCGTGCATTTCCACTGCATCCACTTCCTCTTCAGCACTAATATATTTCGCCAGAAGATCAATAGGTTTGGCTCTGCCGTCCTGAATTCGAATGTGTGACCTCAACCTTGCCTGTTCTAAATGAAACTGGTCTTCTTGCCTTTCCCACTCTTCAAACTGAGCCGCTTCTTTACTCCTCTGCATCAACTGCATTTCCTCCTCTCTTTTCTGTCTTTCCACTTCTCTTTCAATCCTCCTTTTTTTAACTTTCTCCAACTCTCTTTTATTCTCTTCCTGTTTGTATCTATTGCGCGTTTCCAGTTCCTCAGGGCTCACCCCCGTGAGTCCCTCCTTTGCCAGCTTTTTTGTCCAAACAAACGTCGACAACAAATTGCCATCTCCAAACGGATTATCCGTATTAGTGTAGTGCAAATATTCGTTGTCCCACCCCATTCGCTCCTTCCTTTGTCTCTCCTTCGCTTGCTTTTTCGCCAGACGCCTCAGCCGCTTCTCCTCCGGCGTTTCATTAGCTTTCATCAACTCTTTTTCTCTTTTCTTTTCTTCGACCGCTTTGAGTCTCTCCTCTTTGAGTTTTTGCAACAAAACCAACGAATCGTCGGAGGAAGTACTAGAGTTCGAGTCCGAATCGGACTCATGGCGGCTGTGCTTCTTACTTTTCTTCCGGGAAGATTTGTCTCTGGGGTCACTTTTGTGTTTATTGGAATAGTTCTTCCGCGATTTGTCTTCGCTTTCTTCGGAATCGGAGGAGTATTTGTGGTGCTTTGATTTGTGTTTGTGAGGGGGCGAACGGGATCGGTGCCTGGAACGCTCACTTCTTGGCATTTTGTAATAATACGGAACGACGTATTTGGTAGAGGTTAGGTCATCAAACGTCACTCGACGACTTAATCAAATGTCAATTTCCGATTTGGTGTGTTTTATTAAAGTTGGCAACCATTCTAGTTTTGTGCAATTTGATGATTTCCGCGATTATAAATGAGTCAGTGGAGTAAATTTTCGTGGTGTGCAATAAATCGCGAGTCGGTTGATCCCTTTTCCAGCATTTTTTAATTCACATAATTAATCGTGCGAACTCAACCCCCTTCATCCGCCGGCCTTGACTTAAATCTGGTTTATTCGCCCCGCAATGTTGGTACTCCAATTAAAACTTTTGTCCGTTTGGAAGGTTTGAAATAGTTTTTTCGAGAAAAATCGTGATATTTAATTAGAAAAAGTGGAAAATGCAGGGCAAGATCCAGTACTCCGATAAATACTACGACGACGAATATGAATACAGGTGAGTAACAATTTTGGCGCAGATCACAACTCTATCAGGACTTTTCGGTGTTCAGGCATGTAGTGCTCCCCAAAGAAATGGTCCAGCTAGTCCCGAAAACCCACCTCATGACGGAAGCCGAGTGGAGACGAATTGGGGTACAGCAGAGTAGGGGATGGGTGCATTATATGACCCACTCGCCAGGTAGGTGGTAATTTTGTGCTTATTTGTGTAATGCTGATTTCGTAGAGCCACACATTCTGCTGTTTAAACGACCAATCACGGCACCTCCAACCCAAAAGGGGCACTAAATTGTTGGTTATCTTGTACATATGTTAAATTTGGAGCCCTTCAAGCACATGTGCAGTACTCAGTTGGGTCGGATGATTCACATAAAATTTAAATAAGGCTGTTTGTTTAGGCTAGTTCCCATTCATTGTATTAAGCTTATGGTTACAGTTCCGAGCTGCTTCCTATGTAAACATTTTACGTTAAATATATTTTTTAGCAATAAAGTTTTACTTTTTACTTGTTTGCAAGCTTCCTTTTACGTCCAATCATTGTCTCTTGGTTTTTAAAAAGTGTGGATATTTAATTTAAATGCATGTGCAGGTGTTAGCAAATGTCAATTGTTATGTTGGTAGCCCTTTTTACTGACTCGACGATAAATCCGTCAACGGTTGGATTTTATCACGTTTTTTGCAATTTCGGCAAAATGTCGATGCAAAGTCGCTCTTTTCGGGCTTTCGGTCCCAATAATAACGCGCTTGCGGTCAATTTTGTTATTATTTTCAAACAAGTTTGGTGAATTTGGGCTGCAATGTTGGCAACACAATTAAAAGTTTCAGCCGTTAGTTGTTTTGTTTGAAAGAAGTGTTTTGCGTCCAAGAGAAAGCACCTGTATGTATCAAAAGAAGCAAAAAAACCTGTTTATCCACACGTGCTAAAAAGCCAAATTTCGTAATATGGACCGCATAACACTCGAAGAGCTCCAACGAAATATATACTACTCGAATAAATACTACGACGACGAGTATGAATACAGGTGAGCAGAAGATGTTATTTGCGAAAAACAAGAGTCATTTTTTGTTGTATTGCAACCAGACACGTAATGTTGCCCAAGGAAATGGTCCAACTGGTGCCTAAAAGTCATTTGATGTCGGAGGAGGAATGGCGAAGGATTGGAGTGCAACAGAGCCATGGTTGGGTACATTACATGACACACGCACCAGGTGAGTGCACAAGTTTGAATACTAAAAGTACATGAAAGTGTCAATTTACAGAGCCCCACATTCTCCTATTTAAAAGACCCATAACGACGCCCCCGGCAAAGAACGAGAAGTAGTAGTCGGGTTAATTTTTAAGTTTGGATGTTTTATTTATGTAAACGCGTGGTGTTTACACAATGCTCACTCGAGCCTATGTATAGCTCCCTAATTTTCAAACAAGGCTGTTTTTATGTTGTATCAAAGTCATGTTTCGTTTTTCTTGCAAGTGTGACTTCTGTGCTTCAGTGTTTTTTTAATAAAGTTACTTTTATATGAAGTTTTAGACTTTCATTGTGTCATTTTAAAGTCGTGTGGTGGGGATATCTAGTCTAGTGACAGCTAGTCATGGATACCTTGTGTGAAATTCCAGACGAAAATTTGCCTGCTTTGGCCACTTTGTATGAGAAACACGTGGTGTGGGCACCTCACGTGTTAAGTTTAATTCACACAGGTATGCGTCTAAAAAACACGAATAAATTCAGAGATAGTGTGAGTTTCCTCTCAGTCAACGAAATGTGGAGGGAAGATGGCACGATTATTGTAATCATGAAGGTAAATTAATTTCGTGAGTATGTATAGGCAACCAACAATTCACTTTCAGTTTCATTGCTACAATATTTTTGTGTTTACTTTGGATGACCACTGCGTCACTCTACGACAAGCTTTACTCACGACCGATTTTACGAATCCGCAAGCTGTGTTTTTCTGCGTCCACGAAAAACATCTACCTACTGTTGAGCAAGTCGCCAAGGAGAGGAATTTACGACTGTCTAAAGCCCCTCTTCCGTATTTAATATTTGCGTTAAATCCGTCTAAAGCTACGTTTGCACTGGATTGTCCACCGGACGTTTACGTTAAGAAATTGGACCCTACTTTAAGCGACAAGATTAACTCAGTGTGGCCACATAAATACCCAGGTTCGGAAAACTACGTGTCAGGGTTAATCGAAATGAATGGGGGTTATGGGGTGTTTTTACGCAGTAGTAACGAAATGGTGGCATGGGTGGTGAAGCACTGTTTTGGCCACATTGGGGTGCTTCAAACGGACGAAAAACATAAGAAGAAGGGGTATGGAAGCTTGGTTACTAGAGCACTAGCACTAGAGATTTTGGACGAGGGACATTGGCCGTTTGGGACTGTGTACCCGGATAACGCAGGGTCCATTAAGCTTTTCGAGAAGTTGGGGTTCGAGAGGATTGGGTTTGCGTCCTATATGGATATAATAAATACCTGATTACCTTATGTATTGAGTGTGATATATTTAAATAAAAAATAACTCAGTTACGTATTACTCTGAAGTTATTCTAACATCAACGTCGGGAATTTCGCCGTTGTACATCAGTATTTCGTACGATCGGAGCTTCTTCTCCTTACCGTTTTCGTTGTAGTAAAAGTAGGCATTTTCCACCCAGAAGGAATTGACTTTTCCTATTTTCACGTCCCCGGAAAGGCTGATCCTTCCTATGTTCATGTACCCGTTTTTGTCTTCGTGGCCTCCCAAAACTGCGTGTTTGTCGGTGACCTGCACATGTAAATCCGTAGCGTTTGCTTTCATCCAATAAAACTTCACTTGAGGGCCGCAAAGAATCTAAAAATGTGTTACGACTAAAATAAAAAAAAGTTCGCCGTTTTCTAACCTTGATGTATTTGTTGACTTTATGTATTCCGTTGTAAGGAACAGAAACTTCTTTTTCTCCAGGAGAGATTTGTGCTACTATTATGCCAGCATCCTTGAGGTACGCTTGACCGATGTAGACGTTTTTTCCGTCCAGGGTTTTTCCCGCTACGAATGCGTCTGCTGGTACTGCCCCGAAGTACTCGCGCCAGTAGTAATCTGAAAGGTACTTCGCTGCAAAAATGTTAATTTGTGTCTAGGGTTTTACCCTCATCCGCACAGAAACAGCTGCCGAAAAAAAGCAAAGTAACCAATGTTAACTTGTTCATGATTTGCTTTTGACTGAAGCGACTGAGATTGACATGGTCTGCACTTGGGTTATCGCTTATCGTCAGTATTCTTATTACAGTCATGAATATGTTTATCACGTGCGGGTTTTTACGGTTTTATGGTAACAAAATCTTCATTGTTTCAATTTAACGGGTAATTTTTTCACACCGGAATAGCTTGAAAAAAAAATCATCCAACTCTATGTTTATATGTATATATATTTTGCATTGTGCGTCGTGTATAAAAGACAAATAATCAATTGCTCAGTATATCAGAGTCGATTTTCGTGTTTGTACATCAGTATTTCGTAAGACTTGGTTAATTTTTCAGCTTGGCCATCACTGTAGTAAAAGTTTGCATGTTCAACACGAAACGAATCTACTTTTCCAACTTTCGTGTCTCCTCCCACGCTGATTCTACCAACGTTTAAGTACCCATTGGACTCGTCATGGCCTCCAACAACTGGATGTTGATCAGTAATAAGGTGATGAAGATCGGTAGAATTGGCTTTCAACCAGTAGAAATTGTCTTGGGGCCCGCAAAGAATCTACGATGCATTTCATGGTTGTATGGATTTGATTAGTATTTTATTACCTTTATGTATTTTCCTTCTTTGCTCTGTCCATCATGAGGAACATGCAATTTTGTGTCCCCTGGGATAACGCGTCCTGGAATTAATCCTACGTTCTTGATGAAAGCCTGACCAACGTAGACGTTTTGCCCATCTAGGGTTTCACCAGCTATTACGGCGTCTGGTGGTACCGACCCTAAGTACTCTTTCCAGCAGTAATCTGAACATGTTTCGCGATGGATTATTTGTATTTGGTTGAATGGAGCGTACCTCTTTGGTGGCTGTAGCAGTTTGATACAAGATACCCTATGAGAAGAACTACGAACATGGACATGTTGAACTGGTGAAAGATGAGTGTCTGAGAACGAATTTTTCAATGCTTTCATAGCGTTATTATCGCGTTTTTTGTTGACTTTTTTTATTTGATAAATCTTGTTTTTACAGAATTAATTCTCAATATGAAGCAAATACAATGTGTATTATAACAAAAATAAATACAATTTCTTAGAGTTTGATAATAATCTAGAAACTTTTAACCCTGAGGTCGATTATCCTGTCATCGTACATTAGAATCTGGTACGACGTGATAAGCCTCTCCAGACCATTATCGTCGAAGTAAAAATAGGCACTTTCGGCACTGAACGTGATGATCTTGCCAACTTTCACTTCTCCTCCATGACTGATCCGTCCAATTCCTAAGTAACCCTTCCCATCTTCGTGACCACCAACAACGGCGTGTTTGTCAATTAGTGACAAGTGAAGAGTTTTTGATGTTGCGGGCATCCAGTACACTTTTTCTTGGGGACCACAGAGGATCTAGAGATTTTCATTATTGTTTGTCTAGTACCAAAAGCAAACGAACTCCTACCTTAACGAATTTGTCGACGATCTTGATTCCTTTCATAGGAACGCGGACTTGTTTTCGACCTGGGGTTATTTGGGTCACTATCAAGCCCCAGTTTTTGATGTATGCTTGCCCGATGTAGATACTTTGACCGTTGATGTCCGTACCTGCGACTATAGCATCTTCTGGAACTTCTCCTGTGTATTCACGCCAGTAGTAATCTGAAACAAAATATCACAAAATACAGTTTTTGAAAATTGATATTTTTGGAAGCATATCTACCTGGTTTTAAGGAATAAGAAACTTGTAGAGTTGCGGACGCAAAGACGATCAAAATAACGGTTACATGAGACATTTTGACGTTGTTCTAACATTTCTGCACAGATCGTCTATTTTTATAATGGTAAAAACTCACGGGGAAGCCCCTCGGGGATATTGATACTATACAGAATTTTTTTTTTTAGAGTAATTGCATGAAATAATACGCAGTAAGTGAACAAAACAATAAGATAAGGTTCTTCTGATAGTACTCGACCGTGAAAGCACGTAATCATTCAATGCACTATATTTATGAAGGAAGGTCAACTCAGATAAGTAATAATTAAAACAAGTATGCAACTTCCAACTGCCTTTATTCTTGATTAAAAGGTTTAACAATTTTTAAGAATTTAAAAATGGTACTACCAATATAGAATTGTAGTAATAGACTTTTCGCTGAGTTCAAGTTGCGCAGTGCCTCTGGACTCATCCACGAGAGAAATCGGTACGGCACTTTCGTTCCTGTAAAAATAACTTAACAAAACGCTACACCAAAACAAAATTACTGACTTGTTGAGTATAACGACGGTAGTACCATTATCCGGTCTTTGAAAAGCAACAACTTCTATATTTTTGTTCAGGTTTGAAACTGAGTCAATTCGCACGGACTCCCTTGGTACAAATTTGGAAAAATGTCCCAGATGGTAGTACATGGGTTGTTTATAAAATTCTCCAGCTGTCGTATTAACGATGATAGGTGAATCAACAAGATTATCGATAAAGGTAGGTCCCCCACTTGGATCAAGTACCATGTTCCAGTCCACCCAGCCGTTAACCCAGTGTTGAAGGTCCTACACATCAATAAATTAGTCTTTAAAAATATCATCAATAAATATTACTTCTATAATATCGTCGGAATAAAATTCACCGCGTTCCCAAGAACCCAAGTCGACTGGTACCGTAAACATCGGGATTGTGATACAAGCTTCCGTATTTAAAATAAATTTGTCCGGAAAATGTTCGTGGGTCGTATCTAACATACTCGGAGGGATAATAAAATCCGAATAGAAATGGACACCAATTCCGTCGACGTATTCGCTGGTAGTACCATTTTCTAAAGCCTGAATTAAGATTAGTTCCGTCTACGCAAATATCTAGTACTTACGGTATCTACGAACCCCGGTAAAAACATTCTTTGATCGTCTAGAGCCACAATTTTGATGTCGGAATAGACTGAGTTTCTGATGGCGGGGCCCAAATTGTTTGCAATCCATTCTCCCTGAAAATAATTTTGGAAAACTGCTTTAATCGCAAGCTTTGCTAACCTGTTCACTTGCATTCCACCCTACAGTAGGAATCAGGTTGCCTGGTACCAGGTACGTGTTGGGTTCGTTCCCCGTGGTGATCCCCCAAAACGATATCCCTTCCTCTTGGTAGCTATCCAGAAATTTGACAAAATAGTCAGCCCACGTTTGGTACATTTCAGGTTTGATGAACCCCCACCCTGTATACTCTCCATTGGTTTTCATCCATTTGGGGGCATTCCACGCCGACGCGAATAGTCGGAGGTTGTTATTAGTTAAGTTGGAAGCTTTTTGGATGTAGGGGATCTACGAAACATAATTTTTTAAATATCCACTTTTTAACACATTATTACTTTATATTGGTAGTCTTCTTCGACCAGAGCAAAGTTCTTTAAGTCTAGATCTTCGTCACCGTCGTCGTACGTGTATCCGTGCGTGGAAAAGTCGGTACCACCAATGGGCACCCGACACAGACTATACTCAATACCATCTTCGGAAAAGTAGGAACGTAGGAGCTTTTCTTGCACGCTTTCCTCCAAGGAACCGATATTTATTCCTGTGGAGTCGGTAAAAGCGCCCCCCCAGCCTAAGATTGTCTGGTACTGCTGCTCCGAGTTTACTACTATTTCGTTTTCTGCATTTTCTGATGGTTGTTCAAAGGTCCCTACATCTTTTTGGAATCTCAAGCCGGCTTTGTTGGAAGTGTAGACGAGGTACTGTGGTGGTTCCAGTCGTTCTGGTGCTGGTATAGTGTCACAGTGGTCGGAATTGCACACACATACGGTACCACCGTTGCCGTAGTCCCTGCTGAGGCACTCGTTTTGGGCTTGGCAGCTTGCTAAAATCGAAGCTTTTGTTAGGTTATAATTGTTTTGTAGAATCGTACCTGTTAAGGTGAAAATCAACAGAAGTGATATTTTCAGCATCGTGGAAGCGTTTAGTACTTTTACGTTCTGAGATGTGTTTTATATAGAACAAGAGCGCTGTTTCTATTGTATTTTGTTTATCTGGTATCACTCCGAGTAATCATTTTTTTATAGTTGATTTAACGTAGTACGAAGTTTTCGCGACCATGTGGTAAAAGGATTGATAGTGAATCATTTGGTTTAGTTATCTTTAGTACTACTACAAAATCGAGCAATCTTTCATTATTAATCGTTGATCTATTGTCTACTCATAATGCTTAGTAGCGGGTTTGTTGTGGATTATTGTGGAGATGATTCGAATTGTTAATATGATTGATTGTTAGATAAGTTTGTCAGTAATATGTACCATGATAAAAATCGTTGTTTGGGCAGCATATTTCAAGTACATTGTATATATCAACATATTAAATTCAAGTTAATCCCAGAAATTTAAAAAAAATCATTTCAATAACATTGATTTTATTTATTTAAATTTTTCTACTAGTGTGGTACTACCAATACAAAATTGTAGTAATAGATTTTTCACTAAGCTCCAGCTGAGCAGTACCCCTTGTTTCATCGACAAGAGAAATCGGTACTACACTTTCTTCCCTGAAAATTGAAATTAAAAAAAAATCTTTCTCATTTTGGTACTAACTTGTTGAGTAGCACCACAACGATACCATCATCAGACGGCTTGTGGAAAGCTGCGACGACGACGTCTCCTGTAACATTTGTAACAGTTTCGACCCTCACCGCCGGTCTGGGTACGAATTTAGAAAAGTGACCCATATGGTAGAACATGGGTTGTTTGTAAAACTCTCCACCTGTAGCATTTACGATAATGGGTGCATCAACAGTGTTGTTGATGTAAGTGGGTCCGCCTGCTTCGTCTAGTACCATGTTCCAGTCGACCCAACCAACACCCCAGTTTGTTACTACCTATTATTAACAATTATTACGTTTATACACACAGTTTTGATAATGTCGTACCTCTAGTATATCTTTGGAGTACAACTCGCCGCGGTCCCACGACCCAAGTACCACCGGACCGATACCAGCTTCAACTTCATTGCAAGCCTCAGTAGATATAATAAATTTGCTCGGAAAGTGGTCATGGGTGTCAGTCAGGTAACTCGGTGGAGTGAAAAAATCTGTATACCAGTGAACCGCAATTCCATCTATGTAGTCCGCGGCGGTCTGATTTTCTAAAACCTGTATAAATTTTACGTTGAGTCAAGTCTTAGTACTGGTGCGTACCGAGTCGACGAAAGCCGGCAAGAACAGTCTTTGGTCATCGTGAACCATAATTTGGATGTCCCAATAGTCGGACGTCCTGATGGTAGGCCCGAGGTTATTTTGTATCCACTTTCCCTACAACACGTGTTAGGTTAGTTTTCCAACGATAGTACTTTTATACTCACTAATTCCGTAGCGTTCCACCCCACTGTATTAATTTTGTTCCCCGGAACCAAAATCGTGTGTGGTTCATTCCCCGTCGTAATCCCCCAAAAATGTATATCTTCATCTTGATACCCATCCAAGAACTTAACAAAATAGTCAGCCCAAGTCTGATACGCTTCCTCTTTCAAGTACCCAAACCCGGCGTACTCTCCGTTCGTTTTCATCCACTTCGGCGCAGTCCAAGCAGACGCGAACAACTCCAGCTTCGACTCACTCAACTCAATCCCTTTTTTGATGTACGGAATCTACAAAAAAATTCAGTACGACCTTCTCCCTCCCTCGTTACTTACTTTGTATTGGAAATCTTCGTCAGCGATGGCAAAGTTGGCCAATTCCAAGTCCTCCTCTCCGTCGTCGTACGAATATCCGTGCGTGGAAAAATCGGTACCACCGATGGGTACTCGACCTACGTTGTACTCGATACCATCTTCGGCGAAATACGAACGCAGGAGTTTCTCTTGGAGAGCTTCATCCAAGGACGCTATGTTGATCCCTGTGGCGTCCGTGAAAGCGCCGCCCCAGCCGAAAATTTCCTGGTACTGCTGGTCGGGGTTTATGACGATTTGGTTTCCGGAACTGTCGGACGTGGTGAATTCGCCGACGTCTTTGTGGAATCTTAAGCCGGCTTTATTGGAGGTGTAGATGAGGTACTGGGGTTGGTCGACTTTGTCGGGGCGGGCGATAGTGTCACAGTGGTCGGAGTTGCAAACGCAAACGGTACCACCGTACCCGTAGTCTCTACTTAAACATTCTTGATCGTCTTGGCAGTACGACACTATAATAATCTAAGCATGGATTGTAGTTAAAGAATTTAATTTTTACCTGCTACGAAGAAAGTCAGAAGGAAATAAAGTTTTAACATCATGATCTTTGATCAGTGTTTGTATTAAGTGACGAAAGAATAAAAGTCGAAAGTACTGATAGTACTACACTTGTTCAGTTTATCTAAAGAGATTGCGCGATATCGCGAAAACAGGTGTTTGTTGACGGAAAAAACCGCGTACTTCAGAAATTAAGTACTCAAGAACATCATTTTATTCAAAATAATACTCCTATATATTAACATTTTAAAATCTTTTACAAGGGTACTACCAATACACAATTGTTGTAATGGACTCTTCACTAAGCTCGACGTGCGCGGTTCCTCTGGAGCTGTCATTTAAAGTAAGCGGTACGATCTTTTTATTGCTGCAATATATTCAAGTTGGACTTGGATTGTCACTGGAAAAGTACTAACCGATTTAGAATAATGATAACAGTACCGTTGTCGGGCCTGCGGAACGCCACGTGTTTTACGTTTTTGAGACACAGTTTCGAATATATCCTGACTGAACCCCGAGGGATAAATTTTGAGAAGTGACCCAAATGGTAAAATGTGGGTTGTTTGTAGAATTCGCCAGCTTTAACGTTAACAATGATGGGCGAATCGAGGTAGTTATCGATGTAAGTGGGACCCCCTTGTAAATCAAGTACCATGTTCCAGTCCACCCAGCCGCTGACCCAGTTCTGTAAATTCTAAGAAAACACGTCAAGTGGTACTACCTTAAGCAACTTGTACCTGTATTATATCAACTGAGTACTTTTCACCTCTTTTCCAAGAACCAAGTTTCACTGCGGCTCCATCGTCAGTTATACTGGCTTCAGTCGACAAGAGAAATTTATCGGGGAAAATTTTGTGGGTGGTGGAGAGTACTACGGGTGGTAGGTACTCATCGATGTACCAGTGAACCGCAATTCCGTCCACATATCCACGCGAGACGTTATTAGTCAAAGCCTGTGGCGTTATCGCTTAATTTGTGTTTAACTAGTGGTGTAAATTTAGTACCTTGACTACATACCAAGGAAGATAGGCTCGCTGGTCATCTAGTACCATAATTTTGATGTCTGAGTGGTTGGACGATCGAATCGTGGGTCCTAAATTGTTTTCAATCCACTCTCCCTAGAAACTTTTTTTTTAGAACGAATCGTACCAAGTCGTACATTTACAATCAACCACGCCGGCCAAGCCACCACCTCCAAATCACCAAACAAAAGCCAACCATTCGTGGGCTCATTCCCCGTAGTAACCCCCCAAAATTTGATCCCGCGTTTTCGGTACTCGTCCAAAAATTTGACGAAGTAGTTAGCCCACGACTGGAACATGGGTTTCCGAATGAACCCAAGCTTCACAAAGTCGTTGTTGGTTTTCATCCACTTTGGAGCCGCCCATGGTGTCGCGAACAACCACAAATCGTCTGTTAAATTAGACGCTTTTTGGATATACGGAATCTGAAAAAAACTCCAGTAGCGCCACAATTTCCTCCCGATTCTTACCTTGTAGAGAAAATCTTCCTCTTTCAATTCAAAGTTCAGAAGACTTGGGTCTGGCGGACCGTCGTCGTACGTGTATGCACGCACGGAAAAATCGGAACCACCCATCGGTACTCGACACAAGTTGTACTCAATACCGTCTTCGGAAAAGTACGACTTTAGCAGATTGGTTTGGGCGCCTTTTGGTAAAGAGTTGATGTTGATTCCAGTGGAGTCGGTGAAAGCGCCACCCCAACCCAAAATCGTCTGAAATTGTCTTGAACCGTCGATGACAATTTGTTTTTTGGTTTTGGAAGAAGTGAAGGTAGTACTCGTTTGGTGGAAACGTAAACCGGATTTATTCGAGGTGTAGAGTAGTAGTTGCGGGGGTTTGACTTTTTGGGGTCTTGGTATGGTGTCACAGTACGTAGAATTGCAGACGCAAACTGTTCCATCGTTGTCGTACCTTCGACTTTGGCATTGTTGGGTGGTTGAAAATTCTATTCAAAAGTTAGCGTGTGTGGATTTGTGGGTAGACCTACCTTTTAAGAAGAACAGGAAGAGTAAAATGGGTAACAACATACTCAGGTGACATAACTCGATTACAAAGAGTGTTATCAGGGGAAAACTATTATCAACAGTGTTTAAACGACAAAAAATTATCAGCCGTACTTTTATAAAATGTATTGTTTTGTTGTTTTAAATTCATGGTTGACAGGTATGGTAAAACTGGTAGATAACGTTTTTATTTTTATTTGTCAATTTTAACATCTACCAATACAACAGGGTACTGATTGATCTCGGACTAATTTTCACCTGGGCGACTCCTCTTGAACTATCTTTTACATTTAAGATTACTCCTTCTTCATTCCTTGAAAACAACGTTGTATTAAAAGTCTCATTACAAAGGTACTCACCTATTTAACAAAACCACAGCAGTACCACCATCGGGTCTTCCAAATGCAGCAACTTCCACCCTCGATCTGCGTACTTCAGTACCGACTCTGACTGATCCACTTGGTACGAATTTAGAAAAGTGACCCAAATGGTAAAACATAGGTTGCTTGTAAAATTCGTTACTCGTTCCGTTGATTATTATCGGCGAATCGACAAAATTTTGGATATAGTTGGGACCACCTTGTGGGTTTAAGGCCATGTTCCAGTCCACCCAACCAGTCACCCAGTTGAGTACGTCCTATCAAAATTAAACCCTCGTACTAATATCACAATATTTACTTCAATTATGTCAGCCGAGTAATTTTCACCTCTTTCCCAAGAACCAAGTTGTACCGCGGATTCGTTTTGACCAGGAATATTAGATGCTTCTGTTGCTAGAATAAACTTCTCTGGAAAAATTTCTTGGGTCTTGGTTAAAGCTTCAGGCGGGTCGTACTTGTCAGTGTACCAGTGGACAGCAAAACCGTCTACATATTTGCGAGCAACAGGATTTTCTAGAGCCTGGAAGGTTCATATATATAATATAGTAGGATTGTTTTATTGTTGGTACTTACTATGACCACGTACCAAGGATAATATATCCGCTGGTCATCCAGAATCATAATCTTCGTATCTGAGTAGTTGGAATTTCGGATGGTGGGTCCTAAATTGTTTCTAATCCAAGTACCCTTTCAGTGGTTTAATAAACCTAGTTTTAACTATAATGTAGTACTTACTAATTCCCGAGGTGCCCATCCCACTACTTCTAGTTTTTCACCGGGAACCCAAGCATCTAAGGGTTCATTTCCCGTTGTAAGTCCCCAGAAATTTATACCAAATTTTCGGTACTCGTCTAGGAATTTCACGAAATAGTTCGCCCATGGTTGGTACATACTCTTACGGATGAATCCGAGTCCGGTGTACATGTAGTTGGTTTTCATCCACTTGGGAGCGGTCCATGCTGACCCAAAAAGACGAAGTTTGTGACCCGTCAATTTCATAGCCCTTTTTATGTATGGAATCTAAAACAAAAATTTACTAGAATTGTAAAACTTTATCAAATAATAGTACTTTGAAAACGTGGTCTTCAGGAGCTAGTTTAAAATTGAGCAGTAGGGGATCTGGATCACCATCATCGTACGAATAAGCACGTACTGAAAAATCGGTACCACCCATCGGTACTCGACACAAACTATACTCGATACCACTTTCTGAGAAATATTGTCGTAGTAACACTTCTTGGGTGTCTTTTGGTAACGCATGGATGTTTATCCCTGTAGCGTCCGTGAAAGCCCCTCCCCACCCAAATATAGTTTGAAATTTGCTAGAAGAATCTACGTCCACGTGGCTTTCGCAGCTCTCCAAAGGTCTAAAACGACCCCTAGATTGTTGGAATCGTAACCCTTCGAGGTTGGAAGTGTAGACTAAGAATTGAGATGGGTGTGTTCTGGTCGGTCTAGGGATGCTGTCGCAGTACGAACAATTGCAAACGCAAACAGTACCACCGTTTCCGTAGTTTCTGCTTATACATGGTGTTGGTTGTAAATAGGTACTCTTTACCGAAGAAACACAGACTAAAAGGATAATCACAAGCATGGCGGAGGAATTTTTCTCCACTATGACTTGAGGTACTACTAATTTTATTCCATCAATATTTTGGTTTTATTCGCCCGAATCGGGTCAGTCATTATTAATGGTGTCCCATTTTGTGGTAAATAAATTTTTCGATTTGTCGTAATATATAGTACTTGGTCTAGGTGACTAATTTGAAGTACGCAGGTACGCATTGAGCTTTTTTGGTAGGTACTGAAAAATCACGTTTATTACTCTGAACTGGATAATGTTGCACAGATTTTGTTGTCAATATGTCGTCTAAATTCATCGCGATGTGTAGTACCAAGTATGTAGTATTTTCGAAAATTACAAATTTCAGTTTTTCGGGCCATTTTGAAAGCACTAAAGCATTGTATTTTGATTTGGTGAATCCCTGCACTTGAAAAGTGCTTGCGTTTCTAATTTATTACTTTGACATTATCAGTACCATTATCGTCACCAACATTGACCTGGTTGAATTTAGACGTACATTATTTTTGTCCTTCACGTGAGTCATTTATTATTTAAAAAAATTCAAGGTAATTTTCGTGAAGTAGGTATTAATTTATTGCTTGTAGCGACTGTGAGTAACGTGTGCATATTTTTTTAGTGCATTATGTAACTGTTTTTTATATTGTAAACAAGTAAAACAATTTCCTTATAATTCAAAAGATTTTTATTGATATTTACAAGATGATCATTAAAACTCAGTATTTTCTCATTTTTCCACGGATCACCAGTAAAGTACCGTAGTTATAGAGTTTCCACTCAGCTCCAAAGAGGCAGTACCTCTCGAACCATCACCAAGATTCACCGGCACACTTTCTTTATTCCTAAAAGTGATTCTTTACCACCAACCTCAATACGCTGATACAAACCTGTTCAAAAACACCACAACGGTACCACTATCCGGTCGCTGAAAAGCGACGTATCGTACATTTTTTATGCGCGTTCCTTCAGAATGGACCCGCACGGACCCTGGTGGTACAAACTTTGAAAAATGACCTATATGGTAGTGCATGGGTTGCTTATAAAATTCAGCGGCTGTAGCGTTTACTATAATCGACGAATCGACGAAATTGTTGATGTAGTTGGGTCCTCCGGTCGCATTTAATGCCATGTTCCAGTCAACCCAACCCGTAACCCAATTGTGGACATCCTAGAAACCAAGTTTTGTTAGATTCGCAGACGGTACTGTTCGTACTTCTATGATGTCCGTAGAGTAGAGTTCGCCTCGGAGCCACGAACCCAGCAGTACCGCGTTCTCGCCACCTTCGGGCATGTTGCTGGCTTCGGTAGCTAGAAGGAACATTTCTGGGAAGAGTTTTTTGGTCCGGGTTAAAGCGGACGCTGGGATGTACTCGTCCAAGTACCAATGTACAGCGATACCGTTGACGTACTGTCGCGTCCGCTCGCTTTGCAGCACCTGAATAGAGTGTGATGAGTGGTACTGGGATAATTTTTTCGTGGTACTTACTTTTCGCACGTACCATGGTAAGAAAATGCGTTGGTCGTCTAACATCATGATGTTTATTTTAGAGTGACTTGAATTTCGAACTGTGGGTCCGAGGTTGTCGGTGATCCATATCCGCTAAATGGTACTACTACTTTAAAAGAAAATGATTAGTGGTGGTCACTTACGAGTAGCCAGGATGGCCAACCCACAACTTCTAATTTATCATACGGGTTTAGTGAGTTCGAAGGTTCGTTCCCCGTTGTCATCCCCCAAAAAGATATGTTATACTCCTGGTACGCATCTAAAAACCTGACGTGGTAGTCAGCCCATGGTTGATACATGCTCCTACGAATAAACCCAAATCCTGAATATTCGTTGTTGGTTTTCATCCACTTTGGAGCCGTCCAAGCCGAACAAAACAATTTAAGTTTACCTTTGGTCAGTTTCAAGGCTCTCAAAATCAACGGTATCTAAAAAATAGTACTAAAGGACGTGTTTCAACCCCCAGTGGTACTACTTTGTAGTTGTGGTCTTCATAAGTCAGGTTGAAATTGTGTAATTGCGGGTCTTCAGTACCGTCATCGTACGAGTAAGCGCGCGTTGAAAAATCGGTACCACCGATGGGTACTCGACCTACACTATACTCCAGCCCGTTTTTCCCGAACAATGATTGCAACAGAGTTTCCTGAAGGGTTTCCGGGAGAGTGTTAACGTTGATCCCGGTGGCGTCCGTAAAAGCACCGCCCCAGCCTACCATCGTCTGGTACGTGGTGTTAGAATCGATGTAAACGTTGTTGGTTGAGTTGTCATAGGTACTATCGTCGCTTTCGCTGGAACTGTCGTATGAAGCGAAATTCGTTTCAGTACTAGAAGGGTCGAAAGTTCCGTTGGTCTTTTGGAATCGCAACCCGGCTTGATTTGACGTGTAGACTAAGAAGTGCGGCGATGGTACGACTTGTGGTCTTGGGATTGTGTCGCAGTAGGTGGAATTGCACACACAAACGGTACCACCGTTACCGTAATCTCTGCTCCAGCATGGTTGTTGCGATGATGATAAACCTGTTGGAAGTTTGAGACGGGTTTTTCACAGATGGGTTTCTTACCGAAGAAACTGGTGATTAGGGGTACGACCAGCAGCAACATGTTTGCAGAGGACTTTAGGGTGGTTGAGGCGGCTTTTATAGGAAATTACATGTTGAACTAGTACACTAATTAGGTATTTTTCTGTAGATAAAATTAATTGGACGGAAATGTTGACGATTAGGAATTTTGACATATCTGTAGTTGGGGTAATATTTTATGAATGTGTTCGAAAAAAACTTAATTTATGAGATACTGGGTAATGTTTTAATCTACTTTTATCGTAATGTTGGTAATAGTTCGCCAAAAGGAAAAAAGGGTACTATGTATTTACAATTTCTAAATAAAAGTACCGTGTTACTTTATTTTTACTCATATTACAACAAATATGTGCCAATCAATCGTACCAATACAAAACAGTATTTATAGATCTTTTGCTGATTTTCAAGGTAGCCACTCCCATAGTTTTATCCACAATTCTCATTGTGACGTCTTCATCTTTCCTGAAAAAAATGGTACATTTTTGCCAAAACTTCCAAAAACTTACTTGTTTAGAATGACCACAACAATTCCACGATCAGGTTTTTGATAAGCAGTGACCCATATTCGACCACATATACGTTGCGTGACCCCTATTCGAACAGAATTTTCTGGTACGAACTTAGAATGGTGCCCCAGATGGTAATACATGGGTTGTTTGTAAAATTCGCCCGATTTCTTGTCGACAATGATGGGCGCATCTACAAAATTGGCAATCGTTGTTGGACCACCCTTCATATCGAGTACCATGTTCCAGTCGACCCATCCGACGACCCAACAGTTCAAATTCTGTGGAATTAATCAGTACCGGTCGTACTGTAGTGTTAATCAATTTACCTCGATTATGTCTTTAGAGTACCCTTCCCCACGCTCCCACGAACCCAAAAGTACTCCACTGCTTGTCTGAAATCCACTGCATGCCTCAGTCGATAAAATGAATTTGTCTGGGTACTTCGTGTGGGTTATATTAAAAGCACTACATGGTGTAAAGACCCCCAAGTACCAATGAATCGCTATACCATCTACATACTTTTTAGCGTTTTGGTCCTCGAATACCTACAACGTTATTTTAAGGTGAAGTACCAAAATTAACGATGATACTGACGGAATTGATGTACCAGGGTAAAAATAGCTTCTGGTCGTCTAATGCCATTATTACCGTATTTGGATATTTTGATTTTTTTATAGCCGGACCTAAATTTTCTCTTAACCATATACTCTACAACGTTATTTTGACCGGTGGAAATCAGAATGTCCCCATTTCGACTTACCATATTGGTAGACGACCAACCCACAGTAGGAAGATCTTTCAGTCCTAAAACAGCCATACTGGGCTCATTTTGTGTGGTTATGCCCCATATCGGTACCCCATTTTTGTAGTACTCTTCCAAAAACCGCACGAAATAGTCAGCCCACGTTTGATAAAACTCTTTCTTAATAAACCCATTGCCGTAGTACTTATTGTTAGTTTTCATCCACAGTGGAGCCGTCCATGTGGAACCAAAAAACTTAATAGGCCCGTTTTTGCGCAACTCCATTGCTTGTTTCATGAAAGGAATCTAAAAAGTACTGTAGTGCTTGTCCGATTTTACACCTCTAGGTACCTTATAATCAAAGTCCTCTGGAGCCAACGCGAAATGTTCCAAATTCTTGTCAGGTGTTTTACTGTCATCGTAAGTGTAGTTCCTTACAGAAAAATCGGTACTACCAATGGGTACGCGACACACGTTGTACTCAATCCCTTCTTCGGAAAAGTACGACTTCATTATCAAATCCTGGGCCTTTTTGTCCAGAGTTTTCATGTTAATTCCAGTCGAATCTGTGAAAGCTCCGCCCCAACCTATGACTTTCTGGAACTTTTGATCCGGATTCACGTGAATGTCATATTCAGACTTTTTCGAGCGGTGCTTTTTGTTGAATTGACCTGTGGTTTTGTGGAATCGTAGACCTTGTTTGTTGGAAGTGTACAGAATGAATTTAGATTTGCTCGGTTTCTTTGGTCTTGGAATTGTATCGCAGTACTCGGAATTACAAACGCACACTTTTCTGCCTTCTCCGACGTCTCGGATCTTGCAAGGTTTGTGTCCATCTTCAAGTTCTTTTGAAGATTGCTGTTTGTTTTCTGACGATTTCTTATCTTCCGAAGTTTTGTCTTCTGTTAGTACTAATATAGAGTTACCGATTAAGAGAAGTACCAGTAGGAGGAGCGACGTATGTTGCATTGTCGCCTGTAGTACGAATGATGTGGAATAGCCAAATTTTGGGTACGTTTGTATTAGTTAAGGTTAGTGATAACAAAAATTTGCGTAAAGATTTTGTAGCCGTGACCGGGGCCTAGAATTTGAAATTCAAAACAAGTCTATATTTTTGGGGTACTACATAGTTATATATTGTTAATTTAAACACATATAATACGTCAACAGAAGTTTTATTGCTAGATAAGGTTCTTTTCGTACATGTTTTAATTAAATTAAGGTCGTACCATTTAATTATATTAAACTAATGTCTAGTCACCAATATAACATCGTCGTTATGGAACTTTCACTCAAATTTAACTTGGTACTGCCTCGTGCATTGTCTACTACTGTCACCGGTACCACTTTGTTTGCTCTGAAATAACACTATTGTAGTACCAATCTTTACCACCACAGACGTACCTATTTAAAATAACAACAGCAGTCGCATTATCTGGTCTTTGGAAAGCAACAACCATGACGTTATCACAAAAGGTTGAAGAACCTAACCGGATGGAACCTCTTTGTACAAATTTGGAAAAGTGACCTAAAGCATAGAACATTGGTTGTTTATAAAATTCTCCAGCTGAAGAATTAACTATGATTGGAGAGTCTACAAAGTTTTTTATGTACGTGGGACCTCCTTGAAGATTTAGCGCCATATTCCAGTCGACCCAACCGGTAACCCAGTTTTGTACATCCTAAATTTTTACGTTACATTTAGTACTACATTTTGGTCGTACCCACCTGGATTATGTCTTTCGCGTACTCTTCTCCACGGAACCACGAGCCCAAATCAACGTGTTTTTGAAAAGGTTTGTCACCTGTGTCGAAATCTGTGTAATCTGAGGAAGTACCTACTAAAGGTCTTACCATGACAAGCTTCCGTTGCTAGAAGGAACTTATCAGGGAAACTGTCATGAGTTTCTGTTAATAAACGCGGTGACAATAGGAAGTCGTAGTACCAGTGAACGGCAATTCCATCTACGTACTTGTGCGTGGTTTCGTCATTTAGTACCTTAAATTAAGTGGTAGTGGCAGGATCAAACAAAGTACTCATATTTACGAGCTTCGGGTACCACGGTAAGAAAAGTCGTTGGTCATCTAGCATCATAATCTTGATTTTTGAATAGCTTGAGTTGCGGATTGTCGGTCCTAAATTATCGCGAACCCAAGTTGACTATAATTGTCTTTGATGTAGTGGTACTTGTGGTGAACAGACTTACCAACATGGCGGGCGTCCATGCCACTGAATTAATCTTCGTGAAGGGAACCATCGCCAAACTGGGTTCATTTCCTGTGACCAACCCCCAAAATTGAATCCCTTGCTCGCTGTACTTGTCAAAGAACTTGACAAAGTAGTCAGCCCATGATTGGTACATTTCGTAGCGCAAAAACCCCCACATCCCATTATACTCCCTATTAGTTTTCATCCACTTGGGAGCAGTCCACACAGAAGCGAAAAACCTCAAATTCCCCCCCGTCAAATTTTGCGCTTTTTTGATAAACGGTATCTAAAACCACATCCAAACATGGGTACCAAATCACCTCACCTACCTTAAGCTTGAAATCTTCCGGAGCTAGTTGAAAATTCTCTAGCTTCGGGTCTTCGTCTCCGTCATCGTAGGAGTACCCACGTTCCGAAAAATCGGTACCACCAATGGGTACCCGACACAAACTGTACTCAATGCCGTCGTTCGAAAAGTACGCCCTCAACAAGTTATCTTGTGCTGGTTCATCCAGCGAATTTAAATTAACACCAGTCGAGTCAGTGAAAGCACCACCCCAGCCAAAAATCTCTTGGTACTTTTCGTTGGGGTGGATTTGGATGGTTTTGTCGGAGATTTCGTTGCTTTCAATGAACCGTCCTTCGGATTTTGCGAACCTTAAGCCAGCTTTGTTAGAAGTGTAAATTAGGTACGATGGTGGTTCCACGCGGTTTGGAGGTGGTACTGTATCACAGTAGGTGGAATTGCACACACAAACGTGGCCGTCGTTGCCGTAGTCGCGTTTTTGGCATTCTTGGGCGAGCGAGTGTCCTAGTAGAAGTGGAATTAGGTGATTAGGTACCTGCTATAGAAATTTTACTCACCTGTTAGTACGACCAGAGCTGAAACCAGTAACATTTTCAGTTTCGCTCAGTCGAAAAGGACAACGGACTGGTTGTTTACTTGTCAAAGTTTTACTGCCATTGTTAACGGATATTTTCAGTAACTTATGACTTAGTCATTCGTAGATTAAGTATTTCCTTCAATAGTTGCTTTTGCTTTTAGAGAATTTATCGTTGCGCATATCTAACGAGTTGAATATTCATCAAGGCACGGTTAAAATAAAAACATAAAAGTGGCGAACTTACGATTATATTGTGGTACTAATTTCTTTATTGGTAGCTGTGGAGTGTCCACGACGTACTGCGACGTGTGAAGAGAAAGTGTGCTTCGGATTTGTTTTTAACGTTACACGCAATCAGTGTTATTGACCTAGACCTCGCAATTTTGATAGTACCATGTATTGATTGATTCCGAATGATTGTTATTGTTAAATGAATGAAACCAAAGCTGATTTTCCCTTGGTATCACTTGAGTACTGAGTACGAGCGTTAAATCGTTACGTATATTCTCTTTCAAGGAGCAAAACCCAAACCGGGATGTTTCATCTTGGTGTAAAAAAGGTACCATGGTAGTTCCAGGAGGGGTAAGTGTTAGTCGTGGTGGAAGTGAAATTAGTACTAATAACAAAGTGCGATCCATGTAGTGAAATTTATATTCAATAAACAAAAAAATGCGTTACTTTATTTTTTTTATTTTTACTCATATTACAACAAATATGTGTCAATCAATCGTACGAATACAAAATAGTATTTATAGATCTTTTGCTGATTTTCAAGGTAGCCACTCCCATAGGTTTATCCACAATTCTCATTGTGACGTCTTCATCTTTCCTGAAAAAAATCGTACATTTTTGCCAAAACTTCCAAAAACTTACTTGTTTAGAATGACCACAACAATTCCACGATCAGGTTTTTGGTAAGCGGTGACCCATATTCGACCACCTATACGTTGCGTGACACCTATTCGAACAGAATTTTCTGGTACGAACTTAGAATGGTGCCCCAGATGGTAATACATGGGTTGTTTGTAAAATTCGCCCGATTTCTTGTCGACAATGATGGGCGCATCTACAAAATTGGCAATGGTTGTTGGACCACCCTGCATATCGAGTACCATGTTCCAGTCGACCCATCCGACGACCCAACAGTTCAAATTCTGTGGAATTCATCAGTACCGGTCGTACTGTAGTGTTAATCAATTTACCTCGATTATGTCTTTAGAGTACCCTTCGCCACGCTCCCACGAACCCAAAAGTACTCCGCTGCTTGTCTGAAATCCACTGCATGCCTCAGTCGATAAAATGAATTTGTCTGGGTACTTCGTGTGGGTTATATTAAAAGCACTACATGGTGTAAAGACCCCAAAGTACCAATGAATCGCTATACCATCTACATACTTTTTAGAGTTTTGGTCCTCGAACACCTACAACGTTATTTTAAGGTGAAGTACCAAAATTAACGATGATACTGACGGAATTGATGTACCAGGGTAAAAATAGTTTCTGATCGTCTAATGCCATTATTACCGTATTTGGATATTTTGATTTTTTTATAGCCGGACCTAAATTTTCTCTTAACCATATACTCTACAACGTTATTTTGACCGTGGAAACCAGAATGTGCCCATTTCGACTTACCATATTGGTAGACGACCATCCCACTGTGGGAATATCTTTCAGTTCTAAAACAGCCATACTGGGCTCATTTTGTGTGGTTATGCCCCATATCGGTACCCCATTTTTGTAGTACTCTTCCAAAAACCGCACGAAATAGTCAGCCCACGTTTGATAAAACTCTTTCTTAATAAACCCATTCCCGTAGTACTTATTGTTAGTTTTCATCCACAGTGGAGCCGCCCATGTGGAACCAAAAAACTTAATAGGCCCGTTTTTGCTCAACTCCATTGCTTGTTTCATGAAAGGAATCTAAAAAGTACTGTAGTGCTTGTCCGTTTTTACACCTCTAGGTACCTTATAATTAAAGTCCTCTGGAGCCAGCGCGAAATGTTCCAAATTCTTATCCGGTGTTTTACTGTCATCGTAAGTGTAGTTCCTTACAGAAAAATCGGTACTACCAATGGGTACGCGACACATGTTGTACTCAATCCCTTCTTCGGAAAAGTACGACTTCATTATCAAGTCCTGGGCCTTTTTGTCCAGAGTTTTCATATTAATTCCAGTCGAATCTGTAAAAGCCCCGCCCCAACCTATAACTTTCTGGAACTTTTGATCCGGATTCACGTGAATGTCATATTCAGACTTTTTCGAGCGGTGGTTTTTGTTGAATTGACCTGCTGTTTTGTGGAATCGTAGACCTTGTTTGTTGGAAGTGTACAGAATGAATTTAGATTTGCTCGGTTTCTTTGGTCTTGGAATTGTGTCGCAGTACTCGGAATTACAAACGCACACTTTTCTGCCTTCTCCGACGTCTCGGATCTTGCAAGGTTTGTGCCCATCTTCAAGTTCTTTTGAAGATTGCTGGTGCTTTTCTGACGATTTCTTATCTTCCGAAGCTTTGTCTTCTGTTAGTACTAATATAGAGTTACCTATTAAGAGAAGTACCAGTAGGAGGAGCGACGTATGTTGCATTGTCGCCTCTAGTACGAATGATGTGGAATAGCCAAATTTTTGGGTACGTTTGTATTACTTAAGGTTAGTTATAACAAAAATGTGCGTCAAGATTTTGTAGCCGTGACCGGGGTCTAGAATTTGAATTTCAAAACAGGTCTATATTTTTGGGGTACTACATAGTTATATATTGTTAATTTAAACACATACTACGTCAACAGAAGTTTTATTGTTAGATAAGGTTCTTTTCATACATATTTTAATCAAAATTAAGGTCGTACCATTTAATTATATTAAACTAATATGTAGTCACCAATATAACATCGTCGTAATGGAACTTTCACTCAAATTCAACTTGGTACTGCCTCGTGCATCGTCTACTACTGTCACCGGTACCACTTTGTTTGCTCTGAAATAACACTGTTGTAGTACCAATCTTTACCACCACAGACGTACCTATTTAAAATAACAACAGCAGTCGCATTATCTGGTCTTTGGAAAGCAACAACCATGACTTTATCACAAAAGGTTGAAGAACCTAACCGGATGGAACCTCTTTGTACAAATTTGGAGAAGTGACCTAAAGCATAGAACATTGGTTGCTTATAAAATTCTCCAGCTGAAGAATTAACTATGATTGGAGAGTCTACAAAGTTTTCTATGTACGTGGGACCTCCTTGAAGATTTAGCGCCATATTCCAGTCGACCCAACCGGTAACCCAGTTTTGTACATCCTAAATTTTTACGTTACATTTAGTACTACAATTTGGTCGTACCCACCTGGATTATGTCTTTCGCGTACTCTTCTCCACGGAATCACAAGCCCAAATCCACGTGTTTTTGAAAAGGTTTGTCACCTGTGTCGAAATCTGTGTAATCTGAGAAAGTACTTACTAAAGGTCCAACCGTGACAAGCTTCCGTTGCTAGAAGGAACTTATCAGGGAAACTGTCATGAGTTTCTGTTAATAAACGCGGTGACAATAGGAAGTCGTAGTACCAGTGTACGGCAATTCCATCTACGTACATGTGCGTGGTTTCGTCATTTAGTACCTTAAATTAAGTGGTAGTGGCAGGATCAAACAAAGTACTCATATTTACGAGCTTCGGGTACCACGGTAAGAAAAGTCGTTGGTCATCTAGCATCATAATCTTGATTTTTGAATAGCTTGAGTTACGGATTGTCGGTCCTAAATTATCGCGAACCCAAGTTGACTATAATTGTCTTTGATGTAGTGGTACTTGTGGTGAACAGACTTACCAACATGGCGGGCGTCCATGCCACTGAATTAATCTTCGTGAAGGGAACCATAGCCAAACTGGGTTCATTCCCTGTGACCAACCCCCAAAATTGAATCCCTTGCTCGCTGTACTTGTCAAAGAACTTGACAAAGTAGTCAGCCCATGATTGGTACATTTCGTAGCGCAAAAACCCCCACATCCCATTATACTCCCTATTAGTTTTCATCCACTTGGGAGCAGTCCACACAGAAGCGAAAAACCTCAAATTCCCCCACGTCAAATTTTGCGCTTTTTTGATAAACGGTATCTAAAACCACATCCAAACATGGGTACCAAATCACCTCACCTACCTTAAGCTTGAAATCTTCCGGAGCTAGTTGAAAATTCTCTAGCTTCGGGTCTTCGTCTCCGTCATCGTAGGAGTACCCACGTTCCGAAAAATCGGTACCACCAATGGGTACCCGACACAAACTGTACTCAATGCCGTCGTTCGAAAAGTACGCCCTCAGCAAATTATCTTGTGCGGGCTCATCCAGCGAATTTAAATTAACACCAGTCGAGTCAGTGAAAGCACCACCCCAGCCAAAAATCTCTTGGTACTTTTCGTTGGGGTGGATTTGGATGGTTTTGTCGGAGATTTCGTTGCTCTCAATGAACCGTCCTTCGGATTTTGCGAACCTTAAGCCAGCTTTGTTAGAAGTGTAGATTAGGTACGATGGTGGTTCCACGCGGCTTGGAGGTGGTACTGTATCGCAGTAGGTGGAATTGCACACACAAACGTGGCCGTCGTTGCCGTAGTCGCGTTTTTGGCATTCTTGGGCGAGCGAGTGTCCTAGTAGAAGTGGAATTAGGTGATTAGGTACCTGCTATAGAAATTTTACTCACCTATTAGTACGACCAGAGCTGAAACCAGTAACATTTTCAGTTTCGCTCAGTCGAAAAGGACAACGGACTGGTTGTTTACTTGTCAAAGTTTTACTGCCATTGTTAACGGATATTTTCAGTAACTTATGACTTAGTCATTCGTAGATTAAGTATTTCCTTCAATAGTTGCTTTTGCTTTTAGAGAATTTATCGTTGCGCATATCTAACGAGTTGAATATTCATCAAGGCACGGTTAAAATAAAAACATAAAAGTGGCGAACTTACGATTATACTGTGGTACTAATTTCTTTATTGGTAGCTGTGGAGTGTCCACGACGTACTGCGACGTGTGAAGAGAAAGTGTGCTTCGGATTTGTTTTTAACGTTACACGCAATCAGTGTTATTGACCTAGACCTCGCAATTTTGATAGTACCATGTATTGATTGATTCCGAATGATTGTTATTGTTAAATGAATGAAACCAAAGCTGATTTTCCCTTGGTACCACTTGAGTACTGAGTACGAGCGTTAAATCGTTACGTATATTCTCTTTCAAGGAGCAAAACCCAAACCGGGATGTTTCATCTTGGTGTAAAAAAGGTACCATGGTAGTTCCAGGAGGGGTAAGTGTTAGTCGTGGTGGAAGTGAAATTAGTACTAATAACAAAGTGCGATCCATGTAGTGAAATTTATATTCAATAAACAAAAAAATGCTTTTACATAAACATACTGAACTGGTACTATTGGAGTGTGTATTCGAAAAAAATCATTAATTATTTATTATCTAAAAATATTTCGGTGTGAAAACTAAAAAAAGACAAAGTAGTAACGTCAGATCTGCTTTGAAGTTTACATAAAAACGTTTTTGAACTAGGTCCGGGTTGTTAGTGTTCGCTAAATTAAACTACATAGGTATTTTTTACCGCAAGCATTTCGAACGTCGTCTTACTACTTTCAATACCGTTATCGTTATAATAAAATACCGCGTGGTCTATGTCTTTGGTAGTAATTTTTCCAATTTTTGACACTCCATTTTCTTTAATACGGCCTATATATAACCTGCCGTTGGGTTCGTATCCCCCTATAACTGGATCTTTCTGGAGAAGTCTGTCATAGAGGTTGGTGGAATTCATCCTTGCCCAATATAAGTCTTTATAATTTGCACACAGAATCTGTATGAATAATTTAAAGAGTCAAATTTGACGAAAACTCGATTGTACTGACCTTTATATTCGAGTCAATAGTTTCAATACCATGGTAAGGAATTTCAACTTCGTCAAGTCCTTTGTAAATTTCGGACACGATCAACCCAACGTTCGGGACGTAAGCTTGACCAATGTAAATCTTGTCTCCGTGCTCGTTTCGACCTCCTAATACCGCATCTTGAGGAATTGTGCCTGCATAGTCTCTCCAGTAGTAGACTAGAAAAAAGGCAAATTTTGTCAAGAGAACATGAGACTTGAATGAACAAAATTTAAATACATTTAAGTACTTACATCGCTCGGGGTGAGTGTCAGATGTTCCGAACGAACTCAGTTGGAAAATGAAGAGAAGTGTCGTTAGAGAGACAACGAACTTCATTGCGGAGCCGAGAAGTTTGGACCAAAACACTTAAAATGCAATATTTTCGTTATAACTAACTTTTATTATTTATAGTCACGCGAGTTGACAATAACTTGTTATCAGACAATGGCTTTGTCAAGCATCAGCGAGAACAAAAATTGGAAAGATTATTTTTTATGTATCTTCACATTAAGAATATTAATGCCACATTCGCAACAGGTGTCCACTCCATTTAGTAGCGACATAAAATAATAAAATAAAATAATTATAAATTAAAATAAACATCAATATGAAAATAATGAATCAGTTTAGTACAAAATCACAAAATTTGTTAAATGAGTATGAATGCACACATCAGTATAATTTATAAATATTTTTTTTTAATACTAAACCAGCTTTAGTGGAGGTGTAGATAAAGAACGATGATGGATGGTACTATGTCAGAGTATGTAGGTTTAGTACTGACATAAATGGTTTTTCAAAAGTGTTCGTCAATAAAAAAATCACTACCAAATGAGCTTTGTTATTTTGTTAGGTGGTCTTTTTATCAGGAAAAATTTTATTTCGTACTATTTAGTACGACCATAACAGGTACCAAGTCATTTCATTTATCGTGGTCGTTAAATGGTACGACATTTAAGCCATTCATGACTTTTTTAAAAAAGTGTTCACTAAATTAAACCATACAGACCAATTTTCTTACTTATTTACTTTTCAAACTTACTATAGTTAAACAGAAGTATCTGATATGAACTGACGCTTTTTTCAGTACCTTTGTGGTCAAAATGACACAGCGCACTTTTCTTTCTGAAACAAGTAATTTTTCCAATTTTGATATCTCCCTATAATTGGGTGTTTGTGGACGTAGGCTTGACCGATGTAAATCTTTTGGTTGTTGCTGTTTCGACCTGCTTTAATCGCATCATCAGGAATTGTTCCTGCATAGTCTCTGCAGTGGTAAACTAGAAAAAGAAACAGATTTTGTCTTGATCGTCAAAATTTTTCTTTAGGGAGGTCATTTTTTCAGCTCTTATTTTAATGTTTCTATAATTTTTTCGGGTGATTTTTTAAATTTGTGCTCTAGTTTCACTGCGTCGTGGCCAACTAAAGAAGAAATTTAATAAATCACCTAATGCATAGTTTATAAAAACAGTGAAATATTTGTCTACTTTCAGAATGTTGTCCCTGAGATTCTTGTCAAATTACTTCAAAAACAAGATAAGATATCCCCGAGATTCTTTCAAACTACTTCAAAAACAAAACACAAGGGGTCTCCAAGATTCTGGGATTCTTGTTAACTTACCTCAAAAACCAGATAAGAGATCTCCGAGATTCTTTCAAACTAATTCAAAAATAAAACACAAGAGTTCCGAAACTGCTTTCAAATTACTTCAAAATGTAGACACAAGAGGTTCCTGAGATTCTTGTCACATTACTTCAACAACAAGACAAGAGGTCTTCGAGATTCTTTCAAACTACTTCAAAAACAGAACACAAGGGGTCCCCGAGATCCTTTCAGACTACTTCAAAAACCAAACACAAGGGGTCCCTGAGATTCTTTCAAATTACTTCAAAAACTAGACACAAAGGAGTCCCCGAGATTCTTTCAAATTACTTCAAAAACAAAACACAAGGGGTCCCTGAGATTTTTCAGACTACTTCAAAAACAAAACACAAGGGGTCTCCGAGATTCTTTCAAACTACTTCAAAAACGGAACACAAGTGGTCCCGGAGATTCTTTCAAATTACTTCAAAACGTAAACACAAGGAGTTCTTGAGATTTTTGTCAAATTACTTCAAAAACAAGATAAGAGATTCCCAATATTCTTTCAGACCACTTCAAAAATAAAACACAAGGTGTCGCCGAGATCCTCTCAAACTATTTCAAAAACAAAACACAAGGGGTCCCTGAGATTCTTTCAAATTACTTCAAAAACTAGACACAAAGAAGTCCCCGAGATTTCTTCAAATTACTTCAAAAACTAGACACAGAAGGTCCCCGAGATTATTTCAGACTACTTTAAAAGCAAAACACAAGAGTCCCAGAAATTTTTTCAAATTACTTCAAAAACTAGACACAAAGGATCCTCGAGATTGTTTCAGACTACTTCAAAAATAAAACACAAATGGTCCCCAAGATTCTTTAAAACTACCTCATAAACAAAACACAAAGGGTCCCCAAGATTCTTTCAAATTATTTCAAAAACTAAACACATAGGATTCTCGAGATAATTTCAAACTGCTTCAAAAACAAAAGACAAGTGGTCCCCAAGATTCTTTCAAATTACTTCAACAACTAGACAGATACAGAGGGTCCTCAAAATTCTTTCAAATTACTTCAAAAACAAAACACAAAGGGTCCCCAAGATTCTTTCAAATCATTTCAAAAACTAGACACAGAGGATTCTAAAGATTCTATCAAACTACTTCAAAAACAAAACACAAAGGGTCTCCAAGATTCTTTCAAATTACTTCAACAACTAGACAGATACAAAGGGTCCCCGAGATTCTTTCAAATTACTTCAAAAAAAAAACACAAGGAGTTCCTGAAATTTTTGTCAAATTACTTCGAAAACAAGATAAGATATCCCCGAGATTCTTTCAAACTACTTGAAAAACAAAACACAAGGGGTCCCCGAGGTCCTTCCAGACTACTTCAAAATGTAGACACAAGAGGTTCCTGGATTCTTGTCACATTAGTTCAAAAACAAGAGAAGAGGCTCCCGAGATTCTTTCAAACTACTTCAAAAACAGAACACAAGGGGTCCCCGAGATCTTTTCAGATTACTTCAAAAACTAGACAAAGAGGATTCTCGAGATTCTTTCGAACTACTTCAAAAAAAAAACACAAGGGGTCCCCAAGATTCTTTCAAACTACTTCAACAACTAGACAGATACAAGGGGTTTCCCAGTTTCTTTCAAATTACTTCAAAAACAAAACACAAGGGATCCGCGAGAGTTTTTCACATTACTTCAAAAATTAGACACAAAGGATCCTCGAGATTTTTTCAGACTACTTCAAAAATAAAACACAAGTGGTCCCCGAGATTCTTTAAAACTACTTCAAAAACAAAACGCAAATGGTCCCCGAGATTCTTTAAAATTATTTCAAAAACTAGACACAGTGAATTCTCGAGATTCTTTTAAACTACTTCAAAAACAAAACACAAAAGGTTCCCAAGATTCTTTCAAATTATTTCAAAAACTAGACACAGAGGATTCTCGAGATTCTTTTAAACTACTTCAAAAACAAAACACAAAGGGTCTCCAAGATTCTTTCAAATTACTTCAACAGCTAGACTGATCAAAAGGGTCCCCGAGATTCTTTCAAATTACTTCAACAACTAGACAGATACAAAGGGTCCCCGAGATTCTTAAAAATTACTTCAAAAACAAAACACAAGGGATCCCCGAGAGTTTTTCAAATTACTTCAAAAACTAGACACAAAGGATTCTCGAGATTTTTTTAGACTACTTCAAAAATAAAACACAAATGGTCCCCGAGATTCTTTAAAACTACTTCAAAAACAAAACATAAAGGGTCCCCAAGATTCTTTCAAACTATTTTAAAAACTAGACACAGAGGATTCTCGAGATAATTTCAAACTGCTTCAAAAACAAAACACAAGTGGACCCAAGATTCTTTCAAATTACTTCAACAACTAGACAGATACAAAGGGTCCCCGAGATTCTTTCAAATTACTTCAAAAACAAAACACAAGGGGTCCCTGAGATTCTTTAAAATTACTTCAAAATACAGACACAAGAGGTTCCTGGGATTCTTGTCACCTTACTTCAAACACAAGACAAGAGGTCCACGAGATCCTTTCAAAAAAAAACACACAAGGGGTCCCCAAGATTCTTTCAAATTACTTCAAAAACTAGACACAAAGAAGTCCCCGAGATTTCTTCAAATTATTTCAAAAACTATACACAGAAGATTCTCGAGATAATTTCAAACTGCTTCAAAAACAAAACACAAGTGCTCCCCAAGATTCTTTCAAATTATTTCAAAAACTAGATAGACACAGAGGATTCTCGAGATTCTTTCAAACTACTTCAAAAACAAAACACAAAGGGTCTCCAAGATTCTTTCAAATTACTTCAACAACTAGACAGATACAAAGGGTCCCCGAGATTCTTTCAAATTACTTCAAAAACAAAACACAAAGGGTACCCAAGATTCTTTCAGATTATTTAAAAAACTAGACACAGAGGATTCTCGAGATTCTTTCAAACTACTTCAAAAAAAAACATAAGGGCTCCCCAACATTCTTTCAAATTACTTCAACAAGTAGACAGATACAAAGGGTTCCCGAGATTTTTTCAAATTACTTCAAAAACAAAACACAAGGGATCCCCGAGAGTTCTCGAAATTTTTTCAGCCTACTTCGAAAATAAAACACAATTGGTCCCCGAGATTCTTTCAAATTATTTCAAAAACTAGACACAGAAGGTCCCCGAGATTGTTTCAGACTACTTTAAAAGCAAAACACAAAGGGTCCCAGAAATTTTTTCAAATTACTGCAAAAATTAGACACAAAGGATCCTCCTAATTTTTTCAGGCTACCTCAAAAATAAAACACAAGTGGTCCCCGAGATTCTTTCAAACTACTTGAAAAACAAAACACAAAGGGTCTCCAAGATTCTTTCAAATTACTTCAACAACTAGACAGATACAAAGGGTCCCCGAGATTCTTTCAAACGTAAATGTTGTGACAAAGCACTCATTACTTAATACAAAAGATTTTGTCATAATTAACACAAAAAACGACCGGTATTACAATGGAGACATTCGCTTAGCCAAGCATCATTGAGAACAATAATTGAAATTATTGTTTTTTACCACAATAAAAATTTTATAAAATCGACACGTGATAATGTTGTTAAAATTTGTGTTAAATGAGCACAAAAACACATAAACAAGAGTTTCATGCGTTATTTAACGTTCATTCATCTGAATAAACAATAACGTCACACTTATTGTGGCTTCTTCAAGATTAATATAATTTTTTATGTCATTAATTGTGCGTGGTATCCTATTCCGCAATTTTTCCGAGCCATTTAAGCTGTTGCATATATCGAATTTTAATGTGTGCCCACAAGCTATCGCAGTGAGTAATCCTAGTGTCAAAGATCTATTGTAGCTTCAGCAGTGTGAGCGGTGGCACCATCCTGCTGAAAGTAACCATAAACTACGTCATCATGGAATCAAAATTTCGTCTCTGACCGTGTGATTTTTTTTGATTTGTGGTCTACCTCGATCACCGGGTTCGACACCTTATTCATTAAATTAAACCACTGCCATTAAACAGAAGTTTTTGATACGAACTAATTCTCTTCTCAGTCCCTTTATCGCTAAAATAAAACATCGCGACCTATATATAGTATACCTTCAGTTTCGTGACCACCTATAATTGGGGTTTCGTCGATCACTTGTAGATGTAACCTCATTTGACATACACCTGTTAAAACTTTTATGGCTTAAGCGGCTTAAGCCAAACCACCCTTATAAGTCAAACTGGCTATTGCATTACTTAATCCAGTTCACAGCTACATTATGCCAACAACGGACAGTAATAAGCTTGCGGTTCGGGTCCACGAAGCTTACAATAGCCAGTTTGACTTATAAGGGTGCTTTAGCTTAAGCCGCTTAAGTCATAGAAGTTTTAACAGGTGTATATCAAATGAGGTTACAGTAATTCTATCATCTCGAAAGTTGTTTCTGATCAATCTTTACTTGGTCTTAGTAGGTACCGGTGGTAATAGAAGTCTTGCCTCAATGCCTATAATTACAAAAATAGGTTAATTCAGCTAGTTGAGTCAAGAGCGTCCAGTTAAATTCGCCGGGATAATTTCTGTACATAATCGTTGCAATAGTTAGTCGTGTAAAATCGTGTTATTGAGGAATACATTGTTGAGTTGTAATCCACGCCAATTTTATTCGCCCGAGCAACGTAATAATATCATAATAATGAAGATATTAGTCAAGCGTCATTGACAACAAAAACTGACCACATCGCTTGTTCCCACAAGTATTTATGAAAATCGAAAGCAATTGATAAAATTGTTTAAATTTCCGTTAAATAACAATATAAACACTCATCAGTTGTCGCGCATATTTTATGATTCAATCATCTTAATAAACAATAACTTCACACTTTTTTAAGATTAACATAATTTTGATTGATTTGCTTATTATACAGAAACATTTTTTTGCCCTGGGAATTAAGCGTTTTGGAAATAAAAATTGAAAAGATAATTTTTTCAGAGAGAGTGGAGACAATATATTTTTATGCATTGAGAAAATCGGTTCCACATCATTGGGTGTTACAGGACAGGTCAGTATTTAATTAAGTAAGCTTTTAAGTAAGACCGGATTTATATGAGAAACATGAGAAATGTGCAACTAAATACATACATATGTACAATCTACGTATTAAAACTGGATTATTCAGGTGACGTGTTTAATTGGTTGCATATATTCACGAATTTAAGTTTTCAAATTATCGAGGAACACTCAGTTTACTTTGGTTGGAGATTTCGTACCTCACACAGTGTTTTTGACCTTGGTCATGTTGTATTCACGAATTAAAGCACACGGGTAATTTTCCATAGTCATTTATTGTCCAAGCCTAACATCCACAGCATTCTCATTGTACACAAGTACTTCATAAGAACTGACGCTTTTTTCAGAACCTTGATTGTTAAAGTAAAACCGCGCATCTTCCGTATTGAAAGGAACAATTTTTCCAATTCTAATGTTTCCTTCGTAACTAAGACGACCTATGTATAAAATCCCGCCATTTTCGTGTCCACCTATAATTGGGCGTTTGTCGATCATTTGTAGATGAAGGTGGGAGGCGTTTGCTGGTGACCAGTAAAAGTTCTGTTGAACTCCACAAAGAATCTGTAATGTGTGACTTAAAGACAAAACACGACTAAAACGGATGGTACTGAAGTACTGACCTTTATGTATGACTTGACAGTTTTGACACCATTAATAGGTGCGTGTACTTCTCGTACTCCTGGAAAAATTTCAGACACGATCAGTCCATCTCCATGGACGTAGGCTTGCCCAATATAAACGTCTTTTTTGTTGATGTCTTGACCCCCTACCAACGCATCGTCGGGAATTGTTCCTGTGTATTCTCTCCAGTAGTAATCTAAAAAAAAAATAATAGATTTTGTCTTGGTGGTGGTAGTACTACCTTCATTAAGACAAATCGAGACTTGGATGACCGTAAAAACAAGAAGGAACGTCGGAAAGAACATCTTGAGCAGACAGTGAGTCTGCAACTAAAAGTCCTGCGTAGTTGAGGAAACTGCAATTCATTGACCCTTGACATCTTGAATATTTATGCTTCCGCGCCGGGAAATCCATATGTTAACCATACATGTATGTACCATTGTCCCGGCAATGGGTATAATTGGTTGCATATATCCCCAAATTAAAGTTACTAACTCCATTGATAAAACTGAACATCACATAGATCAAAGTTCTACTAGTACCATTAGATAACCCCATGAATTACAACATCATAACGTGTCTCGCTCACTATTTCGCTTTCGTTTCAAACTATGAGTTCAAACGACATTCTCGTGGAGATTCCAAACCACCACCTACCCAAATTGGCCGCTTTGTTTGAAAACAAAGCCCCATGGGCCCCTCACATGGTCACTTTTGTGCACATCGCAATGAAATGGAAAGAAAATACCAAATACAAAGACAAAATAGTGTTCTTATCACCGTATAACTGCTGGGAAACCGATGGTACCATCATCGTGATCGTCCAGGTACGTTCAACACTCGCTATTCTTGTTCACTTTCACGTTCTTATAGTTATTGTCAACGCAAGACCTTTACGTATTTACTTTAGACGATCAGTGCACTAACCTTTACAAAGGTCTTCTTGAAACCAATCTCATAACTTATGCCAACAAACGCTCACTTTTTTACGCCGTTCATGAAAAACACGTGCCAACGGTGAAGAAGTACCTAGACAAGAAGCAAATTTCAGTTGAAGAGAAACCGTGCTTTATGTATGCGATAGCTCCAGAAGAGGCAACAAAATTCACGCTGGAGTACGCATAGGTACCTAGAGCAAACAAATCAATTTATGGGACAGTTTTAGGTGCTCTGATGTTTACGTGAAGACGCTGGAACCTTCAGCGGCTAAACGCATTAATGATTTGTGGCCGCACAAATTTTTACAATCCGAGCAGTACTTGGCTAGTTTGATAGACGTGAACGGGGGATATGGAGCTTTTTTGAAAAGTACCGGCCAAATGGTTGCTTGGGTTCTAAAACACACTTTTGGACACGTAGCGATCCTGCAAACCGAAGAAGAACATACGAGGAAGGGGTACGCGACTTTGGTCACCAAAGCGTTGTGTAGAGAAATGGCGGAAGACGGGTTTTGGCCGGTTAGTACCATGTTACTGGAGAACAAGAGCTCAGTAGCGATGTTTGAAAAACTAGGCTTTCGTAGTATCGGAGGTTGCAGTTTTCTAGTACCACAATGCTTTATTTCCCAAGCCTAACATCTACAGCATTATCATTAAACAAAAGTATCTCGTACGAACTGACGCCTTTTTCTGTACCTTTGACGTTAAAATGAAGCAGCGCACTTTCCGTTCTGAAGGAAATAACTTTTCCAATTTTGATGTCCCCTTCGTAACTGATACGCCCTATGTTTAGTATGCCGCCGACTTCGTGTCCACCGATAATTGGGCGTTTGTCGATCATTTGGACATGTAGGTGGGAGGCGTTAGCTTGCGCCCAGTAAAAGTTCTGCTGGGCTCCGCAAAGAATCTGTAATGTGTAGTTATTAAACATAAGTACGACTAAAATTCCGTGGTACTACCTTTATGTACGACTTAACAGTTTTAACACCATTAATAGGAGCTTGGACTTCTCGTATTCCGGGAAAAATTTCGGACACGATCAGTCCCTCATTGTGGACATAGGCTTGACCAATGTAAACGTTCTTGTTGTTGATGTCTTGACCTCCTACTAAGGCGTCGTCAGGAATTGTTCCTGTGTACTCTCTCCAGTAGTAATCTATAAAATAAATTAGGTTTGGTTGTGGTGGAGGTGGTACTTACCGTCGTCAAGACAAAGCGAGGCTTGAATGGTGATAAAAACAAGAAGGAACGTTGAAGGGAACATCTTGAGTGGAGAGTGGACTTGAAGAAACTACACTTAGTTGAACCTTGGTGTTTTGTGTATTTAAAAGTAGCTGTTTGGGAAATCCAGTTATTAAATTCGTGTGAACATTAAGTGACTGTATAAATGGTTGCCTATATGCTTAAATTGACGTGATGCTTTGTAGCGGAAGACAACTATTAAAACATAAAAACCCAAATTACATTATATTTTAATAATACACTCAGATAACTACTTTATTTTTTCTGAGTTTTTATATTTGAAAGAACATTAAAATAATTGGAAACGTCGATTTTTTACTCTAAATTTTCGTAAAAATCTGTCGAAGTCCAAAAAATTAGTACGGTACTTGGTTAAAATGCTGGTTAAAACAGAGAATGTAGATTCACAAACAGCTGTACTGCATCCAAAAATTTGTGTAGTGGCCATATAGGTAACATCCAATTTGTTTGAGTTTATTTTTTTGCATGTTTAGTACATATTTTAAAAATCCGACTTCGAAACCAAATATTTCGAAAATTTTGGTACGGAACCATGAACTCGTCATGTTTTTTTTAAACTCGTCGAGATCTGTATTTCAGAATTTTTTGTCAACTTTAACAAAAGCTCAATTTTTGGAAACCCATATAAAATTTTTGACTTTTCCTAAGCATTTTCGAATATTACCAAAAGAATTCCTTTGTTCATCTCGATTTCCAAAAATCGTTTTGGATTCAATTTTTTTGAAAATTCTTACATTTTTTCCAGAATCGACGGAAGAAATATGGCAATTTTTGAGAACCTGTATAAATTTTTTTACTTTTTTCAAGCACGTTCGAGATTACCAAAAGGGATTCCTTTATTGATTTCGATCTCCAGATGTTGTTTTTGGTTGTTTTTTCGAAAATTCGTACAATTTTTCCATAATCGCCAAAAGAAATATGGTAATTTTTGAGAAATTTTGAAAATTCCAGCTCGAAACCGAGTATTTCGAAAATTTTGATCCGGAACCTTGAACCTGTCATGTTTTTTTAAGCTCGTCGAAATCTATATTTCAGAATTTTTTGTCAACTTTTACGAAAGTTCAATTTTTGAAAACCCATATAAAATTTTCGACTTTTCCCAAGCATTTTCAAAAATTATCAAAAGAGATTCCTTTGTTCATCTCGATTTCCAAAAATTGTTTTGGATTCAATTTTTTTGAAAATTCTTACAATTTTTCCAGAATCGACGGAAGAAATATGGCAATTTTTGAGAACCTGTATCAAATTTTTGACTTTTTAAATCACGTTCGAGATTACCAAAAGGGATTCCTTTATTGATTTCGATCTCCAGATGTTGTTTTTGGTTGTTTTTTCAAAAATGCGTGCAATTTTTCCACAATCGCCAAAAGAAATATGGTAATTTTTGAGAAATTTTGAAAATTCGAGCTCGAAACCGAGTATTTCGAAAATTTTGATCCGGAACCTTGAACCCGTCATGTTTTTTTAAGCTCGTCGAAATCTATATTTCAGAATTTTTTGTCAACTTTTACGAAAGTTCAATTTTTGAAAACCCATATAAAATTTTTGACTTTTCCTAGGCATTTTCAAAAATTACCGAAAGGGATTCCTTTATTGATTTCGATCTCCAGATGTTGTTTTTGGTTTTATTTGGTTGAAAAGTCGGAAAATTTTTCAGCAATCGCCAAACGAAATGTAATTTTTGAACTTTGAAACCGAATGTTTCGAAAATCTTGATCTGGGACCATCTAGACCTTGTGTTTTTTGATTGAGCTCGTCGAGATCAACATTTCAGATTTTTTTGTGGATTTTTAGTCAACTTCAACAAAAGCTAAATTTTTGAAAATCCATAAAATGTTTTTGACTTTTCCCAAGCGTTTTCGAAAATTAGCAAAAGGGATCTCTTTATCGATTTCGATCTCCAGATGTTGTTTTTGGTTTTATTTTCTCGAAATTTGTACAATTTTTCCAGAGCCGCCAAAAGAAATGTAATTTTTGAGAAATTTTGAAATGTCGACTTTGAAACCGAATTTTTTGAAAATCTTGGTCTGGGACCATCAAGACCTTATGTTTTTGGATTAAGCTCATCGAGATCTACATCTCGGAATTTTTTGTTGATTTTTTGTTAATTTCAACAAAAGCTCAATTTTTGAAAATCCATATACATTTTTTGACTTTTCCCAAGCATCTTCGAAAATTAGCAAGAGGGATCTCTTTATTGATTTTGATCTCCAGATGTTATTTTTGGTTATATTTTTTTGATATTTCGTCGAATTTTTCCACAATCGCATAAAGAAATAGCTTTTTTTAAAGTAACTTTTGAGATTTTTTAGAAATTTTAGGTAGAAACCCAATATTTCGTAAATTTTGTTCCGGGAGCATGAACATGTTTTTCGATTAAGCTCATCGAGATCTATATTTCAGAATTTTTTGTCAACTCTAACAAAAGCTCAATTTTTGAAAACTAAATAAATTTTGACTTTTCTTGAGCATTTCCAAAAATTACCAAAAGTCATTCATTTATTTATTTCAATCTTCAGATGTTGTTTTTGGTTTTATTTGATCGAAAATTTGTAAAATTTTTCTAGAATCATCAAAAGAAATAGGAGTATAATTTTTGAGAAATTTTAAAAAGTCGACTTGGAAACCGAATATTTCGGAAAATCTTCGTCTGGGACCAGCAAGACCTTTTTTTTTGACTAAACTCGTCAAGGTCTGCATCTCAGAATTTTTTGTAGATTTTTAGCCAATTTCAACAAAAGCTCAATTTTTGAAAATCTATAAAAAAATTTTTACTTTTCCCACGCATTTTCGAAAACTAGCAGAAGGAATCTTTTTATTGATTTCGATCTCCAAATGTTTTTTTTTGGTTTTATTTTTTCGAAAATTGGTACAATTTTTCCATAGCCGCCAAAAGAAATGTAATTTTTGAGAAATTTTGAAATGTCGACTTTGAAACCGAATTTTTGAAAAATCTTGGTCTGGGACCATCAAGACCTTATGTTTTTTGATTAAACTCATCGAGATCTACATCTCAGAATTTTTTGTCGATTTTTTGTCCATTTCAATAAAAGCTCAATTTTTTGGAAATCCATATATTTTTGACTTTTCTCAAGTACATAGTAGGCTATGGAATAAAATGTGACATGTTCATTTTTTTATACGGTCAACATCAACGGTAGGGTGATATTGCCAAATAATATACCCTGTAAGAAAATAAAGGGGGGGGGCGGGTGGGGCCAGTTAATATGCTTCGGCAATCGGCATTATATTGAAATTTTATTACTAATTTGAAATTTATAATGTATAAGTCTTCCAGGGGGGGCAACCACAACAGCTAGGGGGGGGCGCAGCCCCCTCTCGCCCCCCGTAGCTACGGGGCTGCCAAATTATAAAGTATGTGTAGCTATAATTATATGAAATCACGAGGTACCTCATTTACATCTATCAAAGTTTACGTATAGGTGGTTGCAGACTTCAAGTGACCCAGTTTTCTCCTTCTCCACTACAATTAATTACCCTAGCTCTAGAGTAGATCAGTTGCTGACCTATTAAGTGTTTCTTTCCGTAGCTTAGAAACACGTGTTGACAGACTATCAGTTAAAACGTTTTTAATGTGATTGTTATCTCCTATCAAATGAATATAATGGTATCTCAACTCGTGAACACAAATGCATTGTTTCTGTGAATGGGTGGTACCTCTAGTACCATCTTACCTCGATCGAGTGTTACATTTTGACTTGGGTTTACACGATGACCTCAGGTGATATTCTCGTGGAGATCCCAAACCTCCACTTACCCAAATTGGCGGCTTTGTTTGAAGAAAAAGCCCCATGGGCTCCTCACATGGTCAGTTTCGTGCACACCGCAATAAAATGGAAAGAAAACCCCAACTACAACGACAAAATAGTCATCCTATCACCATACAACTCTTGGGAAACCGACGGTACCATCATTGCGATAGTCCAGGTACGTTTAACACCCGCTAGAACTTGTTCGCTTTACTATTCTTACAGTTATTGACAACGCAAGATCTCGTCGTGTTCACTTTAGACGACCAGTGTACCAACCTTTACAAAGGTCTTACTGAAACCAATCTCCTTTCTTACACCAAACGCTCAGTGTTTTATGGCGTGCACGACAAACACGTACCAACCGTGAAAGCCTACATAGAACACAAGCAAATCCGACTTGTTGCAGACGTACCGTGTTTCATCTACGCGATTGCTCCACAAGACGCCAAAAAGTTCACGCTAGAGTACGACACGTACTTCTAGTAAACACAGAACTCACGGATTGGTTTTAGGTGCCCGTCTGACGTTTACGTAAAGAAGTTGGAGCCTTCAGCGGCTAAACGCATTAATGATTTGTGGCCGCACAGGTTTCTACAGTCCGAGCAGTACTTGGCTAGTTACATAGACGCGAATGGGGGGTATGGAGTTTTCTTGAAAAGTAGCGACCAGATGGTTGCTTGGGTTATCAAACACGCGTTCGGGCACTTGGCTATGTTGCAAACTGAAGAGGACCATACGAGGAAGGGGTACGCCAGTTTGGTCACCAAAGCGTTGTCTAGAGAGATTGCGGAAGAGGGGCATTGGCCGCTGGGTACTATTCTACTAGAAAATAAGAACTCGGTAGCGATGTTTGAGAAGCTAGGGTTTCGGAATATTGGAATTTGTAGTTTTCTTGTGGTAGAATAATAAAGTAGTACCAGTAGGACTATTGATAAATATTGTTATCTTTGTTGTGTGCAGTATGATTGTGGCTTATTATGTAAAACTATATTGTAGCAATCAGTCACGTCAGACGTATTGTCCTTGAACTTTGTATACAAATACTTAACACTGATTATCTTTGGAATGACTGTTGTTTAGTTTGTGATAGCTGCAATCAGTTATGCACTAGGTGATTTGATGAAACTATAAGTGTCTTTGTTGCGGTATAGACGTGAACAAACCGATTCTGGTTAATTAAGTAGTTAGAAATGTCTGATATCTTGGTCGAAATCCCTAATTCCCAGTTACCTGAGTTAGCCGCTTTGTACGAAAGTAGAGCGTCATGGGCTCCTCACATGTCTACTTTAGTCCACACTGGGATAAAGTGGAAAAGATCTGATAAGTATAAAGACTCTATAACCTTTTTGTCACCTAGAAACAGCTGGGAAGAAGATGGTACCCTTATAGTCTTAGTAAATGTACGACCCGTACTATCGCTATTCGCAGTTTTTAACATAAATTGTAGCTCTTCTGTCAAGACATTCACGTCTTCACTCTGGATGATCACTGCACGAATCTCTACCAAGGTCTTTCGAAAACCAAACGCATCACATACGAGAACAAAAGATCGTACTTTTACGCAGTCCACGAAAAATTCATCCCCACAGTGAAGAGGTGTCTACAAGAGAAAAATATAAAAATCGCGAAAGACATGCCATGTTTGCTTTATGGTCTTCCTCCGACACAGTTGGTCTTACAGTACGACTTTGACTAAAATTGGCACACCTATTGAAAGTACGTTTTCAGGTGCCCTTCCGACGTCTACGTCAAAAAAATCCAACCTTCCGATGCCAAACAAATCAACGACTTATGGCCACACCCGTTTTTCAATTCCGACAAGTACATTGCTGGTTTCATAGAGATAAATGGTGGCTATGGAGTTTTTCTGAAAAGTAGTGACCAGATGGTGGCTTGGGCTGTTAGACATGTCTTCGGTAACCCGACTGTGCTGCAAACTGAAGTAGCCCACAAAAGAAAAGGGTACGCCAGTTTGGTAATGAAAGCTTTTGCTAAAGAAATCGGGGAAGAAGGGTACTGGACTGTTGTTACTGTTCTTCCTGACAATAGAGCGGCGATAGACGCGTTCGAGAAGCTGGGTTTTGGAAAGATCGCTAGTTGCACGTTTATAGCTGTAGAATAAAATAGAATTTATTTTTTTTCAATTTTAACTTCTAGGGCGTTCTCATTATACATAAGTATTTCATATGAAGCGACGCTTTTCTCTGTATCCCTACTGTTAAAAAAAGTCAGCGCATTTTCGGTAAGGAAAGAACACACTTTTCCTATTTTGATGTCTCCTTCGGAACTGATGCGCCCTATGTATAACACGCCGCCGACTTCGTGTCCACCTATGATTGGGTGTTTGTCGATCATTTGTAGATGGAGGTGGGATGCGTTTGCTTGTGACCAGTAGAAGTTGCTTTGAGGTCCACAAAGAATCTGTAATGAGTGACTTACAGGCAAAGTGGTATCAACTCGGTGGTACTAACCTTCACGTACGACTTGACAGTTTTAATACCGTTAATAGGAGCGTAGACTTCTCGTACTCCGGGAAAAATTGCAGACACGATTAGTCCCTCATTGTGGACGTAGGCTTGCCCAATGTAAACGTTTTGGTTGTTGATGTCTTGACCTGCTACTACCGCGTCGTCGGGAATTGTTCCTGTGTACTCTCTCCAGTAGTAATCTACAAATAAGTTAGATTGTGTCGTGGTGGAGGTAGTACTTACCTTCTTCTAGACAAATCGAGAGTTGAATGACGACGAAAACAAGAAGGAACGTGGAAGAGAACATCTTTAGTCGACAATAGATTTGAGAAAACTACACTTTGTTGGTGTCTTGGATCTTAAAATGAGGTGCCTGGGAAATCCACCTATTAAATCTGCCAGGTAACATGTATAAGTGGTTGCCTATATTATCGAAGTCGAAACGGGAAAGCAAGGGAAAGAAGAGGATTAATCAGTGGCGTAAATAGCACCCCCGCAGACCCCGCAATGCGGGGGGGCGCAGCGTCAAAAGGGGCGCAGACCGTAACGTAACCGATATGTTTTATTAAAATGTGCAATTTTTAAAGAAGGGGTTTTTGTTGGAATTGAAAATGAGATCAGGTAAATTAATAGCTATTTAACGAACAAGTTTGTTAATAAAGGCAATTAATAATCGAGATATTTTAACCCGCGAGGAAGGAGTTTTTATATTTTTTCTTTTTCTCAATTTGAAATTTTTTAGTTTTTGGATTTTTCAATTTTTTTTGTTTTCAATTTGTCGTTTCTTCCATTTTTGATTTGCAGGTTTTCTAGTTTTCATTTTAGATATGTAATAATAATTATAATTTTTATTAGAGTTGTTCCCTTTTTCAATTTTTCGTTTTAGGAATTTTTTAATTTTTCGATCTTTAAATGTTAGTTTTTGGACTTACATTTTTCGATTTAATTCGTTCTTTGATTCATTAATTTTTTCTTGATTTTTAGTTTTTCAATGTTTCTATTTGCCGTTTCTTCAGTTCTACAGTTTTGTCAAACAACAAAATTGAATTACAATTTTTCGATTTCTTGATTTCTCGATTTTTAGTTTACTTAATTTTTCGATATTTCAGTTTTACAATTTTTCAATTTTTGCCTTTTTTAAATTTTCATTTTTACATTTCTCAATTTTTCTATTAATCAATGCTTTGATTTTTTGATTTTTCCTCTTTCCAATTTATTGATTTTTGAAGTTTTCGTTGTTCCAATTTTGGGATTTTTCTATATCTCCAATTTTTTAATTTAAAATTTTTCACTTTTTTGATATTTCGATTTTTAAAATTTCAGATTTTTCGAATTTTGAATATTTTGATTTATCGTTTTTTTTACGTTTAAATATGTATTTCAGTTTTAAATTTTCCGGTTTTTCGATTTCGGGCTATTTCGATTTCTCCATTTCTCGGATCTTTTGATGTCTCAATTTTTTAATTTCGATTTCTTGGCTTTTCCATTTTTCAATTTTTTATTTCTTCAAGTTTTTAGTCTTTTAAAATTTTTCCATTTTTCGATTTTATGTTTTGTTATGCTTCGATCTCCCGATTTTAACCTTTTTAACGTGTATTCCAATTTTTCGATTTTGGAATTTTCGATTTCTTACATCTCGATTTTTCGTTTTTTCGATTTTAAAATGTTTTTACTTTTCGTTCTTTTTTTCGATTTCTGGATTTTTCAAGTTTTCGATTTCTCAATTTTTCAGCATTTCAATTTTGAGAATGTCTATATATTTTCAGTGTTTCGATATTTTCATTTTTCAACTTTTTAAATTTTGATTTTTCGACTTTTGGGTTTTTCAATTTTTCGACTTTTCAGTTTTGAGATTTTTCAATTTGCCGATTTTTAGTTTTTCATTTCTTCAGTTTTTCGGTTTTTCAAGTTTTCGAATTTTTAAATTTAAAATTTTTCAATTTTTCGATTTTATTTTTTTTACGTTCCCATTTCCCGATTTTATTTTTTTTTAAATTTTTCAATCTTTAGTTTTTTTAAATTTTCATTTTTCCATTTCTCAATTTCTCGATTTTTCGACTTTTTAATTTTGTGTTTTTTTTTTAATGTTAAATTTTTCGTTATTGTGATTTTTCTATTTTTTAAATTTTAGATATTTAGATTTTTCGACATCTTGAATTCTCGATCTTTTTTCAGTTTGAATTCCTCGGTTTTTCGATTTTCCAAAATTTCGATTTTTCAATCTTTCGACTTTTCAGTTTTGAAAATTTTCGATTTCTCGATTTTTCAGTTTTTGATTTTCCAACTTTTGGATGTTTCAAAATTTAGAGTTTGCAAATTTCACGAGTTTTTAATTTCGTCAATTTTTCTATTTGCAATTTTTCGTGTGGGTTTTTAATTTTCTTTATTTTTTCAATTTTCGGCTTTCAATTTCCCGTTTCTTTAATTGTTCATTTGCAGTTTTTCCAGTTTTCATTTTAATTATGTAACACTCCTAATAATTATAATTTTTAAAGTTGTTCACTTTTTCAGTTTTTCGTTTTTGGAATTTTTCAATTTTTCGGTGTTTGAATGTCACAGTTTTTGGACTTTACGATTTTCAAGATTCTATAATTTTTCGATTTTACAATTTTTGGATTTTCTTCTTTCCCATTCTACGATTCATTAATTTTTTTTAGATTTTTAAGTTTCTCGGTTTTTAGTTTTTCATTGTTTCAATTTTTCATTTTTTCGAGTTTTTAACTTTTCGAATAAACAAACTCGAAAAATTTTAAAATAGAAAAATTGGAAAACTGAAAAAGTACAAAATGAAAGCTTCGAAAAATAAAAAAATTGGAAATCAAGAACTTAAAAAATCAAATATTGAAAATGTAAAAAATTTAATAAACAAAAAATTATAAAATCCAAAGAAACATTGAAAGAATAAAGGTAATGGAAAAATGATAAATTGTGATATAAAATCAAGAAAATGAAAATTACAAATTCGGGAATTGAAAATGAGATCAGGTAAATTAATAGCTATTTAACGAACAAGTTTGTTAATAAAGGCAATTAATAATCGAGATATTTCAACCCGCGAGGAAGCGGTTTTTATATTTTTTCTTTTTCTCAATTTGAAATTTTTTAGTTTTTGGATTTAAAAATTTTTTTGTTTTCAATTTTTCGTTTCTTCCATTTTTGATTTGCAGGTTTTCTAGTTTTCATTTTAGATATGTAATAATAATTATAATTTTTATTAGAGTTGTCAGCTTTTTCAATTTTTCGTTTTAGGAATTTTTTAATTTTTCGATTTTTAAATGTTAGTTTTTGGACTTACATTTTTCGATTTAATTCGTTCTTTGATTCATTAATTTTTTCTTGATTTTTAGTTTTTCAATGTTTCTATTTGCCTTCAGTTCTACAGTTTTGTCAAATAAATGTTATATAAATTAAAAAAAAGTAACTGTGTACCTATGGTTCATGAATCCGTGTTGAATTTTTATCTTCGACATCGAAATTTTTGTGGAAAAATAAAACAAAATTGAATTACAATTTTTCGATTTCTTGATTTCTCGATTTTTAGTTTGCTTAATTTTTCGATATTTCAGTTTTACAATTTTTCAATTTTTGCCTTTTTTAAATTTTCATTTTTACATTTCTCAATTTTTCTATTAATCAATTCTTTGATTTTTCCTCTTTCCAATTTATTGATTTTTGAAGTTTTCGTTGTTCCAATTTTGGGATTTTTCAATATCTCCAATTTTTTAATTTAAAATTTTTCACTTTTTTGATATTTCGATTTTTAAAATTTCTGATTTTTCGAATTTTGAATATTTTGATTTATCGTTTTTTTTTACGTTTAAATATGTATTTCAGTTTTAAATTTTCCGGTTTTTCGATTTCGGGCTATTTCGATTTCTCCATTTCTCGGATCTTTTGATGTCTCAATTTTTTAATTTCGATATCTCGGCTTTTCCATTTTTCAATTTTTTATTTCTTCAAGTTTTTAGACTTTTAAAATTCTCCATTTTTCGATTTTATGTTTTGTTATGCTTCGATCTCCCGATTTTAACCTTTTTAACGTGTATTCCAATTTTTCGATTTTGGAATTTTCGATTTCTTACATGTCGATTTTTCGTTTTTTCGATTTTAAAATGTTTTTACTTTTCGTTCTTTTTTTCGATTTCTGGATTTTTCAAGTTTTCGATTTCTCAATTTTTGAACATTTCAATTTTGAGAATGTCTATATATTTCCAGTGTTTTTATATTTTCATTTTTCAACTTTTTAAATTTTGATTTTTCGACTTTTGGGTTTTTCAATTTTTCGACTTTTCAGTTTTGAGATTTTTCAATTTGCCGATTTTTTAGTTTTTCATTTCTTCAGTTTTTCGGTTTTTCAAGTTTTCGAATTTTTAAATTTAAAATTTTTCAATTTTTCGATTTTATTTTTTTTACGTTCCCATTTCCCGATTTTAATTTTTTTATGCTTTTCAATCTTTAGTTTTTCTAAATTTTCATTTTTCCATTTCTCAATTTCTCGATTTTTCGACTTTTTAATTTTGTGTTTTTTTAATGTTAAATTTTTCGTTATTGTAATTTTTCTATTTTTTAAATTTTAGATATTTAGATTTTTCAACATCTTGAATTCTCGATGTTTTTTCATTTTGAATTCCTCGGTTTTTCGATTTTCCAAAATTTCGATTTTTCAATCTTTCGACTTTTCAGTTTTGAAAATTTTCGATTTCTCGATTTTTCAGTTTTTGATTTTCCAACTTTTGGATCTTTCAAATTTTAGAGTTTGCAAATTTCACGAGTTTTCAGTTTGTAATTTCGTCAATTTTTCTATTTGCAATTTTTCGTGTGGGTTTTTAATTTTCTTTATTTTTTCAATTTTCGGCTTTCAATTTCCCGTTTCTTTAATTTTTCATTTGCAGTTTTTCCAGTTTTCATTTTAATTATGTAACACTCCTAATAATTATAATTTTTAAAGTTGTTCACTTTTTCAGTTTTTCGTTTTTGGAATTTTTCAATTTTTCGGTGTTTGAATGTCACAGTTTTTGGACTTTACAATTTTCAAGATTCTATAATTTTTCGATTTTACAATTTTTGGATTTTCTTCTTTCCCATTCTACGATTCATTAATTTTTTTTAGATTTTTAAGTTTCTCGGTTTTTAGTTTTTCATTGTTTCAATTTTTCATTTTTTCGAGTTTTTAACTTTTCGAATAAACAAAATCGAAAAATTTTAAAATAGAAAAATTGTAAAACTGAAAAAGTACAAAATGAAAGCTTCGAAAAATAAAAAAATTGGAAATCAAGAACTTAAAAAATCAAAGATTGAAAATGTAAATAATTGAATAAACAAAAAATTATAAAATCCAAAGAAACATTGAAAGAATAAAGGTAATGGAAAAATGAAAAATTGTGATATAAAATCAAGAAAATGAAAATTACAAATTCGGGAAAATGAAAATATCGAAAATCTGAAAAATATAGAAATTGAAAAATTCCCAAAATTGCGATGTTGAAAAATTGAGATAGCCAAAAATTTAAAAATCGAGAAATCGAAAAATTCCAAAAATGGAAAAATTGAAACACATTAAAAAATAAAAATCGGGAAATCGAAACATAAAGATTATAAAAGCGAAAAATGGAAAATTTAAAAAATCAAAAAATTAAAATATATACTAGAAAAATCGAAAATTTTGAAAATCGAAAAACCAAGAAATCGAAATCGAAAACTTGAGATTTCAGAAGATCGAGAAATCGAAATAGGCCGAAATCGGAAAATTCAAAATTGAAATATTTACTTAAAAAAAGATAAACGGAAAAATCGAAAAACTAAAAAAACCTAAATATGAGAGTCAGAAAATTCCAAAAATCGAAAAATTGAAATACAGAATAAAAAATTTAAAAAATCCAAGTTAAAAAATCGTAAAAACAAATTCCATTCGATTTTCCGTTTTATCGATTTTGCAATTTTTTGTTTTTTAAATTTTTTCCAATTTTTTAATTTTCCGATTTTTCAATTTTTCGAATTTTCTACTTTCCGAATAAACAGAATGGAAAAGCTATAAAATAGAAAAATTGTAAAATTGAAAACTCAAAATGAAAAAACGAATGAAATTGAAGAAACGGAAAATTCAAAAATCGAAAGATTAAAAATTGAGAAACTTAAAGATCGAAAAATTGCGGTCGAAAACACGAAAATTATTGTAAAATCTAAATATGTATTGAAATTTGGAAAATCGAGGAATTGAAAATGTGAAAAATTGAATAAACGAAAAATTGTGATATAAAATCCAGAAAATGAAAATTAAAAAATCGGGTAAATGATATAAAAAAATTGAAGAAAAAAGGAAATGTTGAATAGTACAGACGAAGAATTGGTGGAGGCAGCATCAAAGTTGGCAAATAAATACGAAGAAGATATTTCTGGTGCAATCTGTGGGCAAATCGTTAGTTTTAAAAACATTGTTGTTGGTGAAATTAAATTATTCAGCAAAAAATAACTAAAATTACAGATATTGCTAAGTTTTTGTTTATGGACAATAATTTTTTAACGAGTAGTTTACCAGATATTTGCGCTGCGTTACTTCTATTTTTAACACTTCCAGTGACTTCTTTATCGGCAGAAAGATCTTTTTCTAAATTAAAATTAATTAAATCATATTTGGGAAGCACGATAAGTCAAACACGATTAACCAACTTAGCTGTGTTGAGCATTGAGTGTGATCGATCCCAAAAATTAGATCTCGACAACGCGAATTTATGAACTCTCGACAACGTCGAATGAAGCCAGTATAATCAATTAACAATTTTTAAAAATTATCATGTCTATAAATTATTATTATTTGTAAATCTGTGTTATTCGGCGCCACTACTGGTAAACCAGTAATTTCATGTTAATTTTATATTACTTTTTAAATTTGGTGTATGGGGGCGCTTACTATAAACTGCGGGGGGGCGCAGTGGAAGCTAGCTACGCCACTGAGATTAATAAAGCACTTATGTTTGTCCTTTTAAGATTTATCCTTGCTGTTAATATTTACAAGAACTTCAAATTCGTTCGCCACTTCGGATTCTAGCTGCTCGTTCACGCAGTAGAAATAACTCGACCCATTCATCCCAGCTTCCAGAATTTTCCCTATGCAAGTCCCTTGGTTGGGTAAAATTCGTCCCACGAAGTAAGTTCCCCATCCATCTTCGTGGCCACCAACAACCGGGTGTTTGTTAATCAAGTCCACGTGAAGAGAACTAGATGTTGTTGAGTGCCACTCGAAATTGCCAGATGGACCACACAGAATCTAGAATAACACACATTTACTATCTTACAATACATAACCTTGGACCCTTAACCTACTTTGATGTGTTTTCTTGCAAACTGAACACCCTTAATTTCCGCAAATACACCCGTAGTGGCTGGATCTATCTTCACAGGGACTAGACCTTCCCTACTAATGTAAACCTGTCCCACGTACACACTTTTCCCATCGACGTTTCGTCGGCCAACGATTGCATCTTCGGGAATTGTTTCGTTGTAGTCTCGCCAATAGTAGTCTACAAATTACTATTGATTGTAATGTTAACACTAGAAAAAAATACCTTTGTGTGCAGCGATGTATACAGAGGAAAATATCGCGAAATAGAACGTAGTTTTAAACATGTTTGTTCGCAATCTGAACTAAAACAAAATTATCGTCTACGGCGTGCAATAATTTGTTGTCTGTATCATCACTATTTTTGTTTGGGTGTTTGCAACAACAAGTTTTCAGTTATTCGTTTCTTAACGATTTTGTTGATTATTTGAATTCGTGCCAATCAAAATAATTAATAAATAAGTGTTCCTTTTATTTAAAGACGGAAACGGGAGACCTATTTTCCATGTTCTAGGATATACATTCGTCATAGAAAAAACACCAAATTTATTCGCATTTTTATTACATCAGTTTTTAGACCAGAATCTTGTACGAGCTTTTCCTCCAAAACCGGCCATATTTGTTCACACAGTGTAACCGAGGCTCGTCATCCGCATCCACTACTTCTAAGACGTGCCCTATGCACATGGTTTTGTTCTCGTAAGCCGCCCCAATCCAATAATTTTTCTCTCCTTCTGCGTCTTCGTTTCCACCAACGACTGGTTGCCTATTGTTCAAATCTTCCACAATAGTGGACGAATTTGTTTGTAACCAGCCAAAATTATCGAGCTTTCCACACAATATCTAAGACAACATTAGTGACCTTTTTGACTTTTTCAACTTACTTGAATGTATTCTTTAGCGAATTTTGCTTGGAATAATGCCGCGTAAACTCCTTTAATGCCTGGGTTTATTTGCACGGGGAGCAGGCCTTCACCTCTGAAGTAAACTTGGCCTATGTAGACATCCCGTCCGTCTGCGTCTCGTCCGGCGAGAAGAGCATCATCAGGGATGGCTCCGTCGTAGTCGCGCCAGTAGTAATCTGAAAACCTACTTTCAGTTGCACTATTTCCAAAAATAACTCAAGCTTGCCCTTGCTTGCTTGTACTGCAGTAACCATGAACAAAAACAACATCTTGTTTAGTGGTTTTCTCACTACTAACATTATCTGGGTTTCGTGTTTAATGTAAACATCTCTGATAAATTGATTTTGGGTGGTGGAATAGCAAACGACAGTAGTCTATTTTATTTATTTATTTATTTATTTATTTATTTGAGTTTTTAGCGTTACAGGACTCAGTCCTTCTCCTTTCTATTCGTCGTCACAAGAACTTCGTAGTCTTTTAGCGTCTTAATTTCAACGTCACTGATAAATCCTCTAGTATTATTCCTACAAAAGAAGGCACTTTTTCGCTCAATCCCATTTTCCGGAACTGTCCCTATGCAAGTCCCGTATTTAGAACTGATTCGTCCCCCCACCCGTCCTCGTGGCCACCTATCACTGGATGTTTGTTTATTAAGTCCGCGTGAAGGGTGGACGTCGTTGTTTCAATCCAGTTGAAATTCTGAGCAGAGCCGCACAAGATCTACAACAACAGAAAAATCAAAAAATACGTATCTGAACACCAGTACAGTTTTCTTACTTTGATGTTTTTTGTAATATGATGTAGAACCAAATTCATATACACGTAGACGTCCTTATGATCTGCATATATTTCTGCAGGAATTAAGCCCTCTCTGCTGAGATAGACTTGCCCTATGTATTCATTTGTGACTTCTTCGTCTTGACCACCAATTAAGGGGACTCGCGGTATAATATTTTTTTGGTTTTTTGTATGAAAAAATGATATTAATATAGATGTATCATACATCAAACTGCAGCTTTTTTCATATTCTAGAGCGCAGAGACCAGTTCAATCAACTAAAAAAATATGGCTGAGAAATATCGTAAAAAAAGCACCATTGTATGTTTTCTTTTCAAGTTTTTTGAGTCATTACCATCATAGAATCGCTTGAAAATTCGCGCATGGATAAAACAGAACTTTTTACAGGGCGCAGAGTCATTAAATGTTTGTTAGTGGTACAATTTGTTTAAATAATAATGTGTTTATTAAAATCAAAATACACCACAAATTAATGCAAAATACGTCGAATAATTTTAACAGGAATATGAGAAGAAAATTAATGATCTATTGGTTAGCAGAGTTTTTAACAAAAACTAACAATTATTGAAAAAAATGGGTATCAATTCGACAGAATTTGAGCAGTTAGTTCAGTACTTTGCCGATAGGAGCGCCACTAGCTAATAAGAGTTAATAAGCTAATTGTTAGAGTTCTCGGCTGATTTTTCTAATTTATGGCAAGGAACTCAGTTTTATAACAAGCCGCTAGAACCGGCCGTAGTAATCTATTGTTAAGAAAATTAACTTTTACGCAATGAGGTACTATCATAAAACCGAATTAAAACTGGGCAACTACAATATTTTTACTCCACTCAGGATCCTGAATTCAATACACGTGATTACTAAAAATTCATTGTAATATTATTGTTAATATATATTTTGCTTTGTTAATTAATAAAACTAATTAACATATTTATAATAATAATAAAAAATATATAAAATACAGCTTTTGTTTAACACGTATAAGTAGCTAAATGTATCTACTACTTATCCTAGAAAGGAGGTGTTTTAAAAAAGCCCTACGCCCAGTAACTTCTCCCTTCATTGTTTACTCGAAAAAAGTGCTCGTATAAATTTTATTTATTTTTAAAAAATCTCTCGCAAAGGCAGGTTCCTCTTTCTTCTTGAATTAATTATTTCGGGCAATAATGCGCCAAAGTAAAATCTGCCAAGTTTATCTGCCATCTTTTTACATATATTTCTTCGTCTTTATAAATTTTTTCTATATTTATTCCTTTGGGTGTCCATATACAACAAAATACACTTGTGAAATACCCGTAACAAGCATTTGTCCCTGGACTTGAAAGTAGTAATCATGATTTTTTTTTTAGTTTCAATTCTCTGTCTGTCAATGTACAAAATTTGATTATTTTTTTTTAACCGCTTCTTCGTGAGACAAATCTTGCGATTTTGAAGGGCATTTAATTTCGACTAATGCACTCCTATCCTCTAGAACCCTGTCTGGACTAGCAGCCAAGTAAGGAAATTGTTTTGAAATAAACAAGCCACACCGTTCAGTTTTTATATTTTTATTTATTTCAAAACACTTGACAGCTTTTTTCTCACTTTGCTCACTTTGCTGTCCATAGTATGTATGACCTCTAAATGTACTGTACAACAGAGACTCCACAGTTTTAGCTATTGCTGTAGTCGGTCTATTGTAAATACGTCCAAAATTTGAAGCCGTAACCCTAATTTCTCTTTCTTTTGCCCAAATGTGCCTGTTGCCTAGTGTCTATTTCAATTTGGTCTAAATTCAAAGATAATTTTCTCAAAAGAACCTCTTTGGCTATCACAAATGTTTCTACATCCATGCCAGGGTTTTCTAAAAAATATTTAAACCATAATCGCAGTCAGGACCAGCATACGTAAATTTTTTTACGACATATTTTTTTACGAATACTTTGTCTAAGACGAGCTTGTTTTATAGACGAACAATATTTTTTTGTTATTAAACCAGGACCGTTTTAATCACGATATATTTACTTATCACCTCTAAAAATGATGACGTCACCTCAAAATTTTGCTGAATAAATCCTATCTAAATTGTATAAAATATGATGAGTCTCTTCTTGTGATTTATCATTCCATTCATGTTTTTTGGATTTGTATATACAGGATGACCCCAAAAATTAATGAATGCGTAAATTTATTTTATTGATTTAATCAAGAACTACAGAACCCAATGCTTTGACATCTTGCAAATGTTTTAAGGTTATAAAGAGCATAATAAATTTTTAGTCAAAACATATTTGCTTATCCCTCCAAAAAATTGATGACGTCAGCTCAAAAGTTTGCAGTATAATCCTATTTAAAATTTACAAAATATGATAAGTCTCTTCTTGTAATCTATCATTCCATTTATATTTTTTGGATTCGGATATACAGGGTGACTAAAAAAATTTAATGAATGCGCAAATTTATTTTATTGATTTAAACAGGAACTACAAAACCGAATGCTTTGAAATCTAATGTGAAAAAAAAACATTTTGCCTTTTTGTTTGGATATGTGTAGACTTCTTTTACAACATGAAACTTTAAATACGTTACTATTTTAACCATGTTTTAAGTTTCTTGTTGTGAAAAGATGGCTATGTATATTAAGAAAAAAGAAAAGGCAAAATATATATACATTCTTTGTCCTTTTTGTCCTTCGTCCTTCGTCCTCCCTTCTCGATCTCTCGGTTTCCCGATTTTTCAATTTCTCGATATTTTAATTTTTCGATTTTTAAAGTTTATAATTTTAGATTTCTCAATTTTTCAAATTTTTGATATTGTGTTTTCTCGGTTATTAAATTTTTCGATATTTTAATTTTTCAGTTTTTAAAGTTTTAGGTTTTTAGATTTCTCACTATCTCGACTTTTCGATTTTTCAGTTTCATGATTTTTCAATTGGTCGAATTTTTAAATTTTAGATTTTTTGTTCTCGATCATTCAATTTTCTGAGTTTTCAGGCTTAGATTTTTTTTGTTGTTCAATTCTTGGATTTTTAAAGTTTTTGTTTTTTAAATTTTCCTATTTATCAACTTACTGGGATTTCAATGTTTTGATTTTTTGATTGTTCAATTTCCCGATTTTTTGAATTTTTAGTTTTTGATACGATTTTTTTTTCAAAAATTTTCAGTTTTTCAATTTATTAACTTTACGTATTTCAGTTTTATGATTTTGAAATTTTTTTATTTTTCAGTTTTCAATTTTTGACGTTTCTAAATTTTCCGATTTTTCAATTTTTCGATTAACTGATTTTTTGATTTTCCCATTTCTCAATTACTTGATTTTTCAATTCTTTCTTCAATTGTGATTTTTCCATTTTTCGATTTCTGGATTTTTCAATGTTTCAGTTTTGGATTTTTTCACTTTTCCCATTCTTCAATTTTCTTTCCATTTTTCTGTTTTTCGAGATTTCAGTTTTGAATTTTTTCACTTTTTCGATTTTTCAATTTTCCTTCTGTTTTTCAGTTTTTCAGTATTTCAGTTCTGAGATTTTGCAATGTTTCGGTTCTTCAATTTTTCCATTTTTTGATGTTTCGATTTCTCGGTTTTTCAATTTTTCGATAGGTATTTTAATTTTTCAATTTTTAAGTTCTAGATTTTCCGTTAATTTTTTTGTTTTCCTTGATGTTTTGATTTCTCGATTATTCGATTTTTCAAGTTCTCGGTTTAGATTTTTTGGTTTTCCAATTCTTCGATTTTTAAATTGTTTAATTTTTAGATTGTTCAGTTTCTCGATTTGTAGATTTTTGAATTTTTCAGTTTACCGATTTTTTTCGTTTAAAATGTTTCAATTTTTCAATTATTAAGTTTTCGATTTTTCAATTCTAGGTGTATTTTGAAAACGGTATTAATAATACATTTTTGCACTCATGATCTTTTTTGATGGCTTTCGTGCATTCACCAGGGTGCGGGAGTTCGAACTTCCCGCACACGTGCATTTTAACTTCCCGTTGCCATGGTAATCTTAAAATACTCGCGTAGTGTCAACATTGTGATGTGTTGACGGCGCCATTGTTTATAAATAACTCACAGTTAATTTCTTCAGTTTAAAGGTTTATTCGTTGCAAAAAATATTGTACACAACACGTTCGTGAGCCTGCTTCCCGCATTCACGCAAATGCGGCACTCCCTTCGGTCGTGCCGCAAACAAGCGTTCATGCGGGAAGCAGGCTATCCCGAACTAGTTGTGTAATAGTAATTTACACAACTAGTTCGGGATAGCCTGCTTCCCGCATGAACGCTTGTTTGCGGCACGACCGAAGGGAGTGCCGCATTTGCGTGAATGCGGGAAGCAGGCTCACGAACGTGTTGTGTACAATATTTTTTGCAACGAATAAACCTTTAAACTCAAGAAATTAACTGTGAGTTATTTATAAACAATGGCGCCGTCAACACATCACAATGTTGACACTATGCGAGTATTTTAAGGTTACCATGGCAACGGGAAGTTAAAATGCACGTGTGCGGGAAGTTCGAACTCCCGCACCCTGGTGAATGCACGAAAGCCATCAAAAAAGATCATGAGTGCAAAAATTACTATTAGGTGATTAAACTAGTAGACGGGCTTGATAAGTCTTGTTTGCTCTACAGTGTCTAAATTGTGTTTGAATAATATAAAAATTATCTCGAATATTAAAATTAATATGTCAAAATAATACGAGAAATGATTATTCTGTGCTGAAGGTATGTTGTGGGCCGCCTGTCATAAATTATCATTATTCTGCATTATCGGCGTACGATGCTTTTATGACCCACATTCTGTAGTCGTCTATTCCAGCGCGTCAGGTAGATTTTAAGAAGAATTGCTGGTTGCGTTTAAGGCAACAAATGGCGCCCAATTCAAACTTGTCTCTCGTCTAGCGTTCCCCCTTAAGGCATCTTGCGGAAGAGTTCCGTTGTAGTCGCGCCAATAGTAGCCTAAAATTTTATTTTCAGTTATAAGTTCACACTAAAAATATAGCTGACCTTTGTGGGCATGAACTGAGAGAGTGGTTGTCAAGAGGAAAACTGTCAAAGAGTGCAACATGTTGTTTACTGTTGTTTGGTTGAAATCAGTCGCTTCTGTGAACGTAATAGACGTCGTGTTTTGGTCGTAGGGGTCACCATTTTGATAATTTTTTTCATTGCAAGGTTAAAGTCATCACTATACGTGTTATTTTGTCAATTCAAGGAACAAGATAAGAAATTGGGACGTTGTTTGTCGTTGTACATGTTAGTTCTACCAGGAATCTCAACATAACAACTTAAATAAAACAACTAGCTTCTAACTTATCTGATTAAATTATAATTGAAAATAATACACAGAGGACACAAGAAAAAATATGTGGTAAAGTCAAACTTAGACTACTTTCTGAACCGCTCCCATCTTTAGGTTTAGGAGGAATTTGTTTGTTTACAAGAACTTCGTACGAATTAGATTTTAGTTGATTTTTGTCCCTATCCACAGCGTAAAAGACGGACATACCACCACCCCCGTGTTCAAGAACTTTTCCAATACAGTATCCATCGTTGCAACCAATCCTTCCAACAAAATAATCCCCCCATCCGTCCTCATGCCCACCGACTACCAGCTGTTTCGTCTTTAATTCTGTATGGAGCTGTGTGAAATTTGTGTCCATCCAGTAAAAATTTTCGGGAGGGCCACACAAAATCTGGAAAAAAGCAATTTTTAGTAAAACTGCTCAAGTATTCTTTTCCTACGTACTTTAATGTTGTCGTCTAAGACTTGAGTGCCTTGCATTTCTCCATACACTTCGCTTCGATCTGGGTCTATCTGCACAATTGCTATACCTTCATCTTTGATATAGGCTTGACCTATGTAGATGTTTTTATAGTCCCTGTCGCGACCACCGGGTAGTGCATCTTCAGGGATGTGTCCGTCGTAGTCGCGCCAGTAGTAGTCTGCAAAGCACTTTCAGTGGTGATAGTGTTAAAAAAATTGTTACCTTTTTTTGAATTGATTAGAGCTTGAGTGGAAGCAAACAAAATTAAAGACAACACAAGTGTCGACATCGTTTTGGTGTTCAAATACACTACGTGTTCATCATCACACTTTCTTATATAGATAGTTGCCAAAAACAGCTTTCGTTATAACCTCTTCGATAAACTTATTATTGATATTGTGTGATGGGTTGATTAATTATGTTTATGTAGATAGCGACTAATTGAAAATAGTTGCAGAATATGTACAACAATAAAAAAAAATAGCTGGACTTTTCCAATTGCCTCATTGATTAGCGTTATGAACAAAAATATTGATAACACATTTTTTTATTTTTGATTGAATTCAGTACTAAATAAAATGCAGCTAGCTTCTACCTGATTTTATTAAAATATAAGTGAAAATAATACACAAAGTACGAAATAAACACTATGGGTGAAAGTCAAAACTAGACTACTTTCTGAACCATTGGGGTCTTTTTTTTCGTTTACGAGAACTTCGAACGAGTCGGCGGTTAGTTCATGTCCGTCTCTATCCACTCCGTAAAAGCCGGATTTGCGTCTAAACGAGCCAGTTCTAAGAATTTTCCCGATGCATAATCCAAAGTCGCAGTTGATCCTTCCAACAAAATATTTTTCGCCTCTGTCTTCATGACCACCAATCACCAACGGTTTCTCGTCTAAATATAAATGCCTCATCAGCTGGGTGCGATTTGTTGGTAACCAGTAAAAATGATCCCGAGGACCACACAAGATCTAAATTTTGGTAAAAGTATAGAAGATCTTAAACGTTTTCTACATACTTTAATGTAGTTTTCTACTACTAGAGGGTTGTTCATGTGTGCATATAACGTCCGACCTGGGTTTATTTCGATGACAACGAAACCTTCGTCTTTGATATAACTTTGGCCTATGTAGATGGGTTTGTCGTGATTGTCGTGACCACCAACTATGGCATCTTCAGGGATGACTTCGTCGTAGTCGCGCCAGTAGTAGTCTGCAACGCATTTTCAGTGGTGGTAGTGGTAAAAAATAAGTTACCTGTGGTTGACTTGACCAGAATAACTTGAAACAGAATTAAACAGAACACAAACGTAGACGTCATGTTGACAGTCTTTGGATCAGTAACAAACAGACTGTATTCTTATCACTGTTTCTTTATATAATTACCAAAAACAGCTTTGGTGTAACCTCTTCGATAAACTTTTTGTTGATGTTATTTGACTGACTTATCTAAGTTGGCTGCAAAACTTGTACAACAAGAAATTCTCTTTCGTCTCATGTTTACTCGCTAATGATTGCTAGTTTAAATTGTAGGAATTTCTCTTAATTTGGGTTACCAACTGGGGGCAATTCACCTCTTCCTGTATGTGTAATACGAGAAATATCACTTAATTAATGATTAACAATTGAGTCCAGAGGACCTCTATCTTTATACTCATGTGGAGTCGACAGTTTTTAGTAAAAAAAAAATATACTTGGCCAATTTTTACACCAGTTTAAACGGACACGTGGATGCATTCTTTAAGAAGAAATGGGTGGATTAATTATGCTTATGTAGATAGATGCTCAGAGATAAAAAACTCTATACTGGACTTTTCAAATTACCTCATGGTTTGAATTGCTAAATAAAACACAGCTGACCTCTATCTCATCTTATTAAAATATAAATGAAAATAATACACAAAATACTAAACCAACACCATGAGGAAAAGTCAAAATTAAACTACTTTCGGAACCATTGGGCTCTTTTTTTTCGTTGACAAGAATTTCGAACGAGTGGGCGATTAGTTCATTACCGTCTCTACCCACTCCGTAAAAGCCGGATTTGTGTCGAAAACAGTTATCTTTAAGAATTTTCCCGATGCAGACCCCAAATTCGCACTCGATCCTTCCAATAAAACTTTTGCCCATGTCTTCTTCACCACCAATCACCAACGGTTTCTCTTCTAAATAGAAAGGCTTCATTAGTTGAGTGCGATTTGTTGGCAACCAGTAAAAACGATCCCAAGGACCACACAAGATCTAAATTTTGGTAAAAATGTAGAAGATCTTAAACTCGACTACGTTTCCTACATACTTTAATCAAGTAGTCTACCTCGTGAGGGTAATGCATATGTGCATATAACGTTTGGCCTGGGTTTATTTCCATGGCAACGTCACCCATGTCTTCGATATAAGTTTGGCCTATGTAGATAGGTTTATCGTGATTGTCGTGACCACCAACTATGGCATCTTCAGGGATGACTCCATTGTAGTAGCGCCAATGATAGTCTGCAACGCATTTTCAGTGGTGGTAGTGTTAAAAAAAAGTTACCTGTTGTTGACTTGGCTAGAGCAACTTCAAACAAAATTAAACAGAACACAAACGTGGACGTCATGTTGACAGTCTTTGGATCAGTAACAAACAGACTATATTTTTATCACTCTTTCTTTATATAATTACCAAAAACAGCTTTCGTGGAACCTCTTCGATAAACTTTTTGTTGATGTTATTTGACTGACTTATCTAAGTTGGCTGCAAAATTTGTACATCTCTTGTCTCATGTTTTTTCGATTGCTAGTTTAAATTGTTTGTGGGAATTTCTATTCATTTAGGTCATCATCTTGTATTTGTAATACGAAATATATCAAAATGAACCCATCTGGCCTGTACCTCATCTTATTAAAATATAAATGAAAATAATACACAAAGTACAAAACCAACACTATGGAGAAAAGTCAAAATTAGACTACTTTCTGAACCACTGGGCTCTTTTTTTTCGTTTACAAGAACTTCGAACGAGTCGGCGGTTAGTCCATGGCCGGTTCTATCCACTCCGATAAATCCGGACCTGTGTCGAAAAGAGCCATTTCTAAGAATTTTCCCAATGCAGAATCCATAGTCGCACTTGATCATTCCAACAAAGTGTTTTTCGCCTCTGCCTTCGCGACCACCAACCACCCACGCTTTCTCTTCTGAATATAAGTGCTTCATTAGTTGAGTGCAATTCGTTGGCAACCAGTAAAAATGATCCCGAGGACCACACAAGATCTAAATTTTGGTAAAAATATAGAAGATCTTAAACTCGGATACGTTTCCTACATACTTTAATGTAGCCTTTTACCACTTCAGAGTTGTACATATTACGTGCATATAATGTTTGGCCTGGATTTATTTCGAAGACAACGAAACCCATGTCTTGGATGTAAGTTTGGCCTATGTAGATGGGTTTATCGTGATTGTCGTGACCACCAATTATGGCATCTTCAGGGATGACTCCATCGTAGTCGCGCCAATAGTAGTCTGCAACGCACTTTCAGTGGTGGCAGTGCTAAGAAAAAAATTACCTGTTGTTGACTTGACCAGAACAACTTCAAACAGAATTAAACAGAACACGAACGTGGACATCATGTTGATAGTCTTTGGACCAGTAACAAACAGACTATATTCTTATCACTCTTTCTTTATATAATTACCAAAAACTGCTTTCGTGTAACCTCTTCGATAAACTTTTTGTTGATGTTTTTTGATTTACTTTATCTAATTTGACTGCATAATTTGTACAACAAGAAAATTCTCTGTAGTCTCATGTTTTCTAATTACTGATTGCTAGTTTAAATTATTGTAATTTCTATTAATTTGGGTTATCAACTGGGGGCAATTCACCTCTTCCTGTATTTGTAATACGGGATATATCACTTAATTAATGATTCACAATTGAGTCCAGGGAACCTCTATATTTATATTGGTGCCCCCGAGAAGGTTTTACATATAAAAAAAAAAAAACAGTTGGGACCCTCGAGAAGGTTTCAGATTAAAAAAAATATGTATATTTGGCGCCCCCGAGAAGATTTTACAATTTTAAAAAAGACAGTTGGGACCCCCAAGAAGGTTTCACATTCTTAAGAAAATGCATTGGAGACCCTGACAAGGTTTTACATTTTCAAAAAAGACAGTTGGGACCCTTGAGAAGGTTTTACACTTTTGTAAAAAAAGACAACTGGGAGCCCTGAGAAGGTTTCATATTATTAAAAAAAAAATTTGGGGTCCCGAGGTTTTCCATAAAAAAAAAGTTGGGACCCCCGAGGTTTCACATTATTACAAAAAAAAAAAACATTTGGGCCCCCGAGAAGGTTTTACATTGTTAAACATGATAGTTGGGATTCCCGAGAAGGTTTCACAGTCTTAAAAAAATTCATGGGAGCCTCTGAGAAGGTTTTACATTTTCAAAAAAGACAACTGGTAGCCCTGAAAAGGTTTTACATTTAAAAAAAAAAAACATTTGGGCCCCTGAGAAGATTCCACATTCTTAAAAGAAAACATTTGGCGCCCTCGAGAAGGTTTTACATTTTTATGAAGACAATTGGCACCCCCGAGAAGGTTTTACATTCTAAAAAAAAGATTTGGGAGGCTTAGCCTCCCCCTAATTACAGCTTTGTCTACGGGTTATGAAATATCGAGAAAATATGAAAGTACAGTATAACCTCTATAATCCGAACACACGATTATCCGAACATCCAGTAATCCGAACAGAGGCTAGTTGAAGTCGATATCTCTTTAATCTGAACAAAAACTCTGCAATTCGAACTGAACTCGAAAACATGCACCTACTTGCAAAAATGACGCAAGATCTTCTTTCTATAGGTAATTTTTTTAAATTTTTAAAAATTGTGATATTTCAATGCACTGAATGAATTATCTAGGTCTGGAAAAAAGGTTAAAGTTATCGAAGAAATGAGGCCGCAAGTCATTTCTGCCCTCGAAATCTACAAGAAAAAGTATTTAGTTAAATTTCGAAAAATAAATATACAAGTCCCTCCCACCCACCCTTTATTTTCTTTGAAGAGTGGGTCATTTGCCAAAATCAGTCTTATTTTAACAAATACTATCCCCGCCCACCCACCCTTGTTTCCTTAGAGGATATGTCATTTGCAAAAATCAATCTCATACTTGCGAAGATAAGACTGATTTTGGCAGATGACATATTTTTTATTTTCTTAGAAGAGTAGGTCACTGGCAAAAATGAGACTTATTTTGGCAAATACTAGCTCCACCCACCCGCCCTTTGTTTTCTTAAGAGAGTAGATCATTTGCCAAAATCAGTCTTATCGTAGTGCGTCTTACTAGATTCTTCCGTTTTCCGATTTTTCAACTTTCGAATACTTCAATTTCTCGCTTTTTAAATTTTCAATTTTTTGATCTGTCTTTCGATTTTTGATTTCTCTGGGCAACTGAAAAAAACTTTGGATTTTTTAATTTTACAATTTTGGCATTTTCCGAATTATCAATTATTTGATTTGTAAAATTATCGAGAAAATGGATGTTTATTTTTTTTATTTTCGATTTTTGATTTTTTGTCACCTAGTTTTTGGAAGGAAGTAAAGCAATTTTGATCAGCGATTTGCCATGTTTACCGGAACTTTAAAACATCTGAATATTTTGTTCCTAATTTTCAATTTTTCAAGATTTCGGTTCGAATAAATTTGCTCTTTTAGTTAAAAAATCGAAAAATGACAAATCGTGAAAAGGAAAAATTTTAACTTGAGAACTTGAAAAATTAAAAATCAAAAGATTCAAAAATTGTGAAGTTAAAACTTGAAAAATCAAAAGATTGGAATTAAAAACTGCAAAATTGTCAAACAAATTATCAAATGAAATATTCAAGAGTTGAAAAATCTAAAAACTAAAAAAAAGTTAAAACTGGAATTTCGAATTTGATATATAAGATTTGTTTTTTTTTCAATTTTTCGATATTTCAGTTTTTGATTTTCCGATTATACATTTGTACAATTTTCCGATTTCTCATTTATCCGATTTTTCAATTTGTCATTTTTTTATTTTTAAATTTTTTTGTTTTTAGCAAGTTTTGACCCCACCCACCCATGCTTTATTTTCTTAGAAGAGTGGGTCATCTGCCAGAATCAGTCTTATCTTGACAAGTACTAGCCCCGCCCACCCACCCTTAGTTTCCTAGAGAATATGTCATTTGCAAAAATCAGCCTCTATTTGCCAAGATAAGATTGATTTTGGCAGATGACCTACTCTTCTAAGAAAACAAGGGGTGGGTGGGTGGGGCTAGTACCTTTTCTTAGAAGAGTAGGTCATTTGTCAAAATGAGTCTTATTTTGGCAAATACTAGCCTGGCCCACCCGCCTTTTATTTTCTTAGAGGGTAGGTTATTTGGCAACTACTACCATTGTGTAAAATTTCATTTTTGAAAAAGTTGTCTAAAAATTCTGAAAAAATTCAGAGATATATCCCGACGTGCTGATTCCAAAGATATACCATGTTTATGGTAACGGAGCAATATTTTCGGAAAATTCGGCGTGAAATTCAATTTTTTTTTTATTTTTAAAAATTGCGATATTTCAATTGACGATTCTGGAAAAACGGTGTAAGTTATCGAAGAAATCAAGCCAGAAGTGACTTCTGTGACCCAAAATCTACATGGAAGTATTTAGTTAAATTTCGAAAATCGTCGAGAATGGGTCGAAATTTGTATAAGGGAGGTAATACGAATACATAGTAGAAATTTCATTTTTGAAAAAGTCATCTAAAAATTCTGATTGAGTTCAGAGATATAGATTCCGACCTGATTCCAAAAATATAGCATGGTTGTGGTCACGAAATAATATTTTTTTCGAATGTATCTTTTCGAAATTTCGAAGTTGTTTTCAATTCCCTTTCAGCTTTTTGGGAATTTCGCTGATCCTAACAAATCGCTATTCCGAACACACCTTTCCCCAATTAATTCGGATTATCGAGGTTATACTGTACCAAATTGCTCCATTACTGTACGTCCTTAGCTTTTGAGATGACGTCATCAATGTTTTAGGGGGTATGAGCATATACATTTTGATAAAAAATTTACCATACTTATGATAACTTTGAAACACATCCAAGATTTCAAAGCATTCGGTGTTGCATTAACTTTTTTGAGTCACCTGTATAAACAAATCGATGTGCAGTCGACAGTTTTTAATAAATAATTGATTAAAATTTCAAACAGTGCCGGCTATAAAATGTCAGATGAGACAAAAAGAATCAGAAGTGTTTCAAATGAAACGAAGAACCTAATTAAAACATTCCTATTTCTGATATTTTTTCTGTTAGGCGAATATACGTAAAACACGATGGTTTGAGTTGCATAAAACACACCTCAACTTATTAAAATATAAATGAAAATAATACACAAAGTACAAAACCAACACTATGAGGAAAAGTCAAAATTAGACTACTTTCTGAACCATTGGGCTCTTTTTTTATGTTTACCAGAACGTCGAACGAGTCGGCGGTTAGTTCATGTCCGTCTCTATCCACTCCGTAAAAGCCGGACTTCTCTCGAAAACATTCGGTTCTAAGAATTTTCCCGATGCAGAACCCAAAGTCGCACTTGATCCTTCCAACAAAATTTTCGCCTATGTCTTCTTCACCACCAAACACCAACAGTTTCTCTTCGATATATAAATGCTTCATTAGTTGAGTGTGATTTGTAGGAAACCAGTAAAAATGATCCCGAGGACCACACAAGATCTAAATTTTGATAAAAATGTAGAAGATCTTAACCTCGGGTACGTTTCCTGCATACTTTGATGTAGTCTTTTACCACTCGAGCGTTGTACGAATGTGCATATAACGTTCGACCTGGGTTTATTTCGATGACAACGAAACCTCTGTCTTTGATATAACTTTGGCCTATGTAGATGGGTTTATCGTGATTGTCGTGACCACCAACTATGGCATCTTCAGGGATGACTCCGGCGTAGTCGCGCCAGTGGTAGTCTGCAACGCATTTTCAGTGGTGGTAATGGTAAAAAAAGTTACCTGTTGTTGACTTAACCAGAACAACTTGAAACAGAATTAAACAGAACACAAACGTAGACGTCATGTTGACAGTCTTTAGATCAGTAACAAAGACTACATTCTTATCACTCTTTCTTTATATAATTGCCAAAAACAGCTTTCGTGTAACCTCTTCGATAAACTTTTTGTTGATGTTTTTTGACTGACTTTATCTAATTTGGATGCATAACTTGTACAACAAGAAAATTCTCTGTAGTCTCATGTTTTCTCGCTACTGATTCCTAGTTTAAATTGTGGGAATTTTTTATTAATTTGGGTTATCAACTGAGGGCAAATCAGCTCCTTCCTGTATTTGTAATGCGGGATATATCACTTAATTAATTGAGCCCAGGGAACCTCTATTTTTACATTCGTGTGTAGTCGACAGTTCTTAATAAAAACAGTCAGATACTTGGCCAATTTTTATTCCAACGACAAAAAAAATACTTTATATTGAGGCGGCACAATAATACGTAGTAGTAAGCGAGGAAAATAAGCTCCTCCGTAGTCTAGTGGTAAGGGCACCCGCCCGGCAAGTGGTAAACGTGCGGTTCGATTCCCACCGGAGAAGCAACATTTTTCTTCGCTTACCTACAATATTTAACTGTACTGGACTTTTCAAATTACCTCAGTCATTAGCTTTATGAAGGAAAAAAAATGATTGCAAATGAAACGAAAAACCCAATTAAAACTTTCTTATTTCTGATATTTTTTCTGTTGGGCTGATATGATGGTTTGAATTACTAAATAAAACACAGCTGGCCTCTACTTCATCTTATGAAAATATAAATGAAAATAATACACAAAGTACAAAACCAACACTATGGGGAAAAGTCAAAATTAGACTACTTTCTGAACCATTGGGTTCTTTTTTTTCGTTTACAAGAACTTCGAACGAGTCGGCGGTTAGTTCACGTCCGTCTCTATCCTCTCCGTAAAAGCGGAACGTTCCATTCCCACGAATTTTCCCAATACAGAATCCAAAGTCGCACTTGATCCTTCCAACAACATCTTTCTCGCCTCTGTAGTCATTACCAACAATCACCAACGGTTTCTTTTCTAAATATAAATGCTTCATCTGGGTACGATTTGCTGGCAGCCAGTAAAAATGATCCCGAGGATTACACAAAATCTGAATTTCGCAAAAAATATAGCAGATATTAAACTTGGATACGTTTCCTACATACTTCAAAATCGTTTTCTCCTACTGTATTGTTGAATATGTTCATTTGACCTGGGTATATTTCGGTGACAATGAAACCTTGGCGTTTGGTATATCTACGGCCAATGTAGATAGGTGTATCGATATTGTCGTAACCACCAACTACAGCATCTTCAGGGATATCTCCGTCGTAGTCGCGCCAGGAGTAGTCTGCAACGCATTTTCAGTGGAGGTAGTGGTAAAAAAAAACTTACCTGTTGTTGACTTGACCAGAAGAACTTCAAACAGAATTAAATAGAACACAAACGTAGACGTCATGTTGACAGTCTTTGGATCAGCAACAAACAGACTATTCTTATTACTCTTTCTTTATATAATTACCAAAAACAGCTTCCGTATAACCTCGATTGCCTTATCTAAGTTGGTTCTCCTTCGGCTTGTTTTCTCGATACTGACTGCTAGTTTAAATGAATTTCTATTAATTTGGGTTATCAATTGGGGCAAATTACTTTTTCCTGTATTTGTAACACGAGATATCTCACTTAATTAATGATTAACAAACTTGTCTATTGGAGGTACTCTCCCTCTCTTTTTTTCGAAAAATCTGGTTGTCGGGTTAAAAAATCATGCCACTTTAGACCACCAAATAAAACGCAGATGCTTTGCTTATTTAATGATTAATTAAAGCACAAATGAAAATAATACGGATAATACAAAATAAAATCTATGGGGAAATGCCAAAATTAGACTACTTTCTAACCCATTGCGGCTTTTAGGAATATGAACACCCTTTCTTTCGTTTACAAGAACTTCGTAAGCTTCGGCCTCTAGTTGATCTCCGTTTCTATCCACCCCATAAAACGAGGACTTATTTAGATAGCCGTGTTCAAGAACTTTTCCAATGCAGAATCCATCGTCGCAGTTAGCCCTTCCAACGAAATATCTTGTCGCCTCGTCTTCATGCCCAGCGACCACTAGTTGTTTTTCCATTGAAACTTTACGTAGGTTTGTAAAATCTGTCGCGATCCAGCAAAACTTCTCCTTAGGACCACATAGAATCTGAATAAAGTCAAAGTGCTTTTTTCCGTTTTCAAAGAACCTTTTCAACTCACTTTAATATTTTTATCCAAGACTTTAGGTCCTCGCATTTCTGCATACACGCTGGTTTGACCTGGGTTTATCTGCACCACAACTAACCCTTCATTTTTGACATAAGCCTGCCCGATGTAGATGTCGTTATCGTCCTTGTCTCGGCCAGCAAGCAGTGCATCTTCAGGGATGTTTCCGTCGTAGTCACGCCAGTAGTAGTCTGCAAGTCAGTTTTAGTAGTGACAATTAGTAGAAAAATTCGTTACCTTTGGTTGAGTGGAGCAAAAGTGCTCCACTGGATACCAGAAGAATGATTAAAGAAAACACAAATGTAAACATTTTTCCACTTTCTTCTGATTCTTTTTACTGTTATCGGATCGTGTTTATTTACCTAAAAATAGCACTAATTGTCAAAATTGTTACACTTTAACCTACCGTTTGAACACGTGTTATCAGTGTGGCACGACGAAAATGAAACCGGTCGAGTTTTCACCGCACAGTCCTATACATTCACATTCCATCCCCTCCACTAATTAGGGGGTTGCGGGCTATCTTGACAGTCACTATCAGTAATGATTGTCTTATCTTTTTTGCATGTACAAGAAGTAGTTCGTTAAGTACAAGAAGTGCTGCAGAAAAAATAAGACGCGTTTTAGTTTCGACACTAGATTTACCAGAATATTACAAGCTGCACAGTTCGTCGTCTGAGAACTTGTTTGAACTACAGACCAGAGCGCACTCAGGCCAATGTCGACTCTAAGCGTTCGGAAACGATTTGATTTATAAGCCATGGTCCGTGATCTGATACATATTCTAACCTATAATTTCTTGCTGTTTCAACTTTGGAATTCTCAGTTTTTCGAAATTTTAGTTTGGGGACTTTTCAGTTTACTCCTATTTATTATTTAATTTTTAATTTCTCAATTTTTCAATCTCTCGGTTTTCCGTTTTTCTCTTCAATTTTACGATTTTTAAATATTTCGATTTTTCAATTTTTTACTTTTATAAACTCTTTATTTGTCGATTTTTCGATTAATTGATCTTTCAGGCTTTTTGGTTTTTCAATTTTTCTATTTTTTCAGGTTTCGATTTTTCAACTTCACTTTTTTGATTTTTCGATTTCTCAATTTTTCTATTTTTAATTTCTCAGTTTTTCGACATTTCAGTTTTAGGATTTTTCAGTTTATTATTTATTATTCAATTTTGATTTTGCAGATTTTTGATTTTTCAATTTTTCGATTCTTTAGTTTCTCAGTTTTTGGATATTTCAGTTTTGGGATTTTTCAGCGTAATCCTGACAAAATTCTGCTTCCGATGATACCCCACACGGTCGATTCGGACCATTTTGAAAAAATTGAAAAAAAAAAGGTGGGGCAGCATTTTTCTTGCTTATTTGAAGAGATATATCAAAAACATGCACGGAATCGTAATCCAGACAAAATTCTGTGTCCGATGATACCCCACACGGTCGATTCGGACCATTTTGAAAAAATTGAAAAAAAAAAGGTGGGGCAGCATCTTTCTCGCTTATTTGAAGAGATATATCAAAAATATGCACGGAATCGTAATCCTGACAAAATTCTGCGTCCGATGATACCCCACACGGTCGATTCGGACCATTTTGAAAAAATTGAAAAAAAAAGGTGGGGCAGCATTCGTCAGTTTTTCTTTCATTTTTCAGTTTTTTGATATGTCAGTTATGGGATTTTTCAATATTTCTGTTCTTCGACTTTTCGATTTCTGACTCCTGGATTTTCCGATGTGTCGACTTTTTTACTTTTGCGATTTTTCAATTTTTCGATTTTTCAATTTTAGATTTTTTAATTTTTAAAATTTTAGATTTTTCGATTTCTCGATTTTTCATTTCAGTTCTGCGATATTTCAATTTTTCAACTTTTCGAATTTTTCAAATGTTTCGATTTCTTAATCTTTTGATTTTTCGACTACCCGGTTTTAGATTTTCTGTTTTTCAATTGTCATTTTGCCAAATTTTCGATTTTTTAATTTTTCAAATTTGACTTTTATAAACTCTCAATTTTTAGATTTTTCAATTAATCGATGTTTTGATTTTCCTGTTCTTCAATTCTTTAATTTTTTGATTTTTCAGGTGTTTGATCTTTCAATTTTTCGATTTTTTAAGGTTTCGACTTCACTTTATGAATTTTTCGATTGCTCAATTTTTTGACTTTTTAGGTTCTCAGTTTTTAGATATTTCAGTTTTCGGATTTTTCAGGTTTTCCCATTTTTCAATTTTTCTTTCATTTTTCAGTTATCGATATCTCAGTTTTGGGATTTTTCAATATTTTGATTCTTTTAAAGTTTTAGATTTTTCGATTTCTCGATTTTTCATTTCAGTTCTGCGATATTTCAATTTTTCAAGTTTTCGAATTTTTCAAATGTTTCGATTTCTTAATCTTTTGATTTTTCGAAATCGCGGTTTTAGATTTTCTGTTTGTCACATGTCATTTTGTCAAATTTTCGATTTTTTAATTTTTCAAATTTGACTTTTATAAACTCTCAATTTTTAGATTTTTCAATTAATCGATGTTTTAATTTTCCGATTTCTTGACCTTCGAGTGTTTCGATTTTTCTGTTGTTCAATTCTTAAATTTTTTGATTTTTTAGGTTTTTGATTTTTCAATTTTTCGATTTTTAAGGTTTCCTTTTTTCGACTTCACTTTTTTGATTTTTCGATTTTTCAATTTTTAGATATTTCAGTTTTAGGATTTTTCAATATTTCAATTCTTCGACTTTTCTATTTTTGACTTCTGGATTTTTCGATGTGTTTTACTTTTTGGATTTTTCAATTTTTGGATTTTTAAATTTTAGATTTTTCAATCTTTTGATATTTTAGTTTTTCAATATTTCTGAGTCTTTCGATTTTTCGACTTCCTGGTTTTAGATGTTCTGTTTTTCAATTTTTCGATTTGTTAATTTTTCATTCCCGATTTATCGAGATTTGATTGTTCAGGTTTTCGATTTATCAGTTTTTCAATTTTTTATTTTGGCCTATTTCGGTTTCTCATTTTTTCCAGTTTTCCATATTTTCGTCTTTTTTTTATTTTTCCGCTTTTCCAATTTTTCAACTTTTAACTTTTTGTTTGTCGATTTCTCTATTTTTCAATTTTTCGACTTCATCACTATTCGATTTGTCGTTCTTTTGATCATTCAATTTCTCAATTTTTCAAATTTTAAGTTTTTTGATTTCTCGATTTATCGAAATTTGGATTTTCCGATATTTTGATTGTCAATTTATAAATTGTTCAAATTTTAACTTTTCGATTTTTCGATTTTGGCCTATTTCGGTTTCTCAATTCTTCGACTTTTCGACTCCATGATTTCTTGATTTTTTGATTTTTCGATTTCTCGGTTTTTCGATTTTCCAGTTTTTCGATGTTTCGATTTTTCAGTTATCCGACTTTTTAAAGTTGGGAGTTTCGATTTCTCAATTTCTCGTTATTCGATTTTTAAATCTTAGATTTTTGATTTTACATTTTTTCGATTTTCTGATGTTTCATTTTTCGATTTTCAGTTCTTCGATATTTCGATTTTTCAATGTTTCGGTTTTACGATTTTTTAAGGTTTCGATTTTTCGATTATTAGATTTCTCGATTTTTCAAATTTTCGATTATTTTAGTTTTTCATTTTTTTTTTTCTCACTGTTAATATCATACAGTGTATTGAAAACAACCACAAAAATTGTCACTAAAAACATTTAAAAATTCATACAAAATAGAACACAGTGTTTCCAATACATTTTCCCGAAAAAAATCCATTGTGTTATTACGATTTCAACAATATTCTTAGTTTAAGACGTTTTGCTAGTATGAAACACAAATAAAGAATTAATTCTTAGTTAAACAAAATATGTAAAATCATCTAAATGTGTACCAAAAATATTCACCTAGTCGTTATAAAAACCGACTAAATAACTATTTCCCGCAGAAATTATAGTCCAAACCAACCAAATCGCTTCTGAACGCTTAGAGTCGACATTGGCCTGAGCGCGCTCTGGTCTGTAGATCAAACAAGTTCTCAGGCGACAAATTATTTAATTTCTCAATTTTTCAATTTCTCGGTTTTCAGTTTATCTCTTCAATTTTACAATTTTTAAATATTTCGATTTTTCAATTTTTGACTTTTATAAACTCTTTATTTGTCGATTTTTCAATTAATTGATTTTTCAGGTTTTTTGGTTTTTCAATTTTTCTATTTTTTCAGGTTTCGATTTTTCAACTTCACTTTTTTGATTTTTTGATTTCTCAATTTTTCAATTTTTAATTTCTCAGTTTTTCGACATTTCAGTTTTAGGATTTTTCAGTTTACTTATTATTCAATTTTTCGAACTTACGATTTTGCAGATTTTTGATTTTTCAATTTTTCGATTCTTTAGATTTTCAGTTTTTGGATATTTCAGTTTTGGGATTTTTCAGTTTTTCGATTCGTCAGTTTTTCTTTCATTTTTCAGTTTTTTGATACTTCGGTTTTGGGATTTTTCAATATTTCTGTTCTTCGACTTTTCCATTTTTGACTTCTGGATTTTTCGATGTGTCGACTTTTTACTTTGTCGATTTTTAAATTTTAGATTCCTCAATTTTTTTGTATTTTAATTTTTCAATATTTAAAATCTATTTCTCGATTTTTCATTTCAGCTCTTTCATATTTCAATTTTTCAAATGTTTCGATTTCTTAATCTTTCAATTTTTCGACTTTCCGGTTTTAGATTTTCTGTTTTTCAATTGTCGTTTTTTCAAATTTTCAATTTTTCAAATTTGATATTTATAAACTGCTAATTTTTCAATTTTTCAATTAATCTCAATTTTGCTAGTATAAAACACAATAAAGAATTAATTCCCGCAGAAATTATAGTCTAAACCAACGAAATCACTTCTGAGCGCTTAGAGTCGACATTGGCCTGAGCGCGCTCTGGTCTGTAAATCAAACAAGTTCTCAGGCAACGAGTTGTAGTGAAACAAGTTTTTTTATTGGCATCGACTATTTAAATTTGGCGCTTGCCTTTGGCGGTTGAGGACTCCAATGTCAATAAGGGTGGTTTTGCAAAATCAGACTGTATGTCGCATCTATATTAATCTATGGCTACACCTTTATTTTGGACATAAACCTGGCCTACGTAGATATTTTTGCCGTCATTGTCGTGACCAGTTAGGAAGGCATCTTCAGGGGTTTTTCCATTGTAGTCGCGCCAAAAGTACTCTACAAAGAATTTTTAATTGGTGATGGTGGCAAAAAAACTGTTACCTTTAGATGAGTGGACCAGAAGAGGTGCAATTGATGTAAAAAAAATAAAAGAAAATACAATAGACATCTTCTTGTGAACGTTAAAACAGTGACTAGTATTACAGATTGATAACAAATATACTTCTTATGTAACTTTCGCCATAACCTTTTCGATAAACTTTTTATTTGTGCAGATGTCATCTTATTTGTTTTTTATTTATATCTATGTAAATTCCAATCAAAAACAAAGCAAAAATTAAACAAATTATTATTTGGTGTAACAGGGTAGTTATTTAGACACTTTTCTCAGTTAATGACTTTATTATCAAGACTCTCTCACGTTTATAATAGCTTCATTTACAAGCACTTCGTAAGAATCGGTCTTCAGCTGATGTCCACTCCTATCCACTCCGTAAAAGACGGATCTGTCTTGATAACCCTGCTCGAGAACTTTTCCAATGCAAAACCCATCGGCGCAGTTAATTCTCCCCACAAAATATCTTTTCGCTGCGTCCTCGTGACCACCAACCACTAACACTTTCTCTTTTACATCTGTATGAAGCTTACTAAGGTTTGATGGTATCCAGTAAAATTGATACGAAGGACCACATAAAATCTGACCAGAAAAATGTATCAATATTAATTAAAACTGCCCCCATTTCAGAGAATACAATGGGAGACTTCAAATTTTGGACGATTTTGCTACATACTTTAATATTTTGATCCACTAGTTGTATGCCGTCCATTTCTGCGTACACGCTCCTTTTGCCTTGGTCTATCTGCACGACAACTAAACCTTTGTCTTTGATGTAAGCTTGACCTATGTAGATATTTTTATTGTTATTGTCGCGACCTCCAATCACGGCATCTTCAGGAATTGTTCCGTCGTAGTCTCTCCAGTAATAATCTGCGATGGATTTTTAATAGTTTGGGTTGAGACCTGGAGAAAAAAATACCTTTATCTGCAAGAGCAAGAAGCACTTTAACAAGCACAAGAAGAGCTATAGGAAAATAAGTTTTCAACATTTTTTTACTAAATCGTTAAATATTATTAGTGTGATGTTTATATAACGTTTCTGTTATCAGATCCTTGCTTAAAAATACATTAAGAGCAAAATCATCCTGTTTAACTTGTTTATGGTTTAGTGAAATTTTTCCTCAATCAGTTATTAGTAAAATAAAAAAATTAGAAGATTTTCTCAGTCGTGACTTTATTATAACACATTTTCATCAAAATTAAAGTAACCTCTTTCGTGTATAACAAACTCATTTACAAGTACTTCGTACGAATCGCCCTTTAGCTGATGTCCACTTCTATCCACCCCGTAGAAGACGGATCTGTCTCTATAGCCCTTTTCCAGAACTTTCCCAATGCAAACTCCATCGGGGCATTGAATTCTCCCCACGAAATATCTCTTCGCTCCGTCTTCGTGCCCACCAACCACTAACTGTTTCTTTTTTAAATCTGTATGAAGCTTAGTCAGGTTGGAAGGCATCCAGTAGAAACTGTGAGGAGGACCACACAAGATCTGAACAAAAATAAGTAAATACCTTTATCCAACTCCTATGTTTCTTCTATGTTTACGTACTTTAATGTTTTTATCTAAACGTTTAATCCCTTCCATTTCTGCGTACACGGTGCTTTGGCCTTTGTCTATCTGCACCACAACTAGACCTTCATTTTGGACATAAGCTTGGCCTATGTAGATGTCTTTATTGTACTTATCGCGACCACCAAGTACGGCATCTTCGGGGATTTTTCCATTGTAGTCTCGCCAATAGTAATCTAGAATAAATTTTTAGCGCTAATAGTGGTGAAAAAACTGTTACCTATTGATGAATGGGCCAGGAGAGCTTCAATAGATGCAAAAAAAATTAGAGAATAGACAAATGTGGACACCATGTTGTTGTCGACGTTCAAGTAGTGACTAATTGACGGATCGGCAACAAATATACTTCTTGTGTAATTTCCAGTAAACAGATTTCGCTATAACCTTGTCGATAAACTTTTTATTCCGATGTTATCTTGTTTAATTACGTCTGTATAAAACCCAATGAGATGTGAAAATTCCCATTTCATCAACACTGAATAAAGATATTTCGACCGACGCTAAAACGTTCTGTAAATTTGATTCATTGTTTGTAAAGTCTCAGTTCATGTTAGGATGTTAATCGTTAACTGGTGCTAACACAATTTGTCTGAATCGTTGATAAAGTGTGGCAAATATTAATCTCATGGAAATTTGTTAGCTTTGCAATTTTCACCTCATACAATGTTTCTCTATCTCACAATTTTAGCTTTTAACGGTCGAGATGACGTAACGCTTTTCGCTTTTCAAGATTTCGATATTTTTTAACCTTTTGGAGAGCTAGATTGATTTTTATTCTACTAAAAAAAAGAGAAAAACACTGGTGCTCTGTAATCTATTTAATTATGATAGACACATTTTCATTTATTAGGAACAAAAGAATTATCATTTACGAGAACGTCATAAGAATCAGCCTTTAGCTGCTCCCCATTCCTGTCCACTCCGTAGAAGATGGATTTGCCGTCACCGCCCTGTTCCAGAACTTTCCCAATGCAAACCCCATCTGGGCACTTAATTCTCCCCACGAAATATCTCTTCGCTCCGTCTTCGTGACCACCAACCACCAACTGTTTCTCTTTTAGGTCTGTATGAAGCTTAGTAATGTTTGATGACATCCAGTAGAAAAGATATGGAGGACCACATAAGATCTTAATATTTGTATCTAAATGTTGAATGCCTTCCATTTCTGCGTACACGGACTTTTGGTCTTGGTCTATCTGTACCACAACTAAACCCTCATTTTGGACATACGCTTGGCCTATGTAGATGCTTTTGTTGTTTTTGTCGTGACCACCAAGCACGGCATCGTCAGGGGTTTCTCCGTCGTAGTCCCTCCAGTAGTAGTCTGCAAAGAATTTTCAGTGGTAATAGTGGTGGAAAAATTGTTACCTTTTAATGAGTGCACCAGGAGTGTTGCAATGGATGCAAACACAACTAAAGACAAAACAAATTTCGACATGATCTTGTTGCTGATGTTAAAGCAGGACTAATATTATGCAACAGCAACAAATATGCTTTTTATGTAATGTGCAATAAACAGCTTTCGTCGTAACCTTTTCGATAAACTTTTTATATTGATGTTTTACTGGTTGCCTAACTGCTATAGAACGTGTACATTACTAAAATTGTGCTCACTATTTTTGTTATTAGTGTCTAGTAGGCAGCCCCGCAGCTACGGGGGGGCAAGAGGGGGCTGCGCCCCCCCTAGCAGTTGTGGTTGCCCCCCCTGGAAGACTTATACATTATAAATTTCAAATTAGTAATAAAATTTCAATATAATGCCGATTGCCGAAGCATATTAACTGGCCCCCCCCGCCCCCCCCTTTATTTTCTTACAGGGTATATTATTTGGCAATATCACCCTACCGTTGATGTTGACCGTATAAAAAAATGAACATGTCACATTTTATTCCATGGCCTACGATGTACTTGAGAAAAGTCAAAAATATATGGATTTCCTAAAAATTGAGCTTTTATTGAAATGGACAAAAAATCGACAAAAAATTCTGAGATGTAGATCTCGATGAGCTTAATCAAAAAACATAAGGTCTTGATGGTCCCAGACCAAGATTTTTCAAAAATTCGGTTTCAAAGTCGACATTTCAAAATTTCTCAAAAATTACATTTCTTTTGGCGGCTCTGGAAAAATTGTACGAATTTTCGAAAAAATAAAACCAAAAAAAAAACATTTGGAGATCGAAATCAATAAAAAGATCCCTTCTGCTAGTTTTCGAAAATGCGTGGGAAAAGTCAAATTTTTTTTTATAGATTTTCAAAAATTGAGCTTTTGTTGAAATTGGCTAAAAATCTACAAAAAATTCTGAGATGTAGATCTCGACGAGTTTAGTCAAAAAACATAAGGTCTTGCAGCTATTCGGTTTCCAAGTCGACTTTTTAAAATTTCTCAAAAATTATACTCCTATTTCTTTTGACGATTCTAGAAAAATTTTACAAATTTTCGATCAAATAAAACCAAAAACAACATCTGAAGATTGAAATAAATAAAAGAATGACTTTTGGTAATTTTTGGAAATGCTTAAGAAAAGTCAAAATTTATTTAGTTTTCAAAAATTGAGCTTTTGTTAGAGTTGACAAAAAATTCTGAAATATAGATCTCGATGAGCTTAATCGAAAAACATGTTCATGCTCCCGGAACAAAATTTACGAAATATTGGGTTTCTACCTAAAATTTCTAAAAAATCTCAAAAGTTACTTTAAAAAAAGCTATTTCTTTATGCGATTGTGGAAAAATTCGACGAAATATCAAAAAAATATAACCAAAAATAACATCTGGAGATCAAAATCAATAAAGAGATCCCTCTTGCTAATTTTCGAAGATGCTTGGGAAAAGTCAAAAAATGTATATGGATTTTCAAAAATTGAGCTTTTGTTGAAATTAACAAAAAATCAACAAAAAATTCCGAGATGTAGATCTCGATGAGCTTAATCCAAAAACATAAGGTCTTGATGGTCCCAGACCAAGATTTTCAAAAAATTCGGTTTCAAAGTCGACATTTCAAAATTTCTCAAAAATTACATTTCTTTTGGCGGCTCTGGAAAAATTGTACAAATTTCGAGAAAATAAAACCAAAAACAACATCTGGAGATCGAAATCGATAAAGAGATCCCTTTTGCTAATTTTCGAAAACGCTTGGGAAAAGTCAAAAACATTTTATGGATTTCCAAAAATTTAGCTTTTGTTGAAGTTGACTAAAAATCCACAAAAAATCTGAAATGTTGATCTCGACGAGTTCAATAAAAAAACACAAGGTCTAGATGGTCCCAGATCAAGATTTTCGAAACATTCGGTTTCAAAGTTCAAAAATTACATTTCGTTTGGCGATTGCTGAAAAATTTTCCGACTTTTCAACCAAATAAAACCAAAAACAACATCTGGAGATCGAAATCAATAAAGGAATCCCTTTCGGCAATTTTTGAAAATGCCTGGGAAAAGTCAAAAATTTTATATGGGTTTTCAAAAATTGAACTTTCGTAAAGTTGACAAAAAATTCTGAAATATAGATTTCGACGAGCTTAAAAAAACATGACAGGTTCAAGGTTCCGGATCAAAATTTTCGAAATACTCGGTTTCGAGCTCGAATTTTCAAAATTTCTCAAAAATTACCATATTTCTTTTGGCGATTGTGGAAAAATTGTACGAATTTTCGAAAAAACAACCAAAAACAACATCTGGAGATCGAAATCAATAAAGGAATCCCTTTTGGTAATCTCGAACGTGCTTGAAAAAAGTCAAAAATTTGATACAGGTTCTCAAAAATTGCCATATTTCTTCCGTCGATTCTGGAAAAACTGTAAGAATTTTCAAAAAAATTGAATCCAAAACGATTTTTGGAAATCGACATGAACAAAGGAATCTCTTTTGGTAATTTTCGAAAATGCTTGGGAAAAGTCAAAAATTTTATATGGGTTTTCAAAAATTGAACTTTCGTAAAGTTGACAAAAAATTCTGAAATACAGATTTGGACGAGCTTAAAAAAACATGACAGGTTCATGGTTCCGGATCAAAATTTTCGAAATACTCGGTTTCGACCTCGAATTTTCAAAATTTCTCAAAAATTACCATATTTCTTTTGGCGATTGTGGAAAAATTGTACGCATTTTCGAAAAAACAACCAAAAACAACATCTGGAAATCGAAATCAATAAAGGAATCCCTTTTGGTAATCTCGAACGTGCTTGAAAAAAAGTCAAAAATTTGACACAAGTTCTCAAAAATTGCCATATTTCTCCCGTCGATTCTGGAAAAAATGTAAGAATTTTCAAAAAAATTGAATCCAAAACGATTTCTGGAAATCGAGATGAACAAAGGAATCTCTTTTGGTAATTTTCGAAAATGCTTGGAAAAAGTCAAAAATTTTATATGGGTTTTCAAAAATTGAACTTTCGTAAAGTTGACAAAAAATTCTGAAATACAGATTTGGACGAGCTTAAAAAAACATGACAGGTTCATGGTTCCGGATCAAAATTTTCGAAATACTCGGTTTCGACCTCGAATTTTCAAAATTTCTCAAAAATTACCATATTTCTTTTGGCGATTGTGGAAAAATTGTACGCATTTTCGAAAAAACAACCAAAAACAACATCTGGAAATCGAAGTCAATAAAGGAATCCCTTTTGGTAATCTCGAACGTGCTTGAAAAAAAGTCAAAAATTTGACACAAGTTCTCAAAAATTGCCATACTTCTCCCGTCGATTCTGGAAAAAATGTAAGAATTTTCAAAAAAATTGAATCCAAAACGATTTCTGGAAATCGAGATGAACAAAGGAATCTCTTTTGGTAATTTTCGAAAATGCTTGGAAAAAGTCAAAAATTTTATATGGGTTTTCAAAAATTGAACTTTCGTAAAGTTGACAAAAAATTCTGAAATACAGATATGGACGAGCTTAAAAAAACATGACAGGTTCATGGTTCCGGATCAAAATTTTCGAAATACTCGGTTTCGACCTCGAATTTTCAAAATTTCTCAAAAATTACCATATTTCTTTTGGCGATTGTGGAAAAATTGTACGCATTTTCGAAAAAACAACCAAAAACAACATCTGGAAATCGAAGTCAATAAAGGAATCCCTTTTGGTAATCTCGAACGTGCTTGAAAAAAAGTCAAAAATTTGACACAAGTTCTCAAAAATTGCCATATTTCTCCCGTCGATTCTGGAAAAAATGTAAGAATTTTCAAAAAAATTGAATCCAAAACGATTTCTGGAAATCGAGATGAACAAAGAAATCTCTTTTGATAATTTTTGAAAATGCTTGGGAAAAGTCAAAAATTTTATATGGGTTTTCAAAAATTGAACTTTCGTAAAAGTTGACAAAAAATTCTGAAATATAGATTTCGACGAGCTTAAAAAAACATGACAGGTTCAAGGTTCCGGATCAAAATTTTCGAAATACTCGGTTTCGAGCTGGAATTTTCAAAATTTCTCAAAAATTACCATATTTCTTTTGGCGATTATGGAAAAATTGTACGAATTTTCGAAAAAACAACCAAAAACAACATCTGGAGATCGAAATCAATAAAGGAATCCCTTTTGGTAATCTCGAACGTGCTTGAAAAAAGTAAAAAATTTTATACAGGTTCTCAAAAATTGCCATATTTCTTCCGTCGATTCTGGAAAAAATGTAAGAATTTTCAAAAAAAATTGAATCCAAAACGATTTTTGGAAATCGAGATGAACAAAGGAATTCTTTTGGTAATATTCGAAAATGCTTAGAAAAGTCAAAAATTTTATATGGGTTTCCAAAAATTGAGCTTTTGTTAAAGTTGACAAAAAATTCTGAAATACAGATCTCGACGAGTTTAAAAAAAACATGACGAGTTCATGGTTCCGTACCAAAATTTTCGAAATATTTGGTTTCGAAGTCGGATTTTTAAAATATGTACTAAACATGCAAAAAAGTAAACTCAAACAAATTGGATGTTACCTATATGGCCACTACACAAATTTTTGGATGCAGTACAGCTGTTTGTGAATCTACATTCTCTGTTTTAACCAGCATTTTAACCAAGTACCGTACTAATTTTTTGGACTTCGACAGATTTTTACGAAAATTTAGAGTAAAAAATCGACGTTTCCAATTATTTTAATGTTCTTTCAAATATAAAAACTCAGAAAAAATAAAGTAGTTATCTGAGTGTATTATTAAAATATAAATATTTACATGAAGCCCCCTCTGTCGACAAACTTGCTCCCCCCTGAATAAGTTTTCTAGCTACGGGGCTGCTAGTAGGTAATTAAAAGTTCTTAGACAACTTTTCAGTATGTTGTAAAACTTTTTTATTTTCATTTTTACACCATAATAATAATAATACGAGTTTGCAGTTACGTGTGAATCCTCCTCAACACGTTTCTATCCGAACCAAAAGAGCCCCGTTCGCTTATAATCTCCTCATTTACAAGAACTTCGTAAGAATCGGTCTTGAGTGGCTCTCCATGTCTGTCTGCTCCGTAGAAGACGGACTTCCCGTCACCGCCTTGTTCTAGAACTTTCCCAATGCAAAACCCATAGTCGCACTTAATTCTCCCCACGAAATATCTCTTCGCCGCGTCCTCGTGGCCACCAACCACCAACCGTTTCTCCTTTAAATCGGTATGAAGCCTGGTAAAATTTGACGGCATCCAGTAGAAACGATACCGAGGACCACACAAGATCTGAACAAAAAAATGTGTCAATGATGTGAACTAAAACCACCAGTTAGTACTTTAATATTTTTATCTATGAGTTGAACGCCGTCCATTTCTGCATACACGGTCCTTTGGTCTTGGTCTATCTGTGCGACGACTAAACCTTTGTGTTGGATGTAAACTTGGCCTATGTAGATGTTTTTATTTTCGTGGTCGCGGCCACCAAGGATGGCATCTTCAGGGGTTTTTCCGTCGTAGTCCCTCCAGTAGTAGTCTGGAACGAGTTTTCAGTCGGTGGTAGTACGGTTTAAAAAAACGTTACCTCTTGATGACTGGACCAGGAGAGCTTCCGTGGATGCAAAAAGAATTAAAGACAAGACAAATCCAGACATCATCTTGACATTAAAACAGCGACTAGGATTATGAATGAGCAACAAATACTTTAATAATCAGCTTTCGCCATAACCTTTTCGATAAACTTTTATAATGATGATCTTTGTTTTGGTCAAAGAAATAAAAACAAAAGTCAAAATTAAGTCATTTATTTTTCGTTGTTGCCACACCCTCCACACGGTTCGTTCACAAGCACTTCGTACGTCTCAGCCTCCACTTTCTCGTTTTTCTTATCCACCCCGATGAATATGGTTTTTCCGGCCCACCCTTTTTCGAGGACTTTTCCCACGCAGACGCCACCGTCGCACTGGATTCTACCAACGAAATATCTTCCCCATCCGTCTTCGTGTCCACCAACCACGAACTCTTTCTCTTCCAGGTCTTCAAGTAGCTTGGCACGACTTGTGGGCCACCAGTAGAAATTGTCTGGGCAGCCGCACAGAATCTAGAATGAGAGTGATTTAGATGTCACTCAGAAGAAAACACACTCACCTTGATATTTTTCTCCAGATGATGGACACCCCCCATTTCTGCATACACGTCTTTTTTGCGGGAGTTTATTTGCACGACTATCATACCCTTATTCCGGACATAACCCTGACCTACGTAGACGCGTTTTCCGTTTTCGTCGTGACCAGCAACTACAGCATCTTCAGGGATTTCGCCGTCGTAATCCCGCCAGTAGTAGTCACATTCGACAACTGTAGCTTCCTCTGCACTCTTATATTTTCGCTCGAACTCGATCAGTTTGTCAATAAGTCCACCCAAAGTCTGATTTTCCGGCGAAATCTCGCTCCACGCTTTCCTCACACTATCATACTTCCCCCCCAACGTAGACCAAATCCGCACTTTCAAAACCCTTTCGGACAACGGGTTTTCGCCGAGTTTTCTTAGTTCCTTGTTCACATCTACATACAAGCTCTTCAGTCTCTCCACGTGCACCACAATCCTCTCCTTCTCGTTCCGTTTGACCCGGAAAAACGACTCCATCAACTCGTCCACTCGTTCAACGTTAGTGCGTTCAAACTTCGCTCGCAACGTGTCCCAAATGTCTTTGGCGTGGTTGCAGTTCAAAACCAGGGTAGCTACGGGTTTAGTTAACGCACCCGCGATCACGCTGGCCGCTTTGGCGTCGTCTTGGTTCCATTGCTGGAAGGCCGCTTTCTGCTCTTCGGTGGGTTGAGGCGGCAGCCGGACGCGATCGCGGGTACCAGTGACGATGTCCTCCAGGCCGAAGGAGCGAAGAACGAAGGTCACGTGCCACTTCCACTTTGTCCAGTCGTCGGGTCCGGTGAGTTTTTCGATGTTTGCGGCGAAGTTATCACTGGTAGCCATTTTTTCAGGCTGTTTGAAAATTTTCAGGAGCGAGTTTGACGCACAACTGAACTGGAACGATACTGCACGATTTGTAGTTGCCGGAGGCGGAGAGAATGGTGATAATTGGGTTATTCCGTGGAGTAATGCGAAAATTTAATGTCTCGGATTCTGTTCTATTTTTAGCGAGCGGAAAAAATAATTGACTAGTACTCGAATATGTGCACAAAACCCACGTTTACTAGAGAGATTGAGAGTGTGGCGCCAGACTGTCCGATCGATGTGATCGCGATTTTCTTTATAGTCAGAATTTGTTTACTCGACGAGCTGGTAAACAATTGTTAGTCATGCTCATGATTCTCAAAACACTGATGAAGTCATCCAAAAATTTAATAAGTAGTAAGTCTTGCTTATGTGATTCAGTCCTATTTTTAGCTTTATAAAAATATCTGCTAAGTTGCACTTCTGCAGTGCATTGATTATAACTTCGTTCCTCTTCTCGCTCGACGTATTCGAGAATAAATGTTCAAATTCAAGCCGCAATAAAATTATTAATTGCGTGCACAAAGAATTCACAGAAATTACGTTTACTCATTTATTTATTTTATTCTGATGAGACTGAATTTCTTTCATTTGGGTGCAGAAATCCCACTTACACACCCCGTAGTCACAGTAAATTTTTCCAATTTGTATTTATTATCATCGCGTTTAATAGCGTTGATAAACCTTTTTATTTGTTTCTTTATTCTATGTGGGTAATCCAGATGGAAACTGGAACATCAAAATTACAAATTACAATAACATGAACATAATAATAGCAACCTTTGAATCCAACAGAAAAAATAAAAAATTGGTATATTTTGCTGAATCAGTATATTACAGTGGTACCACCCTACAACATGTTCTAACCCATAGTGTAAACTGCGTGGTTCTATTACATAGTCGTCGTTATAATACAAAACTTCAAAAAGATAATTATCCCCAATATCGCGTTCCGTTCCTCTATCATGGAAATAAAAATTAGCTTTCCCAGCTCTGAACGAATTGACTTTTCCAATTCTCGTCTCCCCTTCGTAACTTATTCTTCCAATATGGGTCTCCCCCCAGCCATCTTCGTGTCCCCCAATCACCCCAACTTTGTCTTCCATATCCTTGTGAAAATCCTTGGCGGTAGTTACAACCCAACGAAGATGATTTTGTTCACCACATAGAATCTACAAACTGTGTTTTAGTGAAAGATTTCTATCGAACGGTACTTACTTTGATGTATTTGTCGGTTTTCTTGGGTCCGTTCAGTACCGCTATTGCCTCTTTGATTCCTTGATAAATGGGTACCACTTGCCAGCCTCCGTTTTTAACATATGCTTGACCGATGTAGAGATCTTTGCCGCTAATGTCTCGTCCTGCAACGATAGCATCCGAAGGGATAGTACCTGTGTATTCTCTCCAATAGAAATATGGGTAACCACAAGTACAACAAATATAAGACAAGAAAAGTGTTGTTGCGAAAAGAAGCTTAAAAGGAATCATCGTAGAGCTGCAACGAGACTAAACGAATTTTGTGGAAGTGGTACTGGTAAGTCATCAAGTAATGCTTTTTTAATTGTCTTTATTTCAAGTTCTTAAAAGTCAATAATTTTGTTTTTATAGGTTGATTATAGTCAGGTCAAACGTAAATAATTAGCAGAAAAAACCCAACAGTCGAGTACAGATCTAAATATTTTGTTGATCCTTTGGAGTCATCTGAGGTATAAGCGTCTCCCTTTTATCAAGTTTTTGCCCAAAATCGGCGTAACACAGTATATCGTATACACTCAAGTTGTTCTCTGAATCTTTACTAGCATAGAAAAATTTGGCGTCTCCTAGAGCGAAAGCATCGATTTTCCCAATCTGGGTACCACCTTTCGTGGTACTCTTTCCTATGTAAACATATCCCTTACTGTCCTCATGTCCTCCAAAAACAGCATGTTTGTTCAGTAATACAACGTGCAGATTGGTAACATTAGCAGGAACCCATTGGAAATTCGCCGGTGGTCCACACAAGATCTAACATTACACGTTTTTAAGCACGTCTAAATTGGTACGACTTGGTACTCACCTTGACGTACTTATCTGTCCTTTTCACGCCTTTAATCGGGACAGCTACCTCTATCACCCCGGGATTGATCGTTACTGGAAAAACCCCCTCGTCTCGAATATAAGCCTGACCTATGAAGATGTCATGACCGAAAGATTGACCCCCGACTACCGCATCGTCAGGAATAGTACCATCGTAGTCCCTCCAATAATAATCTTCTTTAACTCCAGAAACTTTGTCCACAGTTAAAGAAAACAAGAAACCAAAAACGAAAATAACTAACATCGTGACACCGAACTACTCTTTAGGTGTTTCGAACAAGTACTAACGCTCATTAGCGACCGAACTTTATCAGTAACTCATTAAAAAACCTCAAATATGCTATTTTTTATTCATTGCTACATTTACAAACAGACTCCAGGTCCGTTGGGGGGCTGCGCCGCAATCCCCCTCAAATTCAGCCTACAAACGTGTTCCTCCAGCCTCGGTCGAGCAGCCCCAAAATCATTAACACTTTCCGCAGACCAAAGTTTCTCGGCTGTTGCGCACGCCCGAGGCCACACTCGAGGCATCACATTGTACTCGTTCACCGATTCCGTCCACATGCAGGCTTCCCCACCCAAAACCAGCTTCTTTTGTTCATCGGTACCATCGAAGTTTAGAGGTTCGCACTCGTAGAACTTTTGCCAGTCGCTGCCGCTGGACAAGTGGTCTAAGTACCAGCAGGAAGAGAAGACGCCGTACTTGCCGGCTTTAGTCACCTAAAATGGTACAAGTTAGATCGGGCTTTGGAAGAGTACTAGTGGTACGTCTCTGAGGGTGTCGAAGCCTTCGCCTCGCCACACGTGGACGAGGGTGGTGTTCGGGAGAGTGACTCCGTTGACGAAAACTTCCTCCCAGACGAGGTATTTGGAATTTAGCTTGTCGAGGAGGTCGACGACGTGTTGGATGAAGTAGTTTTCCAAGCCTTCGTACGAGCTGATGTTGTTGTCGCTCATGAAAGTGGTGATGTCGGGGTTGCTTTGCCTGGAATGTGAAGTGTGAAAAGAGGGTTAGTTTTAGTAGGGTGGTGGTACCAGCACGAGAAGTCGACTTCATCGCCACCGATGTGGAAGTACGAGTCCGGGAATACCCCCACGACTTCTGTGAAGAGGTTGTTGATGAAGTCGTAGGTTGTGTCTTTGCTGGGATCCATGGGACCGAGGTTACCATTGGGTTGGTTGTTGGAGTAGCAAGTTGTTAGTAGCTCGGGGTGGGATGCACCCCATGAGCTCGTGTGTCCAGGGGTGTCGAATTCAGGGATGACTCTAATCCCGCGGACTCGAGCGTACTCAATAACTTTAGCTATGTCGCTTGGTTCGAACACTTTTGACACCGGGTGGTACGCACCTTTTTCACTAAGGTCACCAATTAACACACACCCAAAAAAATTCAACCTTGTTTACCTCAACTCTGGATATACGCGACTCTTGTACGGAAAACTCTGGTCATCAGTGAGATGCCAGTGGAAGACGTTGAATTTGTTATAAGCCATTCCATCCAAAGTCTGTAGGATGATATTCACCGGAAGAAAATGTCTACTGGTGTCCAAATGCAACCCTCTGAACGAAAATCGGGGGAAATCTGTGATGGTAGTGGCGTTTATGACGAGCTAAAATTCACGTACTGCAGCGGTACTACTTTTACACGTGGGGGTACTTACGGCGTCTTGCTCCAAGTAGATAAGTTGTGAGAAGGTTTCCAACCCTCGCAGCGCCCCCCAGATGGTTTGTGCAGAAAGGGTAGACACACTGGCGTTCACGGTCAGTGTGTCTACAAACTACCATCAGTACTAACACACAACTTCAAAGTACTTACAATTTTCGTTGTCTCCGAAGTCCGGGAGAGCGTCATCCGTACACTTGTCACTCACTTCCACCTTCAAACGTTTCAAATACCCCAAGAAGCTTTCATCTAGTTGCCAGAACTTCGTGCGTTTTTTTCCCATTTCCGCCCGTCGTCCTCGATGTTCCAGAGAGGCCTCGGTGGCAATAATCAACCAGTATCTAGTGAAAGCATCGTCGAGTAATCTCGGACAGCCGATGTCTGCGAGACCCTATAATCTGACACTTGACATTTGACACTTCTTGGTGGGTTATTACCTGGAACCTGAAGGTGAATGGTCGTACTATAAAGTAGTCCGAAGTTTTTTCTTCCTGTTGGAGTTTCGGCCATACTTCTCCTTTCGTAGCCCTCACGGCTGGACCGTAAGCGCTGGAGATAACGACGAGTGCGGATAAAGCTATTAACAGTTTGAACATGATTACGGGTTATCACGTACTAGCGCAGGGATGCGGGCAGCAGTAGTATTTATATTCAAGAGCGAGGAGATTGAGATCGGTCGATATGGAAAGAGGCAGTGGCGTAACTACCGGTGTTCCGCGTGTTCGGCGGAACACGGGCCCGCTGCTTCAAGGGGCCCGGTCCGGTCACACGAACATTTTTTTATTAGATTTTGTTTATATTATTGCCCAAATTACATTCTGAAATAAAAAATTCGAAAATGTGCGGTAATCCCAGGATCGATGGTCGATCGCTATTTACGAATTTTTTGCTGCAAAGGGCGGCATCTCAATATCATAGACTCAATAAACTCGGGTTTTAGCGACCGGCACCGGCGCGGCGGTCGAAAATGCAGCAGCATCTGTTTGTAATAAACCTGTCGCAGTGTCGCAATCCCATTGTAGCAAATCTAACACCCCATGTAGTAAATTACCAATCTTTATCCGACAAAAGTATGGCTAGGTAATTTATGATGCAAGACAACAAAATACTTAAATTTTGTCCTCAGTTCTACAGTGAAACTTCATGCTGTAATAAAACGTGAAAAAAAAAATCAGTTTCAGTTGTGTTTTATGAAAATTTTCGTATTTTCAAAACTATTTTTTCTACCGCCCTGGTTTTTTGGTTTTCTAATAGAGCTATTAACGCACGCAAATGACGTCATAGCAGTTCGTTAATAGCGGAAAGGCGTTCTTTAATAGATCTGGTGTAATTTAGATCGGTAAGATTGGTAGCAATGACGAGAAATGTCAGGTGAATGTCAGTGGCAAATCTAAACTTAAAATTTACCACGTTTCCGGACGCGTAACTTCTTCGCAAGGCATTTTAACCAATTTTAAATTACAAAAACTCGCATTGATTCGAATTACAATTGTTGTTGTGAAAATTCGAAC